ACAATACAAATTTATATCTACTATAAAATATAGCACCCAGTTTATGACAGTATGGTCTAGGCCCCTATTTGTGATCATATCGACATTGCTCGATTTCTTTTACTCGTAGTTTATAAAACTCATATCTGTCACACTTGACCGAGCTAAATATTTTTAGGTGCAGGCTGCAGGTGTGGGCCTTGAGTTTCGTATACAACAGGCCAGATTCCGGCAACCTTTCCATTTGGTTGAGTAACTACCTTAAACACAACTAGTTGTAAATACAGATTAACAATTGTTTTAAATATACAGCAGCTTGATTATAACTTAAATTTATTATAATTAGCAACCCGGTTCTCAAGGGTATTTCAATTATTTTTAATAAAACCGTAATGAATTATACAGCTACACCTTTGTCAGAAATCACTCTGTTAATGCATGAAAACCTATCAGTAGTTTCTGTTTAAATTATCACGAACATATACGCAGTGGAGGACTTTCTTTTACTATACGTACAAATGACACCATATTTTGACCTACAGTAATTTCAAAACGTTAGTGATTGAAGAGTTTACATCTAATATAAATATAAAATTCGATCAACTTCTTAGCTGTTAATGTATGGAATTATTTTTCGAAAATGTAACTTGTTATTTATAGAATTTTGATTATTTGATAACTGAACTTTGCTTTGTACACATTCATTTGTGGGTATCATATTCCTGTCTAAAATAGTACTGAAATTACAGGTTACAGAGGCAGAGTACTTTAGTTCTCAGAAATGCATTTGGAGTACCAGAAACACTATATTTTGTGATATTCTTCTTCAGCTCAGTATATAACATAACTTTTTCATCAAATTAACATCAAAATCTAAATTATTTATTTATTTAGAACATGTCATTTATAAATGTCGGCTAGGTATATATTTTAAGAGGAATTTTGAAGAATCTCAATTGGTATTTATTATTATATAAAGCTTCATTAAAGAAAATAGTAGTTTCAGTTTAGTGACGGTTTCATTGAGTTCTATAATATTATGTACCAATAATAAATAGGTAATCTAATATTCTCGGATCTGTAATAGGTACAAAAAAGGAATTAGAAGGAAAGAACGTTTATAATTTTCAAATTATAATTAGGTCGTTACGTTTGAATTTCAAATTCTTGATTTTCTGGTTTTCAATATTGATGTCATCGAAAACTACATTCATCTGTTTCTTTATCCAGCAAAATATTTATAATATCAATATCCTAATAATTTTGGAACGCATTTTTGTATTGTATCCATTAATTTGCATTTGACCTTAGATTTCGATTGGACACCAAAAACAATGACTTTATTTGAAAAACTGCCTATACCTGTTTTCAAATGTTAGTTCATGTATATGTACATAATTTTATATAATATATTATTATAAACATTGTTAATGAAATATGTACTATGATAATAATCGCGCTTTGATTTGCGATAATCTTGATATATGACCGATTAGATGTAGTTGCTTGGCATATCTATTATTAAGTAATTTATGAACTAAGTAGTAATTAAATTTCTTGAGTAATCATTACATACAACTTGAACTATCAATCAGGATTAAACCGGATTCAATATACCTACATTAATTAATACTAAAATAATTATAAATAAATTGTACTTTAATTTCATGGATAGGTACTTAGTTTATTCCCACTTTGAGAATATTGATTGCTATACAAGTAGTACATATGTATATTATATATAATATTTAGACCAATTTGTCTCATATTTTTTTAACCTATCGCAAACGTATGCCAAGTTTTACGCTATCTAGTCTCGACTTTGACTTGATAAACTTGTTTTTAATTACATGTCCGTCAATTATGCGAATTCACATAATTTAATGGACTAACTTGTTCACTTACAACCAGTTGCTGTGATTCGATAAAGGGTTGCAAAACGCCTGCCTATTATCGATTACGAAGTTGTTAAGGACACTGTAAACAACTTAGGCCGTTTAGTACTTTCACTTTACGTCATACTATTACTGCAAATATAATAAAGTAACTTCTGAAAGGTAGTAATTTTTTTGTTATTATTAGTATTAATAACACATAACATATACTATAGCTATAAGTAGATATATATGTTATTTCTTACATTGATTAGTTCGAAGTCAAATTGGATTCTTGCTAGATATGTAATAAAATTATATTTAAGCTTATTTTAAGTAATAAAAAAAATATAGTAAGTTAAGAAAATTCTATAAAAGGTTATTCGCTATTACACTTTATCATTGGATTAAGAATAATATAATTGATAATTAAGTCCCTTGATCGTAAATTATATCAATGATGTTTAAATACTGGTAACTTTTTAAAGCTCTTGAGAACATTAATATACTTTTTATTCAATTTTTCGCAAATGCAAATAAATATTTGCCCAAATGCTAATTTGACATTTAGATAAGTAAGGACATGTAAAATAAATATAGATCTTACCGAAGGCAAGGCAGGCCAGTAAATACGCGAATTGGGCACTAATGGTCATATTGGTGGTTGTGTTCGCGGCGTGTGCGCAGTATACAAGGCCCGGCAGCACTGACAGTGTGCAACAACGCAACGCCCGCCGCTGCGGCCACACCGCGCCTTCTCTATAGTCAACACCACAGTTCTAGTTCGTGTTGTAATTTAAAATCTTATTCTACAACAAAAATATTATTTCTTACTCCTCTTTTAGTTATTTAAGAGCTTAGGAAAACTATAGTGAGAATGCTTCGGCTTAATTTCTACTTTAATTACATACTTACATATTTATATAACTCTTACAACAAATATTATATTATTTTACAAATATTACAGACAAATTTTATATTACTTTTATCCACAAATTTACAAGAATTAATGAAGACGCCCCGGCACGCCGTCATCATACATCAAACTTTTCCTGTAAGAAAAGGATTTTCATAATCACTTTAGTAGGTAAATCTGAACATCCATCGAGAGGAATAGCTACTGAATAAGAATGATAGGATTTATTGGTAATTTAACAACTAAAATACAGACACCTCGAGGCGCCTTTTGTCATATTCCTGGGATTGAACTGAATGCTAACTCCTAACAACAATGCGCCGTCCTGTACTATAGGTACTATTCAGCTTGTTAGCACATCTTGTTTGTTCTGTAGGTAGCAACTAACTTATTCTTTTAAATCATTGTTTTTAGATAAAATATAATTTTACTTATACTATCCAAAACCACTATCCAAAAACAAAAGATGTCTAACTAATGTCGTAATCCTGTAAAAAAGTCTCTAATTTAATTACAGTTTCTTCTATAAATAATATTATTCATTTTTTACTCTCCTACTTAGTATTCTGAAAAACGAACGATACCTACGCCTGATATGATCAGACTCGTATAAGAAATACGATGTCAAAATTTCCATAAAATCACAATTAGGACGATATTTGATGGAAGCAGACCGCCTCTTTGTCGTCATTACAGTAAAAAAATAAATGGCTTGATTTGCCTTGAATTTATTATATAACATTAATTTTCTTAATAGTTATTGTCTATTGTATGAAATTAATGTATGGGTGTCGACTATGAATACTGGTTTTTGCGGGTCAACTCACCTATTACGAAAACGATCAAACTAAAGACACGGCGTGCTTTGTGTGACTTTTTATTATACATATGACACCCACGAAGATAAACTTCCGTTTTCTAATTCCATTTGTAATTTTAATGTACCATAGAATTGTGTTCATGTACATGTGACATAAGAGTCACAATTTGGAACTCATGAATTTTTTTATACGTTATTGGTTTACTACTATTAGGTTTGTTGGTCAGATGTTTGGTTTTTATGTTTTGTTCAACAAGTAAGACTTCAGTGTATTTCATTCCGTCTACATGAGCACCGAACAAAGCTCTAGAAAACTTCCACAGCAACATATAATTCCAAACTAAGCAGAGCTTGTACGAAACAACTGATAGCAAAACTTATTTATTTTATACCATAATGGTGACAAACGAAGCATACGGTGATACGGATACGGAACATCTGATGATATGTAGATAACTGTAACCTATGGACGCTTGAAACACCGAGGTAGTCCTGATGCATTTCGCAGACGCTTCAGAACCGTATCTATACTCTTTTTTAATAAAATATCCACGTAGTAATCTTTAAAGAAAAAATGATTTTTAAATACATGACGTGCTCGGTAGTCTTGCGTCACACTTACGGTGGTCGCGGGCTCGATTCCTTGGACAAACATTTATGAGTATATTTTATTGATGAGTATATTTGTTTGTATGTGTTTGGATTTTTTATGTATAATATTATAAATATATATATATATATATATACATATACATACATATAGTACATATTATTTTAAAAATTGCCCTAAGATATTATTATTATACAAAATTTACAAAGAAGTACTACGATATACTACTATTATGAATATACTACTAAGAGTATACCCCTAATTTCATAATAATTGGTTAAGCAAATAAGGCATAAAAGTGACATGAACAAACAAACTCAATTTCACATGAATGTTAGCTAAGATGTACCTACGAGTACATTATGTGAGAGACTGGTACCTTAAGTAGTTATATCAATACCTGTATTACCATATTTATGAATTTTAATTGCACTACCTGCATAAATAGGAAGTTCCTGGGAGACCATACTTCTCTTCTTTTTTTTTTTAATTTGCCAGTTACGACAACTGTCATACCATAATACAAGTCTCTAGATCTATGTGATGTCAGAATATGCTCTAAATGTGGGAAGTGTTGTCTACGTTTTTGTGTCGAGTCTTGATTTTGTTATTATCTTTTGTCTTGTAATTACACTGTCATATCTCAACATTAAACCGAAACACAGTTTATAAAGCAAGCTGCTTGACGGCGGAAGTAGGTAGACAGAGGTACGTAGACAACTTTTTACAAAGTCTATCTCGGGTGAGGTGGTCAGGCCTTATTCAATATTGAAATTAAAACAAGAGATAATTGATATTCTTACTTATTTATTGATTACATTACGCACTAGAACCTTAACTATATCTATGACACTCTTCACGCCTTCTTAGGTAACTTGTTCTTCTCTAGCGGCTGGCCTTCGAAGTAATTTTCACTGGAAAATGGAAAATCAACATATTACGCACAATTCAGTGTAAAATAAATGTATTTGGAATATAATCATAGACAATGATGAAAAATTAAATTCTTAGTGTCTATACTTAGTTGTTATCTTATATATAAAATTCTCGTGTCACAATATTAGTTATCATACTTCTCCGAAACGGCTTGACCGATTTTTATGAAATTTTGTATACATATTCTGGTCTGATAATCAGCTAGTATTTATTTTTATGCCCTTAAGGGATAAGGGTTGTCCACCCCTGAAAACTAACTAAATTTTCTTTTATATTTTTTTATTATGTGGCATTAAAATACATACAGTACTAAATTTTCACCCTTCTATCACTAACCCCTATTTTTTAATAACCAACCCCTTTAATTGATATGATAAAACAACGTTTGCGGGGTCAGCTAGTAATTTTTTTCTTACAATCTTATTCTGTTATTATTATATAGATCAGTATAGTGAGTATGAAAATGTACAGATACTGTTTTCCCGAATATAAGTATGTAGGTATAAGTATATATTATAAGTATACTATTTTTATTAATTACTTCGCTCGATCCACAACACCACTAAAAACTAACTCTGAAATTTCTATTGTAACAACAATTTAAGATGAATAGTAAACATATATATAATAATGACAAAGAATGCTTGTTATTAATATATAATGAAAGAAATTCAAACTTCGTTTAAAAAATACAAAGGACAAATTGTTTTTTATGAGGCAAAAAGGATAACATAGGTACTTCTTTATAACTGAGTCTGACTAAAAAACAAGCCAGTAAATCTAACTAAAAAAAGGCAACTTGAAACTATGCTAAATCGAAATTTAACGTTTATAATTTATTTAATATTAAGAAAGAATGAATGAATGAATGAATGAATGACATTTACCATCCAGGAACTTTCTCGGGATTATCGCACATGAACGTGTCTTCATTGTAGACCTTTCCGGAGGGACAGCTTCCTTTTTGTGGTTGCACGCCGTTACGGCAAATGTAGAACTTCTGACAATCCTCTGGATGAGGATACGTTGGGTGGGGTAAGGCGCGACCGTTGGGTCCCATTACTTCACCGTCGGGGCACGAAAACCCGTCGTCGAGCACATCTAAAATTACAAAATTACATTCATATGTTGATATTGGTTCTTGATTGTCAATATTTAATTTGTTTTCATAATATAATAATAATTAGACTAGACCATTAAACACAGCGCTATCAAAAAAACTTTTCAAGTATTTCCATCAGTAATATATATATATATATATATAGACGCAAGCATCATACTCATGAATAAATGTATGCATCGTGCAAGGAATCGAACTAGCCACCATTGGAAGTTAGGTGATGTATTAAACCAAAGCCGTCATGTTCTATATATAGTACTAGCAGTACCCGCGGTTTTACCCGCGTTAAATTTCAATATATAGATTACAATATAAAATATAGCCTATGTGTTATACTGATGCATAAGCTATATTACTGTAAAGCTTCATCAAAATCCGTTCTTACTTAATACTTAGATAATTTCGCATTTAGAATATGATTAAGATATTAACAAATCCGTATCAAAATTTTATTACTTTATATATGTATGAAATAATATCACCTGCGGAAATTGATCGGTTTTAGGATCAAACCTATGTTAATGATTAAATAGTATGGTATTTGTGTACATGTATACCTATATATGAGTACATGTAAGAAACCCGACTGTATAATAAAGTTATTATTTTTAATCACTTGTCCATTTATTACTGAGACAGTATTAACTAGATTTCCTCAAGCATTCCATGTATGTCATCGGTTTACTTCAAAAACATACCTACTGATCGTAACGTAACTTAAATGTAATTAAAATATTATCCATAACAAACTGAATCGTGTGTTATTACAAATATTGAACAAACCTTAGCAAGATTTAAGACTATCATTCTCATATTAAATGTTATGATTTTATTATTAGGTACTTTGCCTATTGGAAGCTCATCGTTTATGATAATCAAATTTAATTTGAAATTTTATCTAGACACGCGGTAGCGTGTCAAGCCGAGTTTCAAGTAAACTGGCAAGCAGCACCGTGTGTATATTTACACGAACCATTTGGAGCCACTTTTGACCCCCTCATAACTCAAAAACTCTTTCACACAAACCTGTCAAATTTGGTTCATATATTGAGACTTGCGAGATAAATATGTGTTCCAAATTTCATAAACATATCTCAAACGGTTATTTAGATATTAATGTCCAAAAATCGTCATTTTTATCACTGATCAACTATAGATCAAAATTATAACCCACTTCCAGATGACCTAGGAAGTTCAAATTTGGCATGCAGATAGGTAATTAGGTGAATATAAAGGGAAAAATCTGAAACTGGTAAATTGTTGCCATTTTATTATAATTTTTCACTTTAATTGATTCTATTTCAACTTATATTGGACGAATACTAAAATTCTATGAAAACGTCGATAGCCACCAATTGACATTGATCCCTGGCGAAATATCTCATCTTGTACTGGACGGAAACTAATATTGTATGAAAACGTCGATCATTACCAATTTACGTTGACCCCTTCATATCAGTGTCGATAACCAGCAAACTTCAAATATTGCATTGAGCGGTAAACACTAGTTGCTATAATTTAGATTCTGTCTAAAATATACTCGTACTTATAACTAGGAGTATATGTAGTCGAATTTCGTATTTATTATGTTATTAACTGAGATTTGGTATTAATTATTGTTTCAATATTTAGCGCATATCGATAGTGTAAAATCATTATTTTTATAAATAATTATTAAATAATAGGCATTTATATAGGGCGCCGTGTGGGAGCGGTGCGATAAAACTCAATGTTTTGTTTCTCGATATCTAACCTATAAGGTTGCGATTTATGCTACGAAATTCATAGCTTTCTTAAATTATACTTATATATTTGTGGTTATATTATTATTACATTATTTTAGTAAATACGTATGGTATAGATAATAGCTTAAACCAATTAATAACAATTTTAGTATAATTATAAGTAGGAATGTATAGTTAACTCGAGAATGAGAACTCATTGGTAACAAATTGTTTTCTTGAGAATTCAATAGATAACAGTCAATTTGTTACATAATCGTCTTTACTAACTATAACGTGTCAATACGAAATTTCAGATATTAAATAATGTATATGTTGAAAGAGAACAATTCCGTATTTGCTTAACATATGCTATTACTATCCACAAATCACAAGGCCTTAGTTTTGGCAGTCCTCTTCTCAACATAGGCTCCTCTATATTTAATAAAGGGCAGGTTTACGTTGGACTCTCCAGAGTTAAAACCTTAGATGGAGTACGTCTTAACAATTTAGATCCAAGTCACGAGAGCTCTATTGTAGAGTACAACCATCTGAGGACGTTATACCGCCCCGATTTGCCCAAAAATTCCTGATACTGAATTGGCATTGCACTTGAACATTTAAAAGTTACAAGAAAATAACACAAAAAAAAGACAATTACACCCCGTAAATATACGAAAATAGAGTAATTTATCAAAAATAATTTGGTATTAATTTAGTTATAAATAAGTACCTCGTATAATTTATGTACAAAAAGTAATGATATCCCATCAAAAACATAAATGTGAAATGATAGCCGAGTTTAATATATGATATATACCTTGATTGTTGACTGCTACGACAAAAGAGATGAGATCTAAATGGGTGCCAAGTTCAATGGTCTGTCCTGAAATGTACATATTTATAACAATATAAAATATCATTTCTTCTTATAACTTAGGATAATATACTGTAGCCTAAGGTCTAACTTGGCTAGTTTTCATATACGAAATATACTGTAGCCTTAGCAAGTTCTAAACATGTTACTTGTCGGTTCCTATTTTAATATTATAGTAACTACCAATCGAAAGTAATAATTGGTATATGAGAACTGGCCAAGTTAGAACTTAGGCTACAGTATATTATCCTAAGTTATAAGAAGAAATGATATTTTATATTGTTATAAATATGTACATTTCAGGACAGACCATTGAACTTGGCACCCATTTAGATCTCATCTCTTTTGTCGTAGCAGTCAACAATCAAGGTATATATCATATATTAAACTCGGCTATCATTTCACATTTATGTTTTTGATGGGATTTAATTATTACAAATTTTCCATTTTCTACATAAATCTATTAAAATGTTCGCAATATATGTAATCTTTCATAAGACTTATGCATTATTAATAAAATGGTTTTAGAATTTAGATATCAATAGTAAAGCGCCTGACGAAATGAAGATTATTATTTTGCAGCAAGCAAGAATATTATTTTACGAATTCATATATTTCACATTGGTTTAAAAATACAACAACTAATAGTTCTAATCACAAAATGCTCACCCTTGGTAATCTGATCACATGTTCGGTCCACAGATTCCTTCCAGTCACAGTTGGATGTCACATCGTCGAAGTAAAGTCCTGGAGGGCACGGCAGCTCGTTCGGGGTGCCATCGGAGCAGTAATAGAACTTGTCGCATGCCTGTAATCAGACGAATGTAGCTAAATCAATCTACAGAACGTTCTTTATGCAAGTGGAATGACTATCAAGCTCACCTGATGAACGATGTTATAATAATACGATGGACCGTCGGCATGTGACGTTCGTCGTCACGTTCAAAGTGGAACATTGACAATAATAACGGCTATTTCGGAGGATAAGTCGTCATGTGTACCTACCCTGTAATTCACTACGCTACTAAGCTGTCACCGGCGACTTAGCCTGCTTTTTGTGGATAAAAGTTAACCTATGTTCATTCCAGTGACATGATGTTCACATCACATTAAGATCAGTTTAGCAGTTTAGTCGTGAAATGGTAACAAATAGATGTTATTAGAGTCGAATTTTGCATTCAAAATATTGGTTAGAATTTACTATTTTAACAAGGATTTTTGTTTAAAAAGTCGGAAAGTATTTTACAATATATTACCTGAGGATCGGGATGCTTGAAGTAGCCGTTCTGTCGTGGGCAACCTTTAGAAGGCTTAGGTTCCTCTGTGAAATTAATAATAAAAGAATTAAAATTTATATGAAATAATAATAAACTCATATGTGTATTTTATAAAATACGCATTTTAAATTGTGTGCTGTGAGTTAATTTTTGCAAACTAACCCACGCCAATTTAATGTACGTATTATTCATTACCACAATAAATAATGATGAGACTAGAGTTTAATGCATATTAATAACTTTCTCATTTCGTGTCTAATATTAATGTGACCTTTAATTAAAATGTAACTCATTGGTATCAGTATATGCAGGATATATAAGAAAATGTATTATTGTTGGATGTTTAAACGTTTTAACTGTTTAGTACAGTGCTTTAATCGCAACTCTTAAATGACAAATCTTCACTGTGCTCCAGTGGAATATCCACAGGCATAAATACAATTCTTAACGAAGAATAATTCTATTCGGTTCATCTTCAGTAGTCGTAGATATTATTATATTTTCTTATACTGCTCCAAATATAAAATAAATATTTAATGACAAGGACTTTTTACCAAAAATATATTGACGATTGTTCTAGCAGTCGACAAATTATTCCTATATTACTCTCATTATGTCGTAGATATGTAAAATAAAATGAATAAACACTAAAGATACAATAATTAAAAGCACCATATTGTAATACTTTATTTATTAAGATATAATAAGTATAACCTAAAAATATAATTAATAACGCAAAAATAACAACGAGAAACTAAACCATTATATATCACAATAATATTAGTTTAATTCAAAATCTGAAAAAAATATCCGCTTTGAATTTTAAATAGATGCCTGTCTGACTAATACACACGACTATGTATAGCAACATACCTAAGGACTTCTATAAAATCTTCGACTCTTTATTCCGCCATGAACTTCTAACTATCTTGTTACCGCAAACAATCTATACACAATCTATCTATATTCACAAAAAAGGAAAGAGCTATAAAATGTCTCGTAATTAACAAATTATATATTTATATAATAATTTCTCTTCTAATATTGCAAACATCACGGTTCCTCATTTATCTCTGTTTTTACTTCTGTAGAAATAATCAGTTCATCGTTATTAGAAAATGTGAGATCAGACTGTTTTGTTATGTTAGTTTTAGAAGTTGAGGGTAGTAACGAAAACTCCGCATTGCTAACAACATCAAAAACTTGACGTTTCACACTTAGTTGCAACTGTTTTGGAAATGTTTTTACAGTAGTCGCTATTGCACTAAAAAACGAATCAATTGGATCAGAAGGCATTATCAAATTCTGCGTACGTGATGTATGCCTCCTGATTCTACCCTCAGATACTCCACTTTCATTTAGATTACTAATAACTGACGAATTTTCGCCAGATATAGAACTTGAGTCATCAGATTGTGCAGTAGCAGGAGTCGTATGTGTTTTTATGAATGCCTTCAGAAATGCTAAATGGTTTTCATACTTCACGGGTCGGGCTATAGAGCCCTTTTTGGATGTTTCCCTCATTTTCATAGCTTTTCTATAATTCTCTCTTAGGCGAGTCCATTTCATCTTACACTCTCTTGCTAAAATCAGAGCAAACATAATTTTACGTAATTAAAAGACAGAAAATTAACTCAATTAATTTAGTTTTCATTTCTAGGATAGGCTGTATTATGAAACTATCGTCTAAAATGATCTGTTAAGTACATAATATGATAAAAAATACCTCGGCTACTCCCAAAAATCTTGCAGCTTATCCTTCTCGTTTGAGAACAAACCTGCGTCTAAAGACGAAATCAATCAATGGTTTGTTCTGATATTCTGAGATATTATCTCATAAAAATAGTATATATTTTATATTAGTATGACATCACATATTTAAAAGACGAGTACTTACGTCTGCTAGACATTGAGTTTCCTATTTCGTCCCAAGCACTAGCCTTCTGTTGAGCATCTCCGTAAGAAGGATCAAATATATCATACAGACATGGATACTGCTGCACTAATGATATAAGTTTAATTTCATTCCTTGAATCCATTGTTATGGTGTTGTGGTATGCGAGTTACTCATTCTCAGCGGATGGAATGCGAAGTGGCGCGAACGCTGCCGGACGGAACACAGAATCGCCCCTCGCCCCTCACCGCCCGGTACAGAAATATCTATACATCTTTCTCATTCACATTTTTTTTTTTTTTTTATTTAATATTTTACGGCTCTGGATACAAGTCCTTTTTAGCCCAACATAAGATACAAAACCTAAAAAAAAAATTATAATTTCTTCCCAGTGTTAGAAATAAATTTATATAAAATCTTGTATAGTGCAGGCCTTGATAAGATCTCTTCTAGAGACTTCGGTACTTCATTAATATGCTCTTGAATCTCGTGAATGAGTAATAATCTGTCGAGTCCGTATTTTCTACATTTGAATATAATATGATTCAAATCTTCGTCTTCATTGCAGTGAGGACATTTTGGGTTGTGAACCATTTTCATTCTGTATAGGTGAGTGCGAGTTTGATTATGACCAAATCTCATACGATTAATAGTCGTGATAAATTGTCTGCTGTCGACGTCTTTATCGTTGTGGTACCAAGGTTTGGCGGGCAGGGTTCCTTGGATCTTGGCATACCATTTTCCCTTATCGTTAGCAATATTTATGTAATAGTTATTCCATAATAATTTTAGAGCATTTTTAAGTGAGCTATAATAGTCGGTGAATGAAACTTTAAACATATTCGAGTGGTCTTCATTATGAACATTCCGAGCAGCTTGATCCGCTATTTCATTTCCAGCAATTCCTTTATGACCAGGTACCCACAAGAATGTTACCTGCTTACCGTTGTTTTTCAGATCATAAATATTTTGTCTGATATTATACAATAAATAGTTTAAATTATATCTAAGAGATATATTTTGTAGAGCTTTTAAAGCACTTTGCGAATCCGTTATTATCATAAAATTTACATCATTTATATTATTTATATGCTGTAATGCTGCATATATAGCATAACATTCAGCAGTAAATATACTACAATTGTTATCTATTTTAAAACATTTTGTTAATTTAAGTTGTGGGTCATAATATGCTGATTTAACATTATCAGAAGTTTTTGAACCATCTGTGTATATTCTATAAGAAGCCATATTTTCATTTATCTTATATATATCAGCATTACAGATATTATTATCTATATATATTGATATGTTATTATTTATAAGTGCATCATAATTTATATGATACAAAGGCCAAATTTTACTTTTATATATATTTACAGTTTGAGAATGAATATGCAAAACAATTCTTAATATTTCAGGTAAATAACCAGATAAAAGTCGGTTAAAGTCTACATAAGGGCCTGGTGTAACTGATTCAACAACTTTGGGAGGTATGATTCTATCCAAGACATTATTATTATTAGAAGAAATAAGCTTTAAACAAAATTTCTCTGCTATTTGTAAGCGTCTTAATATTAAAGGGGGGGTATTCGCTTCACACTCCATAATATGTATGGGTGTTGAACACATCGCTCCTGTAATTATTCTTAATGCTTTATTTTGTATAATGTCAAGTTTTCGTAGTAAAGTTGGGTTTGTATTCATATATGCTAGGGAGCTGTAGTCAAAATGGCTTCTAACTATACTCTTATATAACATAGACAATGTGCGAGGATCAGAACCCCAGTGAACTCCAGCCAGGGCTTTCAGTATATTAAGACCTTTACATGCAGATTTTATAATATTATTTATGTGATTGTTGAAAGATAATTTTTGATCTAAATGTATTCCAAGAAACTTTTTTTCCTGAATCCATGGCAGCAAAATGTTATTATATAAAATAGGTTGTGAACAATTGTGACTCTTTTTTGAAAATATTAATGCTCCACTTTTACTGGGACTTATAATTAATTTTAATTTATTATGATGGTAATCACAAATTTGTTTTAATGCAATATTTAAATTATTTACAGCAATAGTTACATTATTATTAACACTATATACAAGCAAATCATCAGCAAACTGTAAAAAATTTATATTATTATTATTTTGTGTCAAATAATTATTGATTTGACAAGTGTACAAGTTATACAACAAAGGAGAAATAGTAGCACCTTGCATAGTGCCCTTATAAACATATCTAGGTCCATGAATTATGTTGTTGTATTTTACATACATAGTTCTCTCATAAAGAAAATTAAATATCCATTTACAGACTTTGCCTGGTATGCCAATATCATCAAGAATGTGAATCATGATTGAAGGGTCAACATTATCAAATGCACCCTGGATATCTAAGAAAGCACATACTGTAAAGGAATGGCTATGGAAAGAATTTTTTATATCTGCAATTAAGGCAGTAAAACTTTCAGCAGCGCTCCTGCCTTTCCGGAAACCAAATTGTTGAGAAGGTAAAATGTTATTCTTTTCTACATAAAAATCTAATCTTGTTTTGAGCATGTGCTCGAATAGTTTGCCAATACATGATGATAAGGAAATAGGTCTATAGGAATTGTAATCGTCTGGTGGCTTGTCCTGTTTTAGTATTGGTATTACACAGTGTGTTTTCCATGTTTGTGGTATATGTTGACAATGCCATAGCAAATTGAAAATATCAAGGAGTAATTTTTTTGCATTTATATGTAAATATCTAACCACTTTATATGGTAAATCATCCAATCCAGGTGCAGTGTCCTTTCGGGACTGTAGTGTTGTTTCAAATTCAAGGAATGAAAATGGTTGAGAAAGAAACTGACAGTTTACATTTCCAATTTTTTTAAATATACTGTTAAGTGATATATTGTCAATCTGCTTTTCAGGAGGGGACAATGGAGCATATTTTTCAATAAATGATGGTATCCATTCATCATTTTTTGGGGATTTATGTACAGGTATGTATTTAAATTTTTTAATATAATTCCAAATAATACTAACAGGCGTATATCTATTAAAAGACTCACACAGTTTTTTCCAACTTTCTTTCTTTTTTATACTTAACATTTTTTTCTTTAAAGCATCTACTTTTTTATAATTAATGTAATTTTCTATTGTGGGGTTAGTTCTATAATAATTTAATGCTTGTTTACTATTTTTGACCATGTCTTTACACTCATCATCCCACCATGGTACTGGTTTTTTATATATATAATGAGATGTTTTCTTTATTTTCGGAATACAGTTGTATTTAATTTTTTCTATAGTGTCAATAAATAGGTTGTAACTGGCTAATGGATTATCTTGATCTAAATTAATACTATTAAATGCCTTTTCAGATTCAGAATGAAACTTGGACCAATCTGCTTTAGAATAAATATACTGTTCTGTGGGAAGTCCTATATCATATTTTTCTATAGATGTTTGGATATCAATAATAGTAGGATAATGGTAACTGCCCATTGGATCGTCATGGACTCTCCATTCGCATAATGGTGCTACAGATGGACTAATAACAGAAATATCTATTGCAGACGGTTGATGAGTAGAAGTACCAACTGTAGTTGGAGAACCTGTGTTTAATATGCATAGATCAAATTCATCACACATATTATAAATTTCAGTGCCTCTACTGTTAGTATTGTTACAGCCAAAGGCTACATGATGAGCATTTAGATCACCTGCCAGCATTACTGGTTTAGGAAGCCTTTGTAGTATTTGTTTAAGTTTATTAACTATAAAACGGCCTCTACCACTTTTTGGTGGGGGACAATATGTACATAATATAGATAGGTTACCTAATTGTGTTTTTAATATTATAGCTACAGATTGCATAAAGTCATAAAAAGGTGTGGGAACAATTGTATATTTAAAATCGTTTTTTATTAATATACCTACACCTCCATATCCACCTATACCATTTTGACTTACATAGTTATAACCAGGCATGTTAAAGTGGCAATTCTCTCTCAACCATGTTTCATTTAGTAAGCAAATATCTATATAATTCTCATGAATATAATTAATAAGTAAAGGTTTTTTATTATACATACTTTGTATATTGAATTGAGATATTCTAATAAATGACTTAATCACTTTTAAGACTTTTTATTAATATGTCCTTAATAACTGAGGATGTCAGTGCCCTGCTATCATTTCCTAAGGAGACTAATGCTCCAATAAGACCGTTTAGTACATGATCACTTTTAAGAATTTTTTCAATTAGTTCTTTATTTTCATCTTGTGTACTTGGTAATGGGGATTTTTCCGTAGATGATTTATTATTTATTTTGACTTGAGTATTATTATTGTTTCTAGAACTAGAACGTAATGTGGGGAAGTTAGTGTCATAGTTTTTTGTAATATTGTTTGGGTCAACATTTTTAAAATTCACAGCTTGAGCATATTTAATTTTATTGTTTTTTTCCTCCATTTTATACTTTTTAACAGGACAATCTCGAGAGATAGCAAGGTGCTGACCTCCACAGTTAATACATTGTTTAATCGTTTCTGCTTTACATTCAGAATAGTGATGATCACCTGCACATATTGAACACTTTTGAGCAGATTTACAAAACTTTGCGCCATGGTTAAATTTGAAACATTTATAGCATTGTAAAAGAGGAGCCATATATTCATATACTCTATATCTAAAGATATCTAAATACACATAGTCTGGAAGACTTCCAGACAAAAAAGTCAATCTAACTGAACCAAACGGTTTAACTTCTCCGTCTACTTTTTTTGTAAACCTATTTACACTTATGATCTCATACGGACAGGTAAGCTTTTTAAACAGCTCTTCATTGCTTATACTTGTGGGTACAAACCTGAGCACTCCAATTGTTTCCACAGCTGCTGCTGGAATGTGTGCATGATAGTTGTGCTTATTGAGAAAGTCCTCATTGTTCAAAAAATTATTCGCATTATTTACTTGTTTAAATGTTACACCGACTTTAGTTGCATTAATGCGCTTAATATTAAGCACGCCCTTGACATCATTCTTAAATAGATTGGCCATCACCAGTGGATTTTGGTTTCCAATTTTTTCTCCAATGGAGCTTGTGATAAATACGGTGTATTCGCCACTCACCATTGTGTTTTCTGGAAAGATTCTCTTATAACCAGGTTTTATGTAAGGTTTATAGTAATCATCTGAGGAGGTATCTTGTCTCCTTGCAGTTTTTCGGCCCGGAGGCGGGACGTCACCGTCCCCCTCAGGCATGATTCTAAGATAGGTATTTAACAACTATATACGACGTAATTATTATCTATATAAGGAAAAATAAACTATTTGCAGTGAAACTAGCAATAAATATAAATATTTTTTGAGAACTATTCAATTCGCGCCTATTTCTTCGAAAAGCCCGCCAATCAATCTTCTCATTCACACAGATGATAGTGTTACTATTTATATTTTACGATTACCAGAAAATAAATAACTTTCAATGGGAAATATAGGTTAGGGAAATATAGGTATTGTATAATTTAATTAAATAATGGATATTTAATCGAGATGCAATTTTGTTAGGTAAAGAGTACATGTTGTTTAAAAAACTATAAATAATCTGTCCAGTTTTAAATTAGATAATAAAAAAAAATATATTATATCTGGTAATTTTTTTTTAACATGCAAAATAAACTAATAAGACAACACTGTTCTGTATACTCCATACATTAATAATATCCGAAAAATATAACGAAGATACAACACAACGCAACTTATTTCTATTTCATTTTAATGTTCCTAAATGTCTATCATTTTGTAAAATATTCGTCTTTATTGGGGGAAATATGTCATTGGTATATTTTAGTTAGGGCAACACTGGCAAACGAGTGTAGCGAACGCGTCCGATAGATTGCTTACGTAGAAGTTATCTGATATCGGCATGGACTTGTCACAAAGCCAAAGAATAATATTATTTTGGTGTTTTCTTATTTCGCTCTTTTATTTAATGTATAAAAGGGACAAGGCGCCGTTCTCTCTCTCGTGGTTCTCAATAATATGCTCACTAGGAGACAATCAGCAACTTATAGCTTGCCTTAAGAGAATTTTATTTATGTAGGTAATAAGAGCGTACAAAACTTTTTGTTTGTAAACTGATTGGAATAAATTACATACATAATTTAAAGTAAAGCTACCAAACTTAAACTTGTGTATAGTTTATCGCTTAAACCGTTTCTGAAATTGACGAACTTGTGTTCATCAATCTCACATCATGATCATAAATTCACATCATGTGCACATAAATTTTGTTAATCGTTCTATTATGTCAATTTCCCAATGGTAGTTTTCTTTTATCGATAGCCGGGTATTATAATTTCAAATCAACATTAGACATGACAAAACATATTTTCATTATTAATATGCATTAATCTGCTATAATTTCAGTCGTACTAATATTTTCATTATTTAACATAGCCTTGTCATTTAATTTGTCTGTGATTCATAACTAATATTATTAACTTGCATGGATATGAATAAATTGCACTATTGTAATTCGTATGTACATCTATAGTTTTTTTATAGCACAGATTGTAAGTGATTACCGCCGCCAATGAGCACCTGCAACACCAGGAGGATTGCAAGTGCGTTGCCGGCCTTTCAAGAAGGAATAAGCTATTTTCTTGAAGGTTTCAATATTGTGTCGCTTCGGAAATACCATTTCAGGATGGATAGTTACTTACGTAATTCTTTCCTATCGCCACAGTCTACGTTAGATGGTATGTCACAGCGTTCCTTATTGGGGTTTTCATCAGAAAATACGAGTCCGTCCGGGCACAATCGTGTTTCCGCTTGACCTGGAAAAATTAGAAATTAAAACACAACTTTAGATAAATTATTTTCAAAACTTATACATAGGTGTAAAATAGATTAATAAGAAATGCCTAAATCTTTTCTAAACGTGTATTTCCATTTAACAAAACTGTAACTAGAGCCTTTCAAACAAGGTAGTAATAGCAAGTAATGGGAGATATTACTTGAGATATAATTTAAACATTTAATTATTAAAATAAGATTGTTAGAATTAACAATCTTATTATAAAATACCGTACAGATAAATATCTATAATGTTTAATAATAAATTTAGTGTTTTTATTCTAACTTGCATTTACCTAAAGTGAAAGGCTTCTTAAATATTATTCTGCTTTATAATCCAATTATATTATCCTGCTTATATTAGCCTGCACTAAAATGGATTTTAAATTGCTTAAAAGGTTAAAATATATTATTAGATATATATGTCTACATTGCAAATACATTCCGTCATAAAAGTATGATATCATCGATTCTCGTGAAATGTTTTAGGTATGTGGGTGTTATACAGGAACAAAATGTCAGTGCTAAAGTTTACAGTTGGCACTGCATTCACGTTATCCAAGGCGTTACCAAACTCGTTTAGTGTGGTTTATCAAGTCTGCTATAATCCAAATATTGCAATTATGTGGTTTAGATTATACATTATTATTACACATCTATATATATAGGGTATAATTTATTTTTATATGCCAATATCAATTTAATTGATTATAATTATTTTGTTCTATTAATATAGTCATAGGTGATTACCTACAGCTATATCTGTAATACATATACCTATATTTAAAGATATTTAAATAGTATAAAGCATATTCTATTCAATTCTATTCGCTTATATCTTTTAAATTACGTAATTGATTTTAACAATAGATGCAGTGATTCAAGAGGGAGGTTTATATGTGTGTTATACTGTAAAACAAGCTGAGAAATTCAACCACAAAAATTTTGATTGAAGATTTGTAATGCATCCGTGCGAAGCCTGGACGAGTAGCATAATTGTACTTTAATAAAAGTATTTGTTATGAGGTTACAATAAAAACATGGCTATAAACAAATTTTGTGATAACATTATTACCGCCATAATATTGCATTTTTCTGTTTTCGCTAGTCATTAAGGTCAATTCAATATTATTAGGAACATCATGTCGTAATTATAATAGCTGCCGAACATTGACTACAACTTTGTAAATATTCAATTACATTTCTGATAAACTACTTGAAGATATAACTGTAATATCTTCAAAGAACAGTATTTATCTGGTAGGCAATACATATTCAACTCTATCAAATCTATACTTATTGTAAAGGTTTTCCCAAGTAAATTAATATAAATAAAATGGTATTTTCTTTCAGTATCTATAAATTATAGTGATTTAAATTTTTTTATGTATTAATTATTCGGTTTAATTTAATAAGTTTAAATTTGATTTAAGTTGTAATTTATATAATACGTAAAACCATGGAATGTTATTATAAATATTAATTACTTTAATACGAATTGAATAAATTGACAAGGGCAAAAAATATGTATAATTTTACTATAAATGGGATTATTGAAAATAAATGATTCTGAATATTCTATTTATTTGTTACTACTCACGCAGATTCATTAATTCATTAATGTCTGTACAGTCGCTTAGTTGATAACAAACAGACAGACACTCTTACTTATTTATAATATAGGACTATGTTTAGTCTTAAGTGTGTATGTTGTGAATCGGATATTACGTGTGGTACAATTGTTTAGACGTCCAATTAACTTCAAGTAATCCCTACAAAACATTGCAAAATAATATATTAACATTGACCTTTGTGTAATGCAACAGATAGTTAATTTTAATTTACAAAAGCAACGAAACCTTCACGGCTCATAAAATTTATATAAGTTACATTGTAGTAAGTACTAGAAAATAATTTCGTTCACAATCGTACCGAGGAAAGCTGGGAATGTTCACACTCTATTTGCCATCGTAACAAGAATGGCCTAATGTTTACAAAAACTCCAATAACGATCAAATAATATGAAGTAACGATGTTTGATTCGTGAAATTGTATTCGCTTGTACATTGTCAGGTACAATTGATTAAATATTATTTATTCCGCCTACAATACAATTTACAAAAACAAGTATGTTTTCAATATTGAGAAATAAAAAAAATCTTTAAATGGAATTGTATTTTCTTTGAATAATAACAATAATAAGATAGCATTTATGTCAATAAATGTTAATTAAAAAATTCATCTCTCGTCTCACAGATTTTAACTATTGTTTGTTTTTTTTTTTTAAATTTGAAATTGATAATTGAAAATAAATAGAGGACAAAATTATCTGCTTAATAATAAAAAATACGTCAAACTATTAAAAATCAATTTTAGTTATTGAATTTTATACTTATTACCATTCAAGTTCTGTAATTTAAATAAATTAACAAAATCCGTAATTAAAATAGATTAATAGTGACTGTTTCTCTTTGCGATATTGACATAGCATTTTAATCTTCAGTTTAATATTTTCTGAAAAATTGTAATTAGGAGGCGAACATTTATTCCTTATTACGAGACCTATACGACAAAGAAAACAATATTGAAGCAAATAAATTATTATCTATTAGATACATAGATGATTTATTAGCTTGAAGATTGTTTTTAGATTAGTCTGGTTAACTACCTTATTAACAATGCAGTTAGTTATTTACTTTTATTTTGTATTTTCTACATCAGAAAATATATATATATAATATTACAAGCCTGAGATTAATCTTGTATCTAGCTAGATCGTATAACGGTACGAATAGTCGTATGTTTTTTTTAATTAAAATTCCAGTGCAATTACATTACACCGCTTGATAATATCTCAGCACAGAAACCGCAATTCTCATTAATATGCGAATAAAGTAGACCAAAATAATAGATAACTATAATAAAAATAACATGATTATGAGTGCTATTCTAGTGATATGTTATCTATACTATGTAGGTACATGTGATATGTATCCATGACATACGTTTATGGTATAAATAATAATAATATATTTTTACAAATTCAGCTTCAGATTGGAATAAGCTGACGTTGTTTTATAACTATTATATGTTTAAATACATATTTTTTTTATTAGGTAAACTTAAACACGTGTTAATATTTTCACTTTATTTACATTTCACTATAATTTACCGTTCAGTAACGAAGTATCTAAACATTTATCAGAAAGTCATGTCATGATTAGAGAGAACCACCTAATATTTAAGTGCAATAAGCTGTATCTGGGAGCAGCGATACTTACCGCATCTAATTATACTTTCAAACCTTCCAGGAATCCATTGTGAAATATACACCATTTTTGCTATAAATCGATTTACCCGTTTAGGAGGAATTAGATGACAAACACACATACAGAAGAAGGTCGTATTATATTCAAATGTATATAACAAATATTATATTATAGTAATATATATTGGTAAGTCATTGTATATTACTCATATTGTTAGGCATTGGCATTAGACAGCTTTTGAGTAAGAACTGACATTTAGTTACTTTGTAATGAATGCCGAATGCTGGTTTTCTAATGTAATTTTAAATACAAACTGGAAAGTATAAACTTCATGTACGTAATAGTTGTCTAAAGAAATCTGTTTAACAATTCTAATTTTACAACATTGATTAATATAATTTAAAAATATTTCAATTCTTTGAGCAGATGTCTATTATAGAAAAGTATTATGTAAATAACATTTATATATGTATGTACCAATGTTAATCTTCATAGTTAATAGAATAATAATATCAATATGCTGTCCCAACTACTATACCAGATAGGGTATACAGAATCATTATCAACTGTCGATGTCGTGGTAAACGCAACACTTGACGCTTGTTATTTTAATATGAACCAAATTTGACAGGTTTGTGTGAAAGAGTTTTTGAGTTATGAGGGGGTTTCCAAATGGTTCGTGTAAATATACACAATTGCTGCAAATATAACTCGGCTTGACACGCTGCCGCGTGTCTAGATTATAATTTCAAATATTATAGTGGACAGAAGTATTAAATTAACATTGCAATAGATTCTTAATGACAAAATAGACCTCATGATAAAATATCAAAAATATTTTCCTATTTTTAAATTTAGTAATGAAGGTCTGTATCGGATTATTTGTGTAACGTAGACCTAAGATTAAAATTAATAAATAAAGTAATGAAAATTTGGAAGCATAGAGTTCTTTATATCATGCAAAAAGTATTTATATATAGTACAACATTTTCTATAATAACACGAGAGCAGACTAGGGTTTCAATGACATTGCCATCAGGTATATTATAAGTTAAAAATCTTTGATATTATAATAAAAAGGTACAGGGAAGTTTTTTTTTTTTCTACATCAATACATTGACATCACCAGGATTACGAGTATACTGACCTTTCGAGCATTTGTAGTAAAGGTCGCATTGGTATGGATCCGGGTAGTAACCACTCTTTTCCGGACAGTCGAATTCTTGTCCTGAAACTGAATAAAATAAGGTTGGAAATTAAATTATTTGAACAATGTTTATTTGGCATATTTAAAGTTCTTAATACTTTAAATTGAAAAAACATATTTAAGCAAAGAAATGTAAGATTCAACAAAAATTAAAGACTTTTGCTTGATGATTGCTATAGTCAGTATTAGAAAATTATCAATATTGATTAATATAATCTAAACATAATATTACGTTGCAGGTAACATATAATATTCTGTCTCTTTATAATTTAGTTCAACTGATTTCAATAAAATTCTTGAAGTTAAACTCAACCCAATAAATATAACTAATAATTAGTCACTAACAATAAATTCGAATGTAGTTTTACATTTGAGTATTGCAACTAAGTATTATACACGTATTTGTTTGTCACGCGTACCATTCTATAATAAACGGTTTTCATACATTCAGCTTTACAGTCATCACTATTCTACATGTACATTCAAAATCGTGACTGCCGCTAATTCTCTAACACAATTCAAACTGCATATTGAATATTGATTGACTTTTGTCATTTTTACAACAGACTATGTCGTGAGACAAAGAGTTATTGCAGTTATATGATTAATAAATTGGTAAACGTTAACAGAATGTAACGAATTGTTTAACGTATTATTAATTAAATTACCTCTGTAACTATGTATACGAAAGAAATAAGTAACATTTTTATATTTTTTAATAACTTGGCATTGATATAAGTTGGGTATTCGTAATAAAATATAGAGTGTTACGTTTATATGTTAGATAATATGTAATAACTCTAGACTATTCAATCACCTAATCTTAAGGTAAGCTGAGCTTGTTTTATGAGTACTAGATAACTGATAGAAATAATTAAGGACATAGAACATACCCCGACCGATAAAACAATCATAGTCAGAACTATAAATGTTTGTAGGTACTATGCGAAATATCGAATCCGTGAACATCGAAAGGTGCTGTGCTAGACCGCTAGACCACCGATGCCGTCTATTATATATTGGGTTACAGATATATTATACGTATACTTATAAACGCTTTACACAAATATTAATTATACAATAAAATATATAGACCTTAAAGCAATATTCTTCTTGATATAGAACTTAAGGTTTTAATTACATACTGTACAAAATTGCAATGTGTAGACTTACACCTACATATCATGTAATTGGACGGTTACACCGATTACAGTTAATTGAAAATTTACATTATTATCTTTGAATAATGAAACTTTCACATCTTATCTTATACCTACATATGATTAAAGAAATTATAAACTGCAGTTTCCGTATTGAGACAATAATATTTAATATATATCAAGTTAATTTAGCTTGAATTAATACGTAAATATGAGTGAAAGCTTAGGTCTAAATGTTGTATGATAAATTGCAATCAATTCCATAATTGAACAAGATACTTAACGATTTACTTTACTTTTACGCAATTTAAACAATTTGGACTCATTTTAAAACATAAATTCTTTATGAACACGTGAGTATTTGTTTCGAAAATTCAATAAGTTTCCGTGACAGAGCTCAATAGCCAAATTACCCTTGCGTCACATACATTAAGTAAATTTACTGGAGCACTAAGCATTCGTTAGGACGTGTAAGTGAAAGGAGGACAGGGTACCTATTGTCGAAGTGTTTCGTTTATTGGCGGATTTATTAGTGCCATTTTTTATGAATCACTTAGTTCAGTATATTTCTGAATTTATATTAAGCTATTTTATACTGAGTAACTGTATGTATCTCATAATGTGAGTGAGATTTTGGTTAATCCTTTCTTAGTTACAGTTAGTTCATACATAATGCTCAGTATCCAACAACTCAGTAATTTCTAGCTTACAGACAAGGATTGCACACGTTGAAATTTACGTTGAAAGATTTATATAGCAGTTGTTATAGATCCTTCCAGCATCTTTAAACTCAGGACATCAGAAATACGAATAAGTTACTAATAATTATTTGTTCTGAATTTAATATGTACCTATATACATGACATATTCTTCTAGTTTACGACTATATGTGTATGTGCAGGTCAACTTTGTTCGGTATCTTTTTTATTTATTATTTTCAAGTTAAAATACAACTTTACTAATAGCACTTTAATATAGTTCCATAATTAGAACCTATATTAAAATACTTTCTTTTCCTGATTACTAACTTCGTTACACTATGTTAATTCAATTGATTTTATTGAAATTGAATTTTGTATTTGGAACCATGTCTTCATTTATGTATTGAAGCTATTATTATAATATGTATCACATAATATACTACTGTTATATATGTATAAGTAGGTAAATTTATATGAACCCTCATCGGGAGCGGTTCACCTCGGTGGCAGGGTTCAGCTTGCGACCTTGCGGTTAAACAGTAGTCTACAGCTAGAGCTACCTACATGTCAGAATTTGTTCATAACTACATCAGTATATATGTAAAATCACTTATATACATATTTAACTGATTCATTAAATTATATAAAATATTCTTAATTAAATTTATTATTTAATGTTTTGAGATAAAAGATAGCCTGTATCCATCCTCGTCATACATTCATCAATTATTATTCAGATGCGTTCAGTCGTGATAATGTAACAAACAAACAGACACTTATACTTTCGTATTTATAATATTGGACAATAAATAAATAAGCTGAACTCTAGAATGTACTGTATATTTAACATAAGTACATTTTAAAATGATGTTTTAGTTAATTTTATATTATATTATAAAAAAATACACCCAGACTTTTTCATAGTAATCCGTATTTATACACATCGAAATTCATTTATAACACTAAAACGGAATATATAGTAATTAGGTTAAAAATATTGACGCCTTATTTATACATAGGTACAAAAGCAAGTAAATAAATTATAAAATGTACCAACACTAGTATTCGTTATTTAAAAAAATCTATTATGTTCAATGCTATTTAACCCCAATGACATTTCTTTGTACACTTCCGTAAGAACAAGTTACTTACAATCTACTTTTGTATTAGTACATAAGTACCTATTAAAATTATTGCTTTGAACTAAAAGGTCCTCCAATTAAAATAAAATTATTGTTTTTGACACAGTTCTCCCAGTGTAAAAATTATTATACTTTATAAATAAATTATGATCATAAGACAAATATTAATAAATAACATAAATTAATTCAAAATATAGATAATGTGAAATTATTTCTATAATTCAGAATTTTGAAATGTTATTTAACTTACAGCTATTTATTTGTTAAACATTATAAAAATGACTCACCATACCCATACAGCACTAATCCTATGACCAATATTAAGTTTCTCATTTTGGTAACTGATATTATTTATATAAATAAATTAACTGTCTGGGCGCACGTGCGGTTCCTATAGAATGTTACTTGGTATTGCTTGTAGCTACAACCATTGTACTCATAAGCGCAGGCGCAGCTTACTAAAGGACGCTCACAAAAAGTAGGTGCCTCGTCAATGTAATTACTATAATTACCAGTATTTTCTATATGTATTATTTATAGCTATTTTCACGCTTGATTGAACACTGTATTAAATCCGTTTAATAAATTAATAAATCAAAAATCCATTTTATAACAAGCAATAAAATAATGAAACAAAAATAAATTAACCGAATATAGAAATAATTAAATGTGTTATACAAACAAATTAAATAAGTATTTAATTGTTAATTATTTATTTTATTTTAAACTAGACTAGCTAGTCGCCCCGGCTTCGCCCGGCTGTACATGTATTATATATATATAAACATTCCTCTAGTATCATTCTACCTATTTAAAAAAACAGCATAAAAATCCGTTGCGTAGTTTTAAGGATTTAAGCATACATAGGGACAGACAGCGACAGCGACTTTTATGTAATATTATGTTATCTGTGGTTATACTATGTTGTAATGTAATAATAATAATGATTATGATTATGATACTTAACTAATAATAACGTCAGTAGAACTCACGTAAGTGTTTTCAAGTTTCAATAAGTCAGATTCCTGAAACTATTAATTACAAGCACCATAATAGGTCGAATGTAGTGTATCTCTACTATTAACTTTCGAAAAAGTCAGTATTAATCTATTGTTCTTAGGCATTAATAATCTTAGTGTCATAATTATAAATTGACATGTAGGATATTTGCAAATCTACGGCGCCACTGTCTACAGTTCCAAAGAAGATGGCCTTCGAGTTGACATGGTCAATTTCATGGCAACAAAAGTTGTCCAGTATGCGAACATATGCACCTAACTACATATTTATTTGAACCTTCATTTCGACTGCGACAGCCATTTATGGATAAAGTTTAATTAGTCCGACTTCCGTGTGCATTGTTGAAGATAGCAAAGAGAATAACAAAACAATATGTAGACGGAAGTATGTTTAAATTTAATATAATTGGGTATTTCTGTATTACAAAGATACAAATAATGACAGTGAAATGACGATATATTGTCTCCCTGGTGGTTACGAGTCTCTCCTCATAAGTGGAGGAGGCCTACTAATACCACGCCGACATAAAGTTTTACATTTCCTTCTTTTTTTAAAGGATACTGGGTAAACGGTTGTTCGGTTAAGGTAAGTTATACTTATTATATAGTTTATGCAAACTGCTTATCAAGCGTATTCAGAACTACTAAGCCTAGAATGCTGAAATCTGCTAAAAACATAGGTGTATTTTTTACAATGTTTCCATCGGGTAATACATGATTTTTTATTATTGTTATGAGAACTGATAATACACAGTGGAGCACAAGGAAAGCCGTCCGAAATAGCTAGCCGAAGATAATCAAGAATATTTCATAGTACTAGTCCTATAGCATAGTTAAGTACAGCTTAGTAATGGTGTACCCTAATTGAGCAACTTCAACACGACAATTGGGGTTGAGTAACGAAATGCTTGTCTAAAACTGGTCTGAGTTGTCGGCTAATATTAAACGCCCGGCGTTCAATGCATTCAGAATCTTAACATGTTTCCTGACTCACTAATGATATTTAAGCAGTTTGAAAATGTGACAGAACTAATTACATATTTCCAAATTAAACCGGGAAATCTTCTATTTAAAAATATTATCAGTATAAAAATATTTAATACGGCTATTATTCTAAATAAACAGTTACTTTGCGTTGTTAAATAATTATTGAATAAAGGTAAAGGTTTACCAAGGTAGATTTTGTAAAAAATCGTCTACATGGATATCTCACATATTATTAGCGGGCGGTTAGTTTGTTTGTCATTCCAATTACATATAAAAAATAGATTCAGAGATAATTTATAAGAAAAACATGTTATGGAATCATGGAAGCTGGCATCCTAATTAAATATTTCTTTTTATTTTATTGAATAAAATCTTAATTAATTTTAAGTACATTATGCTGTTATTATTTCTTCTATTAAATAAAAACCACAATTGTTTTTAATCCGCTTCTCAATTACTGGTAGGGACATTGAAATAAAAATTAACATGCATATTGTAGATGAGTACGCTGTCCTAAATAGTGGTATAACGTAACGACCCATTATATCGTTTTGCAATATCCAGGAATGTACGCTATGATACGAATGTACTTACACATTTAAAAGGTCAGAATGCGTAATATTTTATTATTTGAGCAATAGGCAGTTACCAGAAACAGCATAATATTTTCATTTGTAAACAAGGTTGCACAAATTCCATGTATATTTATTTTGTTTTGCCGTATTTCGTTTTATTGTTATGATTTTAACAACCGTAAGATTATGATATTATATACTATAACTATACCACATATTATTATTTTCTTGTTTGTATAAAAATTATCAATAAAGTATACAAGGCAACTTCAATTGCAAACTAAACTTCTCTTCGTTAACTACAACATTTAATAGTTAAATGATATGCCAGATATCCTTTCACTGATTACCTGTCATCAACAATATATTATATTTAACTTTCATTACCGGTTACATATTCATACCATTTGGCATTAGATTAATTATATCCACTTACAAATGTTTTGTATTTTTTATTTAACGTTTCATTTGTAAAGAAATTAATAACATTTATTTAATCATAGATAATTCGATACTTTCTTAATTACTACATGTCCCCATATCTCTTAGTCATAGTCATCAAGGTAAATAATATTATGTCAATTAAATCGGTAAACTTTATTGTCATTTTATTATATAATACTTATCTACAGTTAGAAGGTTTTATTGAGATCTTTTAGGGCGTCGTGTCATAGTGGTTCGATCACTACCGCTACTTGGACCTAAATCTAAGTTTGAATCTGGCCAACATTATCAATCATCAATCTACATTCAAATATACTCAAGTCAAGCAATACCCAAGCCAAGTATGATGATATTATATTATTACGTTGCGTCGAACTCGACATTAACTTTTGACAATATCTCTGACAACTCTCTTCTCTTAATCTTATATTATATATTTTGTATTTATATCACTTGATATAAATAAAAAAAATTAACTTAACAATATTTTCTGTTATAGTAATAATCATTACATAGTATAATATAAAGTCGCAGCCGGGGCGAGTAGCAAGTTACATATAAAATTATATAATACCAGATATGTACGAGTATAATGAAAAATGATTATTATCCAAAATCAACTTAAAGACAATATCATTATCATCTGTAGATAAAATTTAATCTCTCGTACACTTTCAGGTTTGTTACCTTCAACCGTACACGAACATTGACGTGAACTTAAAGGTCATTATAAATGTCAACTAAAAGTTGAACCTATAGACAGTAATGGGGAACGTATTTTTGAAAGTTTATTGTCTTTGACACAGTTACATGTTAACAACGTCTAATACAAAAGTTCCAGCTCGTATTATGAGTTGCACTGTGAGTTTCAAAAGTTATTATTGTAATTTTGAGTCTTGTTGGATTATCTTTACAATCTCATATAGGACAATAGGATGATTTTAAATGATAGTCAATTGTCGACGTTAGCTTACACCCACCTTCAATTCAAATTTCATCACTACAATAGACTAAGATTATCGGCTGTTCCTTAATAAGTAATTTTAATTCTAAACATAATGGAATAGGCGTATATTTAGAAGAAAGCTCTCTGACAAAATGACAAAATAATAGTTTAAGATCATTGTATAATCACTAAGAAAATATAAAAACGATTTCACTAAATATTCCTCGGTGGTGCTGCTGTTTAGCACATCTAATAACGCCATACATTTGTAGTCGTGGGAGGGTGGATCATGAGTTCGATTCCCTACTATATATATATACAACAGTTGTATTATATAGTTTAAATAAGTGTACGTGTTTTAAAAAATATGTGTAAATTAGTATTTCTATCAGTTGTTTAGTGCCCATAAGATAAGCTCGGAGATTGAAGCTCAATAATATAATAGATAAATTATATTAGATACAATTCTCCAGGATATTATTATAACATTTTCATAGTATTGGAAAAACCTAAAAATAAGTATATCAGTATTGTTTTTAAGTTACTAATTTTGAAACAAAGACATATTAGGATCTATTACTAAATATCATTAAATTAAAGAAATAGTGTTGTAAGTATATCCACCGCCACACCTACGATAAGATACTTATACAACCTTTAATTAGTATATAAATTGTGCTCTACTTCGTATTAAAGAAGGTATATTGTTTCCTTACACAATTGTAAATGAAACTTTCTCCTGTGTTAGTCGTTATTTGATAACATAATTATTCAGCTTTCGCCGATAATATTATTAATAATAATTAATATACGAATGTTCGTTTCTACCATTTGATTTTATAAATATACTAGTAGCCCGCCTGGCTACGCCCGACTGCTTATTACATTCTGAGTGTTTTGTTGATATTAATATTATATTAACGTAATATATACATATATGTATAATAGAATTTCTCAGTCCTGGTAGTTTTAGAGTTTTTTTAACAAAATCTAAAATATTGTATATATTAGACTAGACTTGGATAGATTATACTGTATTAGTATAGATAATATATAATAATAATAATTTAAATGTAGGATAATAAAAATAAGAGACTTCTATTCTACTGAAATGTTCTCTGAATTTCTCGACTCTAACATAATATTATAAGCAGCAATATTGTAAAAATTATATCCTAGGCATCAATAGGTATCTTTTTGTTCAAGACAGTCTTGAATTGCCTCTAATTTTATATGTATAGACATAATCTTATAAATTGTAATAATGATTTTGATATTTCTATACCAATTTATACTTGGACATTTTGTTATCGAATAGTTTTATCTCTTTAAAAACTAAACTGTGAAGAAAACTTCGTATTTCACGTTTCTATATATGGAATATTAGTATGGAAATATGGACTAAAAGTTTCAGATCTCAACTGCAGTATTTCCTTGTTCCACATTCTACATTGTATTTTTTATCTAGTTCTGGCAAGCTTTGTACTAGTACTTGTAGATACATACACATAGACATATATGACACTCATATATAACATTCTTTATGTTATGTAAAATGTTGCTTTCACCACAACTAGGATAACTGTCGTGATTGTATGTTTATGTTGTTTATAACTAGTTCTTGCCAGCGCATATGCGTATGTGGTGTCTTTGTTGTTGAACTTAAAAAATTTCATAAATTCAGATATCCAATATATCCAGTTATAAAATAGATCAAGTTTCCAGACGATTCTAGACTTAATAGATTTAGTTGTGAGTAGAGAGTTGGTAAGGTATACATAATATAAATTTATAGATTCCTATTTCGATAGCTTTTGATTCGACATTTTTAGCTTTATGACGTTTATATTTCATATTCCTAATATAAGTCTACTGGTAGTGGTAACTATCTCTGTAGACATTAGATATTTTCTAACATCAAAATAACATTGGTATTATAAAAAATACTGAAGTATATTTATAATAGGTACATTTATTCAGATAAATATATATTTGAGTTAAAAATCCGTGTACCTATTTACATTCTAAGTTGTGCCATGTATTGAGACGACAAACTTGTTCTCAATGTCTCTCGTTCCTTCCTTCCTTCAACAATAAGATAAAAGTAGGTACTAATATAGCAGAAATATTCTCAAATCAGAGGGTATAAATAAAATGGACAGCTATTCATTATTTAACTTATGTATTAACTTAGTCTTAAATGTAGGCTACATTATGAGTATCACTAAAGAGTCTTAGGACCTCGCTTTGGGAGCAGGCGCGTCCTCCGCATCTTTGTACCAGTCCTCACTGTGAACATTAAGAAATACAAAATTAGAGATATTTAACTTATATTTAGGTATATATTTATGTACAATAGGTTAGAATATTTATATTTTTTTAAGCAAAGAATTACACTGAATATTTAAAATAGCCGTACACAGAGAATCGCCGTTGCTAATCATGAATATTAAAAACGAGGCCTCGTATAAAACGAACCATTTCTAGGTATTGTTTACATTAAATTGATAGTTTTTATTGTATCATAAAATAAAAATATGTTGTTAGAAAATCAGATACTGTTTAGATCCGCAGCTACAGGGGGTAGCTGCGGATCTAAACAGTATCTGAATTAATTATAGGTAATATAATAATAATAATAATCTAAGGACAATTTATACAGCGCCGTCTAGATCCAATTTAAGCTAGCTAAAGTTTGTGTTATAGGTACTAGATAACTGATACAAAAACATAGATATATATTTTTTTTATCATAGAAAACACCCAGACCGATACAAATAATCATACTCACGAATACAAATGTTTGCACCGTGCAAGGAATCGAACCTGCGACCATCGGAAGTAAGGCGGTGTGCTAAACCACTAGACAACCGAGGCCGTCATAGTAGTAGTTGGCCTTTCAAAAGAGGATGGGTAGAGGAAGGAATTAAGAATAGCTCTGCTATAGCAGAGCCGAGGAAGGACGTCTGGATCCACCTTTCATATTGTAAAGCAAAACGCGATAGGTAATACTGAACGCATTTGCACTTAAGCCGGTATTCTGAAGAGATATTCCCCGGTTCTAGCAGTGCCATTCATGCTGAACTACAACGCGTGTTCATACAACATGCTCTACTACTTTTAACACTAATATATTTTTGGTTAATGTTTGTAATAATGTACTAACCATCCGCGAACATTCTCTGGGGCGTCGCATTTTTGAGTCTCTTCGTTGTAAACCTCGCCGACTTGACAACCAAGATCACGGGGTTCAACCCCGTTCAGGCACACATAGAAACGCTGACAGTCAGTTGAGTGTGCGAACTTGGGGTGTGCCACAACCAGACCCTGGGAATCTACCTGAGGCTCCTTCGGGCACTCGAAACCGTCTATAAGTTTCTCTGAAAATACATTCTATTGTTAGTTACATTTTATATTAGCAACTTTATTTATGTCACATTTTCTATGATTCTGCAAAATTTTACATTGCATTGTCTAATCAGAAATGGCAACACATGAGGGGTACAAGATATAACAAAATTTATTTGGCAATTTATGTTATGAATCTAGATAGATATCTATATTCTCATTTGTTTATTTATTCTAAAGATAGTATAATTTTTCACAGTCACGTTGACTTAAAATAAACTTGAGTGAATATCACCCATATTAACCCAAACTTGTTTCAAGGAAATATTTTGTTGTCCATAATGACAAATGACAACAATCGTCGCAAAGTTTAAATAGTAAGTATTTTTCAAGAAAAAGAATTAATTCCTCTTGCCGTTGACATATGATATATCTATATTATCTGAATCGGGAACTAATGATCCGGTCCTGATTTTAGCAAAATTTTTCATTAGGATAAATAACTCAGAAACTATTAATAGTAATACCATTCCAAAAATGAAGAAATATTTACATTTTATAAATTACAAAGGTAAATTATACAAGAATAACTTACTGTCTTGTGCGTTGCATCCTTGTCTGCCAGCGGCATCAGGCCAGACGCATGTACCGGAGTACTCGTCGAAGTGAAGTCCAGCTGTGCATTTGACTTCAGTGGCTTCACCCTCAATGCAGTTGAAGAAGATGTTGCAAACTGCTGGGTCGGGATGAGCAAAGAAGCCGTTGCGACGTGGGCATTGATTATTGGGCTTGGGAGGTTCTGTTAAACAACACAAAAAATAGGTTAGGCAACCTATCCATACATCGCTGATCACTGTCTGCACATGGAAGATATATTAACAATTAACACAGCACATCTTATCACACGGTAAGCAGAGCTATGATGTAGGTACTTGATAATTCATATAATAGACATACATAGAAAACACCCAGACCGATACAAACAATCATACTCATGAACACAAATGTTGCGCGAGGAATCACTGTGCGAGGAATCGAACCTGCGACCATCGGAAGTAAAGAGGTGTACTAAACCGCTAGACCATCGAAGCAGTCATTTGACAGAAACTATAATATTATAAACACTGTCGAATTGAGAACCTTCTCCTTGTTAAAGATGGTTCAAAATTATTCACCTAAAATATAATGACAAAAGATATATCAAAGTCAAATATCACATAAGTGTATGTTTAAAATTTCATTATCATAAAATAATATAAAATGTTGTTTGGCATTTTATATGCGAAGATTTTTTTGTTATTAGTGGACAGTTTGACATTGAGGAAAATTCGATACGTTTAACGGAGCACCTAAAGATCATGTCAATGATAACCACTTTCAAGAATATATAACTTCAGAATTGAATTATTGCATCAATTTGTTCTGTATAGTATAAAATATAAATCGGTTTTAGAAGAGAAATCGAATCTTGTCTTAGAAACAGTTATTAAATATAAGTAGGTACTTAACAGGTACCAGAATTTGTAATTGCAAGTGCTACCTACACAAATTTATGTTTCAACTGTAGTAAGAAAATAGGTACTACGAGCGCCTAAAATTCAATTCACATGAGACTCAACATTTGAAGTTTTCTCTATTGAAACATTTGAAATTGTATTATTACGTATATATGCATCCAGGAAAAAACTACATAAATTCTTAAATGACTGTTTCACTTGAGACCTTGAGATATCTAGGTAAGGTCGTTTATTCTAGGAAATTATTCTCATAAGTAGGAAGTCAATTTGCACCAGTCGTCTTTCACTTTACGACATGAATTACTGGAAGCTCAACATTACTTGTTGCATAAATTGCCTTGACAAAACCTGATATGAAATATTCAGCCTCCTTTTCTTGAGGTAATAAAATTTATATTATCGTTGTAATAAAATTTAATTTACAAGATAACAATGAAAATACAATCAAAAGTTATTGCAATGAAGGATTGATGACAGTGTTATAAGAAAATGTATGTTTATACGATCCCAAGCTACTCAAAAATTCAGTCACGCTTCTGCGAATATAATGCGCATTCCTCACATACCACCTATAGCGATTACAGTATATTATTATATAGATATATTAGACCTATTTATTCTATAATAAATAATATCAATTCTTATTGAGATATAATATAATCCGTTAGGTACTAATTTCACAAAGAATACTTCGTTTTTGAACTCAAAAGTGAATTATATACCAAACCTAAACATGCGTGTTCGTACAATACAATATTTAGTAATAATGTATTTTAGTTTTGAACAGGCGTTATACATTCCAAATTGATTCACTTTTCCAAATTTAAGCCTATATATAAACATTAACTGAATGTAAGTACATAATATAAGTCTTATTCAGAGCGTTCCAATTGATTGATGTAAGAGGTACATGTCAGATGCAGTCGCCAGTTGGCCTAGAAAGGCACAGACATGTATCGACCTAGGTGGTCAAAGGTAGACAGGACCTTCACTTTATAAATAAACAAATACAGGAACAAGCGATTGAGTTCAATGGTAGGTGTGCAGCTTGACTTGTTATTCCCAAGTGTATTTAGTTTATATGATATTTTTATTGTTACAAGTCATGATAATCAAGACATAAAATAAAAGTAATTTACATATTACATTTATTAATAAATACATAGCTTTACACATATCATACAATGTTTCTTTGTCCAAAACCTAGCAGACCTTTTACTATATTTAAACATCTTAACATGGTATGTATGTTTCAATAGACTTACTGAGAAATAGGTATATTAATATTGTGTGAACATTAAATTTATGACCATCGGAAGATTGGGTAATTTGTTATGTTCATTAGAAGACCTTCAAATTTTTTAGTAATTTTATTTACATTTCATTGATACAATCTATTTTCTACCTGAATTCCATCACAATTTTATTGATAATTTTCAATATTACCTAAACTTAAAAATTAAATTACAATTTTATATGTTTTGTACCGCAATTGTATTTACTTACGTAATTCAGTCCTGTCGCCGCAGTCTACATTGAAGGGTTGATCACATTTGTTAATCTTCCTTATGGTGGGATCGAACACGAGACCATCTGGACAGAGCTTCGTGGTTACTAAGCCGTCGGTACATTCATAAAACTTGTCGCATTGTCTGTCATCTTCGTACTGACCATCCTTAGCCGGACATTTGAATTGTGCACCTGAGAATGAATAAATAAATACATAAGTATGTTTTATAGATGATTCCTTTTGATCAGCCTCCAGAAACAAATGTACAAGCTAATTATGTAATTACAGAAACTAATCATACATAGTTACAAAGTACTTGATATATACTATTAGGAGCAGCTACGTTAACCCTATTGCCTGTATTTCTGAAGGTACGTGCTTATTGTAATTAACTAGTTATTATAGTTACGTAATAGATACAATTGATGTTAAAATGAAAATAAGTTATACAGGATATTTTTTACCACTTTTCTCTTTAACGTTAAGAACGTTAAAATTTTGACTTTATATATGTATAGTATGTATATATACTTTATAATAAACTTTATAATATACTTTAAAATAAACACCAAATTATACAAATAGTTTACGCTGACGAGGTACCAGCAGGAGATCATATGATGAAGTGAAGTCCGATAGTCTATCGTGGCTAATTCACAATTAATGAATATAGTTTGCAGGGGGAACCGTGTACAAGACGACCTGGCAGGGTGCAGGGTCTAATAATGGGTCTGCCAGTTCTCTTTACTAACAATGTCCTCTCCTCTACCGAGTGTGCAATACATAGATAACATAATGAGCAAAATTAGAAAAATTACGACCTAAAAAAATTCTGGCAATTGTATTCAATAGAAAGTAGCAAAGTCGTGATACTGCAGTAACGAGCAGTTTTACTGCCGATTAAATTAGTGTATGTCGGTATTATAACTCACAACTGAGTAGTTATTTTTGAGTCAAGGTAGTAAGTCACTCGGTCACTAACTCTATAATGTAGGCATAATAAGAGTTATCTAATAAGCAAATGTCAGATGACGAAACAGATATACTAGATATTTCACGCAACTTCGTTTCCTTCATGCCAAATTTCAATAAGATGAATAACCATTTATAATATCAGTATAGAAGTACGGAAGTGGATAGAGGTGGAAGACATGTACAGGACAAGTCTAAACGAAGTCATATATTGGTAAAACAAAGCTATAGACAGATTTTGTTGGTAATCTCTATCTGGTAAACAACCATCTACCACCTAACTTAAGTAGAAACTAGTAAGTCTTCTGGTGTAATATGTGGGTATAGTTGTCGAACTTAGAGATCGAGTTTTTTATTACACAACGACCCATTCTTACGTAAGAAGAGTGAGTGGACGTCATCGGTACATAATATTGGCATGCATTTGCGTGTACTTTGTTTGGCAATACTAAATTAGTCGATAACTTGCTAGCCGTCTATCTGGATTTATCGTTGGAACATAGTAACGTTTAAATTATTTTTTATAGCACAGTATTAGCAATCGAGCATACTGGCTATTGTAAATTGTTACCGTAACCCATGGACGACTAAAATATCAGAAATGTGCGTTCTAAATGAATAAATACTATGTACCTATACCCGCGGTAGTCTATGTGATAGAGATATTTATAAAGTAGACAAAGTTTACTGTCTTTAGAAATACTACTATGAAATTACATATAATACATGTATACGGATTTTATTGAGTTATTGTATGTTAAGTACATACTTGTAGTGAAGGATTATGCCATACGAACGGATAGGTTAAATTTCTAATATTTTTTTAAATTATTCAACTATTTATTTTCTTTTATTCCGAGCTATTTTAAGAATTTATAAGGTTATATTTATTTAAAAAAAACGTTACTATTAAGTAAATGGATGATTACGCGAAAATTCAGGTTTGGGAACTGTAATTGTAAATTATCCTACAGGTTCATGAATCAGTATACTCATCAAATCAGAAAGGATTGATAATTAAAAAAAAGTTCATTTAGTAGATTATGTGATAAATAACTTTATTATAAAATTGACATGCTGAGACGATATTTGACATTTAATTCTCTATCGGCACTTGTTTCATAATTGATTTTAATGTGAATCGTCAAGGTCTGTTTTAATGGATGATACTGGAATAGTGTACAATGGCTTCCAGTAATGATAGAGTCACTACTTCCAACTCAACAGTCAAAAATTGTTATTAAGTTAAATATTCGGTATTCTAATTCTTGTAACTCTTCCAGAAATCCTAACTAACCACAAATTTCCATTAGAGTGAAGTAGAACTGATACCCTGTATCTCTGTACTATTGAGTTATTGTTTCCCTACTCACTGTTTCTTCTGTAGTATAACTACTTACTTTAGATACAGAAGATTGTAGGCACACCTATTTAAATGTACTACGCAATCAAACAGGGCTTATCGTGAGTTCTATGACTAATTTAGTGAGAGTGGCGCAATCTCGTGACAAGAATTTGTAAGTCGCCATTGTTGTTCACGAAGTTTTTTATCCTCCTGCCATTTTGCAGATACAACAGACATAAAATTATATTGAACTTAAACTAATGTAATCTCAATATCAGTATATGTATGTTATATTTAGACGAAACGATGATTAAAAGAATCGATAAGAATATCTATTAGTTCCTTCACTGGCAACGAACTATGGAATTATTATGTTACTAATGTATAATTCAGGAGTGTAAAAAGATGAGAAGTGAGGTGAGAAGGCGGCGACCTTCGAATGGATGACAACACTAAAGAATTTTTAAGTATCTATTAAGATACCACTATAATCATCAGGTATTTCTTTTATATTTTATTAAATAATTTACTTTCAATTAGTTTGGCATGTTCTTTTTTTTTAATAAATTGTTTGATTTTAATATAATATTTGCAAGTTCGTAGCTACACCTATGTAATATACATAGGTGTATCAGACAATCATCACGATCCAGTGCCCACCATGACCTAATTTTGTCATGATTGTAAGTACGTGGGATCAATAACGTGTAACACATGATTATCGGAGGCGGGCGTCGCAACAGGCTGCGCTTGCGCAAGAAGTGAAAGTGTAGGTACTTGCGACAGCGGTGCATCGGCGCTGATGCATCAAGGGTTAGTAGTATAGAATTACAATATATTCTATATAGTAGCATAACGCATTTAAAGTCTAAAATGTGATTCTATGTCAAACAAAAAGGGAAAAATGTATTGAACGTATTATATTTAATATTCTTTAAAAATTGCATATAAAAAAATCTCAACGGTAACAAACAGTTCGCAATAATAATCGATAAAATTGTAAATTGCCATGTCATCCCATATTATACTGTCATTTCAAGAAAAATAAGTAAAACCGAGTTAATTTTGGCGAACAAATCAAGTAACATACACCCAAAAAATCTAATTGCAAGCTGAAGCGAATTTATTATTAATTAAGAACAATGTGAAGAACAACAATGTAAAAAAAGTATCTAATATCTATACTAATATTATAAATATGTAAGTATGTCTGTCTGTTTGATATCTTTTCACGGCTAAACGGCAGAATGGAAATTTTATATGAAGAATAATGGTACTACGAAGATGAACATATGTTATATTTTATCTCAAAACAAGCAGACGAAATCGCGGGTAACAGCTAGTTAGGACATAAAAGTAAGGTGATAGTATTACTCCAATATAACTAAGAATACAATTATTAAAGTTCACCGATAAATTAATTATCATCATCATCTGCTTCTTCCTTTTCCCATTTATTTGGGGTCGGCGTAAACATTATAGCGTTATTTACTTCCTTTCTTACCATATCATCTTTCACACAGTCCATCCATCTTTTTTTTGGCCTTCCTTTGCCCTTATATAAATTAATTATATTAACTTTAAACATTATAGCCGCTAGCTGCGAGATTGATGGATAGATTCAACAAGATTCTTATTAGTTAAAATGCTCGTTTTCTGTCTCAGTAGATAATATGTTTTTACTATCTATGTTAAAATATAAATAATTTGTTCATAGAAATGTCAGTATTTGGCATTGACATTTGATTAACCTAATTCTTTATTCGACTTCGACTTTTTTAATGCAAATTAATATATTAAATAAACTGTACGTTATTTTATCTAAAACTGTTAGAAAACCTAAATGGTATTTGGACACTATTTGTTATTAAGTTTTAGGTATATACCTCACTAAAAGTAATGTGTATAAATCAACTAGTAACTATACAACCTACTAAGAATCTGTTACCTAGTAAGAATCTGTTCTTTTCAAATATGTTTGGAAAGGATATTTTCACTCTTTAGAAAGCAAATAATTTGACAAATTGAAGTAGTGAGGAAAGTGATATAATCGTCCGACTAAATATTCGGATTTATTTGTGAACTCTATATCTAACTTTGTGTTACCATCTCGATGGAATCTCTGTTATAAAATTAATTATATAAAACCTAGGAAAAGAATGGAAGATGAAAACGCACACTTCGCCTTAATATTCTTCGTAATTTTCAGTAAACGCTTTCCTAGATTATAAAGGAAACCCTATATATATATATATACGTAATACATTATTAATAATAATTACAATGTACAGCAATTACGACTACATATCGGTACAAGAATTGCAAATATATGACCTAATGCATAACATAAATTCGGAGGTAGATATAGTTATAAAATCGAACAAGAATCCTGCATTTAATATTAATGGCCACATTTTAGGCTAAACGTACTCGTACTTCACTCGAGACGACCACAGGATTGTAACCAATCGAAAAGAGGCAATGACATCATAATTTTTTATAGCGTTTTATTTTATTCCACGTAATGATTGTAAAACATTTAGAAATATGCACCTTTGTCAAAGTCACTAAACATCCATTTATTAAACTTTATTTGACATTCTCTATAAGTGTCTCGTCTCAAAATAAATCTACCTGTTTTTTTTTATGTAGATAGCATTAATGTTTATTCCACATACAGACAACGACAATTACAATATTCGGTTTCATGTTTCATTACTAACATTAATATCTAATTTGGCAAAAGAATTCGTATCTCAGCATTGTACATACCTACTGTACCAAAAAACTTTCATTCACTTTGCATTTCATAATTAACATTGTTTAGTGAAAAAATTATGTATGAATAGATTATTATATTTCTGATTATTCTTCATTAACAACAAAACAAAGGTATGAATTTAATATGTCCATATAAAATTAGCATAAACCGCAATTTTTCTAATTGATATCACAGATATTTTACATTTACTTCGTTTTATCTTTTTGTCATTTAAGTTTATTTATTTATAATACTAAAATAATTATTTAGTTGCATTACATTTCCTATCTACGTTGCCCACTTTCTCTCAACAGGTAAGTAGTTATTCATTGCAAAAACGGAGCTTGAATATTTGCGTAAATTTTAATGGCTTGATGTCAACATGAACCGATTTCATAAATTTATGTTACTGTGTTTTGATACTGCTAAATTACAAAAAACCAAGTTAATGTCAATGTCGACTTTTAGTGAACTCGCTCGACGGTAAAATATAAAGTAGGTACCAATATTTTACTTACAATTTATAGCATTCATTATTCAATTTTTATTATTTTTATACAGTCATTTAGTCTTATGTTTGACTACTTGCCGTTTTGGTAAAACCAACTTTAGCGGAAATTATTGCAAATTATTTATTTATTTTGATATCTCGATATGAGTTATGTGATTCTGTGTTCTCGAATAAAATTAAAACAGTAAAATTGTTACAACGACAAAATTTATAAATAAAAACTTTAAAAATATACAAGGTTATAAATGAATCAGAATTTTACATGTTTAGATATGCGTTTTTAGTCATTCTGATATTTTTTTATTAATTATTGTATTTAGACTATTTAGTCCTAAGATTAATAGCCAATTTAGTGACAGTTATATATAGTTGCAGTCTCACAGCTTTTAGGTATTATTAAATGTTTAAGCGTCTAAAATTAAAACAACATATGTAATATTATATTATCTGTGGTTATAGTCTCAAAGTCTACATATATTATTAGATTATGTTTTGGTGTGTGTTAAAACATAACACGAAAACCTCATCCGCGCTTTCATTTAGAACTAGATTATAATTGTATTCGATTAATAAATGTTGATGAAAAGTTGACGTCATTATGTTAATATAAACACCAGTTTATCTATAAATAGTAGTGTGTTTACCAAATGAATGAGATTATAAGTACATTAAAGAATTTATTCGCCAAATAACTTTCTAAGTAATTAAGATTAAGACACCTAATAAATATAAATGATTCTAATAAATTTTTCTGTGGAATCAAAAGTATATCATTAAATAAATTCGAAATTGTCTACTACTAACATATTCAACTTAATAATAATTGCACAATTGGACAATGTTATTAGATTTGAAATAATGAAATAACTATGACAATTAAATTTAACTTGTAAAATACTACTAACGAATGTCAATTACGTACAGTTGCTTATCGAATAATTTGTCTGACTGACAAAGCATTGCCAGCAAAACCGTATGAATCTGCTAAGAAAGGATTTGAATGAAGATCAACTAAGTCCTACCATTTATATTACCCTTAAAGCAGTTTATTAATAAATAAATTTACTTATGGATAATAATTAACCTATTGGTAGAAGGCCAGTAAAAATTTAAAGAAACGTGGGCGAAAAGGTGGGTGTATTATATCAACCCCATCTATACAAATTGTTTGTGGATCTTAAATTCTCAAACACCATTTTATTTGATGTTTTCCATAGGTATATATAATGTTATACTATTATACAGAAATTTTACGTTGAAAGTGAATATCTAGAACAGACAATTCTTAGTAACATTTTTTAGTTTTAAATTTTGACACAGATAATAATAAGATATAATATATAAATATTTGGTATATAATATGTATATAAATGCATATATAATGAAGATCCATCAAGCAGTTAACATAAATAGTTAATTAAAATGTGAAGTTATTATAAAGTAGGTAACCTTGACAGCTACTGATGAAACTTTTTAACACAGTGTCATTGACCATTGACGTTAAAAATATAAATTAAACGTAGAAACATATTATCTTCACACTATGTCATATACGGGGTAGGTAGATCGGACCCAAACATTGTTTTAATCTTCTTTCATGTAACTGAAATAACTATCGAATCAACAAACAAACTAACGAGGCACTAGATGGTAAGTCACCACTCATACTTTGGAATGAGGGAAAGCTCTGGTATCCTACGTCACCCTATAATTCCTCACCCTTGATCCCAAAACCATTTACAATACAATCTGCCTCGCGGCTGAAATAAATGAGTCAGAGGGGTACCTCTGACTCATTTATTTACGCAGGCTACCTTGTACAAAGTGTAAATCATCAAATTTCATTTATGTAACAATAGAAGCCTTTGCAAGTCGGTTATCTTATTTGATTTGCATTATTAGTAATTATAACTCATGTAGTAGATATACGCCGGTTGACGGTTGAAGCTTCGACTCCTCCTACAGAATCAGACACATGTTTGAGAACATTAAAATGCCTATGTACCTATGTTTTTTCACTTGATATTATTTCCACATATCGTACTCATTTAATAAAATATCATCTTATAAATAAATAAATGAAGGAAATTTGATTTTGTAATAATTAGTAGGTTAGTACAATCGTGATATAAGTTTCATAAGGCGCAACTGTTAACATTTAATGTGGTAATATTGCCCATTAGGTATATAACAAAGTTAGGTATATAAAGAAAGTAATAATAATAAAAATTTGTACTATTATTAAAAAAATATTTCATCCGTGTATTCAATTTTTGGGTTTGGTTTGACATTACATATATTACTTTATGTTCTGTAAACCAGTAAAGAGTAAGGGAGTGGCCACAGGCTGTCGTTATTACTCAATCCATTGCATAATAAACTGATATCGTTATGTGAAATTTAATTTATAAAACAAAAAAAGTGATTACTATCTAGCTTCGTTATCCAAGTATGTAATTGGTAAAAAAATGACAATGGAGCACGTTGAAATCTTTTGTATGGAATGTTACCTGTAGAGGTTCTACAAATGAATACTTCATTATATTTACTTTCTATGTAAGAAATAGAGTTTTTAATAATAATTATTATTGATATTGTAATTATAAACATTAACGCTATAATAATATAGTATAATTTGTTATATCTGAAAAATAATACTTACTCGCAAGTGCAGTGACTGCTGTCAAAACTATGAACACTTTCATGATGACCTTTCGATTCCGAAATAACTATAAAAAATAAGTTTAATGACTAGATTTCTGTCCGACCCCTCTAGCGGCCCTGGAGCGACTGACGGCCTCAGTCTGCGCGCGCGCCTTTTCTTCAGGTGACCTGCACACGCGCATAAACCGGTACGAAGACTTAGGCGTGATTTAACAAATTCTTCCATTAGTGTAACAATACTAATTTGCCTGCTTTGTGGTTGCATAGCCCTTAAATGAGCTGACGATGACGTTAAATGAGGAATTTTGCATTATCAATTCTTGGTTCAATGAACTAAGCTTTACCTTACCATGATAGCAGTTCTTCTGTCCGTATAGTGTCAGACTGCACTATATCCATATATAGTAGTGCAGTATGACAGTATATATATTTATGTTTGAAATAATTAATTTATTATATTAACTAAGGTTCTTTTAAAAAGAAAAACAAAACTGTTTAAATTATAAATTCGTCATAGACTCCATGAGTTGAATTTAAAGACTTCATTATTAAAACAGAATGTTCATAATAAGTTTTTCTTGCCTATCTGTCCATCTATATGTACGCTAAGTCACAGCTGTATAACGAACAACAAAGTGTTAAAAGTTCTGATTAATTTGAAAAAAAGATTTAACATGTACCTATTATTACATATGTAAAAACTACCGTCAGTTAGGAATGCTGCAAGAGTGGAGACAAGAAACTTAACTCTTATTCTTTTCAAATGAGTCTATTTTCAATAAGCGTATTTTTGTAATCATGTACACGAATACAATAATACAAATTTGTTTTTAAATTAAATTAAAGAGAATCTAGTGACCACCAGACTATGCTATTGCATTGTTATCAAAAGAAAATGCTTTAATCAGTAACCCGAACAGACTAGTCCCCACAAGCATACTGTAAATATATTCACATAACCTACTATAAAATTATAAATATGAACGCTGTTACCCAGATGGATTTTCTATTGCTTTGTAAAACTCAAATATCAATTACGATTCACATCGAAATTATATTTGGCTGATTGATTACATTCGAGACATTCTAAATGTTATAAATAGGTATATTTAGATTGATTACAATAAAGTAGTTGCTGTGTGAATCTCAACGAGGTGCGTGGATGTATTCGTTGTAAATAATTATAAAACACCAAATTGTAAATTAAATCGTAATTATATATATTTATTAAAATGTCGATGTAATTAGCGATGTAACAAAATATTGAAGCACATTAAAAACAAATGATAATCGTAATTATTAGAACACAGCGTTACTATATTTAAATATTATTAAGTAAATAATTAAGAAGGTTTTCATACCTATTTTTGTTGGAGTTTCCAACAGTTGTAGTGTACAATAAAGTTCGTACCCACTAGAATACGTCCGAAATAAAGATTTTGTCATTTTATATAGACCCATGGTTTTATTGAACCGGGAATATTAGTATGCGACGGATACGCTGGGTTCATTTCGGTTGTACAGTTAGCTAATTGCATGACCAGAAATGTAACAAATTGCCGGTGGACAATAGCTATTTGAATATTTATTTCATACATACCTTCCTATATTATGAATGCAAAATTGTCTGTATATTTGTTACCTTTTCACTACTAAATGACTGGTAAAATTTGACGTGAAAATAGATTATATCACGAGGATGGACATACTGACAGCCTTTTATCTCAAAGCAGACGAAGACGAAGGCTTACTAGGCTACTATTGTATGTATATGTACGTTTTTTTAATATGTTTCTACATCTGAACAAAGTTAGTCCTCACGTGGTGTCGGAGGGAACACTAGGGGGCTGTGTCAGTTCAGTTTCCGGGACGATTTAATGCATGCTTGCATAAGGATGTATAGTAGCGTTTCCTCTTCTGCTTGGAAAAAATCTGTAGATTAATGTTAAGCTAAGGTCTAAATTCGCTACGTGCTTATTCAGCTTGCAGTGTCCCGTGAGGGCCTATGTCATGATGCATATATTGTTTTTTCTCAATGGTAATAGTCTATTGGGATCCGAGTAATAGTTTTCTATTACACTATATGAATAAGAAGAATGTAGGTCTTTCGCAAAGTATTTAATAGTAAGTACCTAATGTAATACATTGTAAATAGAGTTCTGTTTTAGCTGACTCCGCATATCCGCATTATTTTATTGCTCAAAGGAGAGGTCATTTGGGCTATTGTGAGTGTATAGCCGACACTACTAGACTAGCTTGCCAAGCACCTTCCAGGTGCGTAGAAACTTCCTGGTGTCTTTCAAAACAAGTTCACTGTTTTAAGGGTTTCAGGACGTTGGGAGGCCACTGCTACGCACTCCACGATTAAAAGAGCGGCTGTTTCTTCTGTTTATCAAAGCAAATCCGACATAGAGGTCTATCGTACACACTGTATACCACTCATAAGACGTTACGCTACTCCATCCTGTAATTTCATTACCGTATCTTGATTGCCTTCAAATGATACACAGCTAACAAATGGAAGCTGCTTGGCGGCTGAAATAGGTGTGACTGGGGAGGACTTTCTACAAAAACCACAAAAATTTGATTTGTTTTAAAAAAATTAATAGCACAAACGGTCTTGTTAGTCATTTGACATTCAAAATACTCCTTTCGCTGGCGGATACTTAATTCCAATGCCAATTCCAATACCAAATCACCATGATAATCTGCTTTATAACTATCACCGTTCATAGCATAAACGATTTTGACCTTTGCCTGCCTTTTTTTATTTAATTTAATTTTACATTAAAGGATAATTTTGGCAACTATTAAAGGATATATTTAATGCTTAATTAATTAAAACCCTGGAAAATTCACACAGTGCCATCTAGTATTTTAACAACTGAGCATATCTTGACTGGACAACTGATACAAATACTTATATACATAGAAATATATACCTAGAAAACACCTAGACCAATAGATACAATCATATTCATGAATACAAATGTTTAAATCATGCGAGGAGACGAACTCACAACCATCCGAAGGCTGTGTGCTAAACCGCAAGATCACTACGGCATCACTAATTTATAATGAGTATAATATATAATAGAATATATTGAAACGTAAGTGGTCGATTATGCCGATATTATACTAATTGAAAATTTTAGGTCATTAAACAAAAAGTTACTTTTGAATAATCCAGTATGTATTATACATTGTGATAGAAAGTAGGTACTACATACATTTTTTATTCCTACACTACTTTTTGTTGTAATTCATGTTTCTTGTTAAGTAAGAGTTCTACATTACCACGTTGTATCGGTAGACCGTTGGATATTTTGCCATTGCAATGTCATAAAAAATGGTACCAGTTGTTTTAAACTGTTATTTTTCGTAAGACTAAAACCATAACATAAGAATGGTATCTATACCGCATGGATATTCTATATATAATAAATTGCAAATTTCAATCCATATGCCTTGTAGAAAGTTCACTTTAGTTTTATTAACAGTGTCCTATCTAAAAGATAAGTTTTTAATGTCCACAAAAAAATTTTAACGGGTTTGTTATACAACTTGATTATATAACACGGACTATAATATACAAAAAAAAATAAAGTAAGTACAATGATAATTATATACATGTTTTTTTTTAATTACAATAAACAATTTGTGCGATTCATTACTTATATATGTTATAAACTTGTAGCAGATTAAACTCTAATGTAGATATTTTTTTAAGTTCATGTAAAGTTAAACAAACTATGGAAAAAATCACGAAATTGAAAATAAAGAGTATCTACGTTTTTTAGGTATCCCCTTTGACATATTTACTAGATGTTGTAGTATAAACTGAACTAGTTTGTAATTATCAAAATTTTAGAAATATCATATTTACAATAACTACATCAAGAGCTGACGACCAGACTCATAGAAACAATATAAGTTACGTTTGTACCGCCACAAACAAATATGAATACAATGTCATAAATACAAATATTTGTATTGTGCCGGGATCGAAACCCTGACTAATATTAAGTGGGTATTTTACAGCTACATAGGTCGTCTTACATATGTATATTGTATATACAGAAATATCATAGAAAGTGTCACTTCATAATTTTCAGTACACAAATAACAATTCCAGTTTAGTAGACAGTTTGCACTAAACAATTTTATAACGGATTACAAAAGTGACCTTTGCAATACTTCAACCGGAAGCAAAGTATAAAAATTTTTCACTGAACATATCGTTACATCATGTATAATTTGCTTGCATTATACGTGTAAGTTTGTTTTGCACTTAAGTAAATGTTTTTCATACCTACATATACACATATTTGCAATAACACGTACACACGGTTGAAAAATCGACCAATATTTTTCTGTATCTGGTGCAATAAAGAGTATAAATAAATAAAAAAACAAATATGTCGATATTTAGCAATTAACATAAATATAAAGGCCTAATAAAATAAAATATTGAGGCCTTCCTGTCTTTACTAATGTTGGTAGAGAAGCCAAATGGGTATTAGGCACAAATAAGGGAACAAGCAATCGAATTAATGCTAATGCTAATGTTATCACAGATGGGGTATTCATAGGTTTTGTCAGCTGTCGACGTCATAGTGAACGCAATACTTATCATGCCTACATACTACTGAATATATGTGAATTTAACTGTGTTTTGGATATACTTTCTGTCTCCAGTGCGTGCCTCCGATACATGACGCTGGTATACCTAAATGGTCGTAAGTATAACGACCGATTGCCATAGAGGTAAAGAAGATGACAGAGGACGAGCTTGCCGCAGTATCTTTTTTTTTTGTTCATTAACCGTATTTTCTTCAACGAAGGGTCAATCAACAATCAAAAATGTTTGAAACAAAATGTGCCTATGTAGACACCCTTTTTTTAATGCGGCCACATCCGATCTCATAATTTTTGGTCCTATTCAGGTTAACAGCGACGACGATACTTTACCCTTAAAATAATTTGAAAATAATATTAAAAGGAAACATGTATGCCACTTCAAACTTCTTTAGTGAAACTGTGTGAACATGACCTCACAAAGCTAGTAAACTAAACAAATTGAAATTCCATCTATTTGTTTAGCAAGTTAGATAAGTAACGAGATTAGTAGATACTATTTTTTATAAGTAACACGTGGTCGTTCAAGACACACCTTATCAGCTGGCTTGCTAGCACACAATACGGTTGATAAAGTGTCTTGAACCACGTGTAACTTTGTTTTATACTATACTAGCTTCCCGTTCCAGCTATTATTGCTAAAATATTGCATCTATCGCTAAAAAATGCAATAAAATCTGTTGCGGAGTTTAAAAAATCTATAAGGTAGCAACTTCATTTTATACTAAGTAAAAGGTGTGTACATATCCTAAGAAATGATCAGTATATACAGTGTACATTATTTACTTACATCCAGGTACCTATATGATGACCGTTGACGTGACCCCACCACGGGTCATTGCGTCGCAACTCACTCTTGTCTAGATTTGATCTGACATTTAAATGTTGCATGATGTCGTCGAACTCGAATACAATTAGCTTTGCTCAATAATTTAATCAACTCCCATCCAAACAGTTACACTTTATTACAAGTTTTTATGTAACTGGGGTGGCTAACAAGCAAAATATTGTAATAATAATATTTAATAGAGAACACTAACATAATATATATAAAATACCAAATCACATATTTATCATTGTGTGTTGTTTCCATTCGCAACACAACTTTGGCTCTACTTTCTCGGGCAAGATGTAATCGATAAAAAAACACCCCACCCCGTGGTAAGACAACCGTCTCCCATATACATAAAGAGCAACATGGACATCACGTTATTATGTCGCGTAATACACCTATACGTTGCTATTGCGGAGGACTAAGATATTCAGGTACCTTGTAATTTCACTGCAATGGAAACACAAACAGCTTGTAAAAAAAACTGCTTTGTTACTGGTTGCAATGTGTGAGATAGAGGACAGAATTTTATACAATGAATATCGCTGGTATGGTTACGACGTTTATTTGATGCGTGTACCTACATGCTTGTAATTACAGATAAGAAATTTTAAATATTCAAATAACGTTCTGTTTGCGTCAGATTTATCTATGTAGTTTTCGCATATTCAGATTTATTTTATGAAGAACTGATAAAATTATAGAATAAGTCTTGCCTGCGCTCATAGTATACATTTGTTAAGTAAATATAATATGTAATGAAAAATACCAACAAAATACATATCCAGTACTAATAATATATTTCATACGTACATAACCAATATTCACCAGTGATTGTCTCCTATTCGAAATGACAACTTTAGCTCTTCGACATATAAACAATCACTTCGAAAAGTAGCAAATTCACCATTATGGGATTCGAGGAGTGGCAATATGATGTCGACCTGACATGCTACGTTATATACCATAGTGTCAGTAATCTTCTTTGCTAACAATCAACTCCCCAATAGAGATAGTATTGCATACCACTTCAAAATATGTAGTTAGCATATATTGCATATTTAATAGCCGTTAGCCCTTGCTCTTTAACATTAAATTTTCACATGTCAGCCCTTTTCATGTCATAAAAATATTCAAACAGTTAAATTTAAAAAATACGGAAGATCTCTGGGACATGTCAGTTAAAGTAGTTAGTACATTCATAGATATTGTTGCTCCTTATCTAGCTACTATTTTCAATAAATGTGTTGATAATGGCGTGTTTCCTCAATTAATGAAATTTAGCAAATTAATTCCACTCTTTAAATCTGGAGATAGATTTGAGCTAGGCAACTATAGACCAATTTCTATTTTGCCAGTTCTAAGTAAAGTATTTGAAAAGATTATGTTTAACCAAATGTTAAAATACTTCAGGGATAACGGACTGCTTCACAGTCAGCAATATGGTTTCATGCCGGCAAGTCACTACTGATGCAGGTGTAGCGCTTATTACACATATATTCGAATCATGGGAAGACTCACAGGATCTCGGCGTTTTTTGTGACTTGTCGAAGGCGTTTGATTGCGTAGATCATGAAACACTTTTGTACAAGCTCAAACATTATGGTATTAGAGATAATGACATAAGTCATTTAAAATGTAGATATTGATGGTGTAAAGTTAGGAACTAATATATATTGTTATATTGCCCATATTTAATAAATGCTACATTAGCAGATATAGTGATAATATTTTTTTACAATGTATTTAACTGAGTGTTTAATTTTTGTGTAATGCTCCACTAAGTGCATTAAATTCATCATAAAACAAGTAAATCGGCGTTATTATTAAATTTTGTTAATGATACAGTTTTTTTAGGAATAACAGTGGACTCGAAGTTACAATGGGGGCCCCATATTTCAAAATTACCGTTATACAATTAGAAGGATAAGGCAATTAACAAACAGAATTAGCATTATTCATTCAGATGTCTTTCAAAAGAGAGGCAAGAGATTTATAGATATACATATGCACAGGATTTTAACTTTTGCATGTGGATAAAAAAAGCTAATTTTAAAACGTCTACACAAAGTTAGTAATTCTATTGATCGATTCATTACAAATTGTCATCTTATATTAAACTTTCTATGCAATATATGCAAGAATAAATTACGTTATAATTTTAATTTTCATACTCTTCTTATAAACTGTTCTTATTATCTTTAAAGACGAGATACCTCAGTAGACTTTCTAAAAAATCGTCTCACCTATTTTAGTCGCTAAGCAGCTGTTTCTCGATTCTTCAACTGAGATATCGTATTCTGAATTTGAGTATTTTTTTAATTACAGGATACGAGACATTATATCTTAGTACTCCAGAATGAAAACGCATGAGTGATATCACAGTCGTGATCATGATCACATAATATTCTTTGTGCTGTTTATGTACATGTATAGGCGACAATTAGGTACCATTTAATGTCAATTATGCCAGTTTGTTTGCTATTCTGACTGATAACTTAAAGAATCTAAAAATCAGGCATAACACATGCAATTTATCTGGTATTGCAGACTAGAATAGCTCTAATCCCTTACCAAAATCATCATTTGTTGTATGCGTTTTACAAAAAGAAATTGTCTGCCAGAGTAACTACTGTATTTCTTTATCTCTTCAGAAAAACTTTTTATTGTTTTATAAAAAAAAATATAAACATAAGAAAAAGTGTCTGCGCCTATATATATTTCATCACAGTATATTAACATAAATAAAACTGGTCGTGCTGCGTACAACATCGGAAGATAGATTGCTGACAATACCTCTCAGACAATACTAACTTTCACTTCATCTATTTGACGAATCATTTGTATAAGGAGATTGTCTGTCAAACGACGGTGACCGACCGACCGTGAACCATTTTTATGTCTAACTTACACAGTTTAAGGCGCACTGAATAGTTTGTATGTATTTGTAATAATAAAATCTATAAAAATAAGTAAAAACGTAGGTTACAATTACATAGATATTTTAACTACTGAACTTATAATGACAACCGATCTGAAACCTTACTCTTTTCTCCTAAGTTTTCGTAAGAGTGAAAGCTTACTGTGCTCTCGTCTCTAGTTTGAATTATTTGCATTAATGTAACTAAATATATTTTTGTTGTGTACCTATAATTTTTTGTTAGCGCTATTAGTCGTTATATCATCCGAGTCCCTTATCATCTCTTCACTTATGCATGGTTTCACAAACCCTATTCAGTGGAATAGGGTTTGAGTTTCAGTTTCAAGGAGTGCCTCGTGTGTTTATATTTCTATTAAAAATCTACCTTTTTACTTGCTGTAGGAGACGAATTTTGCAAACAAATTTTTAACAAATTTACCATTTTGTACTTGATACGAAGAGCTATTTCTTATCTGAGTTGTTAGACAGGTGATTACGAAATTATCAACACTGCAATTGTAAAATCGTTATTTTCAGAAAAATCAAGAACGAGACGAAAAGTATGTATGGGACACGAAAGATACATCAAAATAATAATTGCATTTAATAATGTCTAGTAAGACAAATTCAATATTGTCTACTAGGCACTGCTGTATCTAAACTGTGTCACCCCACCTTACATTTTCCTATTTTTATTTAGTATATAAGATCATTATTTCTATGTACATATTGTCAGTTTATCATCATCTGTAAAATACATCGTCTCGACCAGCAACATCGTATTATTCACCCGCAACAGTGGTGATCTGGCCGACGTGATCTGCCCGACGTGATCTGGCCGACGTGGTCGAGACGATACCTGGGAAAACGACGAGATCAAACAAGAGATCTCTGTCTGACGGCATCCTGCGCACCACCAACGATTGCACATTTCCACCGGCTTCCCAGAAGCGGGTCTCACCGGCTCGGAAATTCAAGAGGCATAAAAGTCGTTGGCAATACTGCACAACAAGGATCCTGCCGTGCTACTGACCCCCAGTAAACACAACTGCCTGCTGAATATAATCTCTGGACGAAAAATTGAAACTGGAAAAATAAAACAAAAAGTCATTGCACACCTGTCGTCATAATTGCGACACTGCGATCAGAAATTGCTGATATACGCGAAAATGGATGTCACATAGTCAGAAAAATGACTATTATTTATATTATAGCAATATATAAAGAAAAGATACAAAGAAACGCTCCTACCGTCGGAAATCTAATTGATATTTTAAAAGCGAACATTCCCATAGACTGGTGAGATACAAGCACCATACAGTTCTCACACGTAATTAAGCCTATTTCCGGTAGTCTTCGACTGTTTTATTTTTCGATAAAAAAATTTTTTTTGTGTGTAATATATATTTTTCTATGGGACACTACATCCAAAATAATAATTGCATTTAATAATGTCTGATAAAATCCACCATCTTACCAAATTTCACATTTTCCTATTTTTATTTCGTATAAAATCAATATATGTAAAAGAGTTTAACAGTAATATAAACACACTTATTATTCGCATTTATTAATCGCCAGTGTAGATATATGCGATAAGAAACTACTCTAATTGATATTTTAAAAGGATTCTCATCCTAATAAGGAAATAATTGTGTCTATAAAAAAACAGTATTATTAGAACAGATAAAACAAACAATTTCTGTAATTATTACTAAACAAAGTTCAATTATTTATTTTACATTAACAAATAATTTTGTGTAATGCTAATTATTTATAATTAGTACTTAAAAGTGATATAGAATCTATATCAATATTTAACATATGTACTATGGTATCTGTGTAATACAATATTATGTTACTATTTGTACATAATTTACTCTGTGTGCCACCAAACAAACACCACTTAACAATATATTTCATTTAAAACTAGTCCTATCAATTCTAAAAAAATATATATATAAAAATGACCAGTCACTTGATTGGTCACTCATATGTTTACAGTAAAATTATTATGAATTATTTAATTTGTTATCAGCTTATATTTTGTAAGGCATTTTCGTCCTGGTCGCCTTGTACAACGTAAACTATATCGCCGTCGTTATATTGACCCTCGATGTTTATTCCTTCTGGCACATTTTCAACTGCTTGTAGCACAATATTTTGTAAGCCTTCAACATTTCCAAGTATGTATTCCTCTACATTTGCCTGCTTGCTCGATGTATCACTATCCACTTTTAAATTTTTACTCGTTTCAATAGCTTTCGCCAATGTATCTTTGACATTCTCAATTTTTTCAGTATTCTCACCAGTCAATTTTTGCAACATTACTTTCTTAGAAATAAACTTGCATATATCTTTTTTCAAATTTCTTTTAACTTCGTTCAAATGTGCTATTTGATGTTCCGAATCAGATATTTGAGAGAGTAGTGATTCTTTGGTTTCTCGTAAATGTTGTAAATCTTTCTTGTAATTATGCAGTACATTTTGGGATTTGACGCGATCCATGTGTTTATTCCTAGATGTTAATGCACTATTTGCTTTCTTTAATGAATCCACAGTACCTTTTAAACTGTGAATGTATCTAGATTTATATAATAACTTTTTCTTTAAAGACATTAGCTTTTTGCAATATTTTGCAGCTTCCAATTTGTATTTAACGCGATCGTTACAGTCGAAACCGGTCAGAGAAGGGACATTTTCAACTAAGTATTTAATCCTAATTGTTTGCATATCTACTTTTCTTGTTGTAATCAATTTGAACATAGTTTTACCAAGATATAGGTTGCTCAACATATCAACTGCTTTCATTTTAGTGTCCTCCGCTACTGTTTGTATGTATCTAAGGAACCATGGCTGTGTCATATATTGGTCTATGTTGAATCGATGTATGTATTCATAATCGGAATGGATGGAGGCATCTGATTCATTAAGAAGCTGACTATCATTATCATGTGAATCCATATATTCTTTACCATCTAATATAGTACTTTCATCAACTTGAAATTCAGTACTATCATTAGCCTGCAATTCAGTATTTTGCCCAACTGTATTCTCTATGAGTCCTGTACTATCATCCACCAACACATAACTATTAGAATTAGCCTCTTGGTCATTAGCTACGGCAGTATGATCATTGTCATATACCACTTCGGATTCAGTGAATCCCTGGCCTTCAGCATTATAAGTAACTACAATACCGTTTTCCAAAACATAACTTTGTGGCACATTTTGCCCGTTACTGGTCAAAACATAGTTTACAGCATTGTGTTCATTATTTTCTAAGACATAAGTCTCACTTCCACTGTTTTCCAATACATATACCTCATGAGCATTCTCATCATTATTAGCCAACACGTAATTCTCAGTGACAATATGATCAGCACTGTTATTTATCTCAGATACTTCAACATTTTGCTCACTCATGTTCTGGATGTAACTTTCATCCATATGTTCTGCTTGGAACGTATTTGTAGCATTGCTCATTTCCAATTGTTCTTCATTTTGACTTGTTCCCATACTGTCAGACATATAGGAAGACCTAAAACAAGTAAACAAGATAATACAATTGTATTAGCCACCACAGATGTTATTTATTTATTTATTTATGATATAAAATACTAAAATAAACCTAGCTAATAAAAGAGACGGTGTTAAAGATATACGTAAATGTCGATGATTTTAAATAACACACTCTCATAATAGTAATCAGAAAAGGAATCAAATAAAAAAATTAAAATATACCAACCCGTTAGAAGGCGCTGGGCAAATGTCTTCAGAAATCCAAGGATTTCTTTGTGTTTCGCATTGAACAGAACTCTGCAATCTCTTTACTGACTCTAATGTTTCTTCATCATAAGATAGTCGTTGTAGACACGTCTCTAATCTGCTTTTTGTATCAATATCTTCATATTCTATGTCTGAAATGAAATAAATATATTTAAAAATATTAATTATTTAAAGAGGTGTGTCACGGATATTTTGATTCAAGATTTTATTTCAAATGAGACAATCCTCTTACTCATTAAACTACCCCTTAATTTTTAGAAAGCATTATGGATGTTGGATTTTTATATTTCATAGTATTTTACTCAACAAGTACATCACTTATTCGATCCCGACCTGTCAGAAACGCAAACTCTGGTAATAAGTAAATATATACTAAGGTTGACTGATTAATAGAAATTAATCTATAATCATAAGGAGATAGGACTACAGTTACCCTTCTTTAATTTCTTGTCCGATGAATATGGTGTACCAAATTCGTCATCATGATTAATATCTTCTGAATTAGCAATATTCACACCTATAAAACGAAATTTATTTAAATAATATAATCTACAGAAATCACTGAAATTAATACATATGTTTAACACATATTCTTGACTACAATCTCAGGCATATAGGATCAATTGTATGTAAAAGTTAGAGATGCCCAATTGCAAGTTATATTTCTAAAGTAAATATTTTGAACTAAATTTTCTGTATACTTGAGCTAGACATAAAACCCAAATCAAGGCAAATAGGAAGAATTAATCTAGTGTTTTATATTAATTTGACAACTTTAAATCATTATTCCATTACTTCTCCATGCTTTTATGAAAGTTATTATTAATCGTGGAATAAAATTTCTTCTTACTACAAATTTTTTGAATTGTATGGTAAAAAAATATCACGTTTATTTTTAAATTATATAATGAGATGAGATTTTATATATTTTATCTAATATTTTAAGACCTTTATTTATATAAACAACTCACTGTCATCTCCTTTACGTTTTCGTCGACCTCTTTGTGGTTTCTTATTCACAGTATCATCTTTAATGTTGCCATATATAAATCTTAAATCTGTAATAACAAATAAATCTGCTAAAATTGTATATATGTTATGTAATTCCATGTATTGGTTAATAAACTATAATTAGGTATAAATTATGTCAGGTTATCTGCACCCTACAACTCAAAACACAACATACAAGACTGAGGTATTAAGTATTTTTTTTTTAAGTATTAAGTATTACCGCCAGATTGTTTTACCTTTTTTATATTTTGCGTATTATCATTTTTTTTTTTTATTTCAAGGATGACTACCTAATACTTCATCCACAAACAAGAATTATTAACATCAATTGGTCTTTAGCTATATATAATACACATGTATTGTAGAGAAACGTGTAAAAAATACACTTTGCAAGTGGGAATGTGGTGTTACGGCATTGAGGAATTTCAATCACTCACCATCACCACTCGTGTTTCTCGCCGTGCCCAGCCAGGTCCACTAGGAATCTACCAATACTGTTTTAGATTAAAATAATTATTGATCTACGAAATTATATTAACCTTTAACTTTCTTCGTTAGTTCATCAAACTGTTCTGGAGTAAAAGTCCTTTCTTCATTATTTTTTTTCATTTTCCTGGCAATGTGGACGAAATAGTTCAGGTTCAAATTAAATCCCGTTAACTCCTGTATGTACTTTTTCAGAATCTTTGGTTCTACATCCAGATACAGAAGATCCATTATCTGAAATTATTAGCATTGCATAAGGACTTTTCTCTAAGGTATACAGTTTGTCATGGAAGCTCATTGTCGATTTAAGTAAAAAGAAATTAAAAATATACTGAACAGATTTAAGAGAGACATGAGAATTTTAGCTAAGTTTCTTTTTCAATAATAAATTTGAGTAAACCAAAAATATTTATTTTTATATATAGTTGAGATCAAATTTATATTCGTAAATAGTATCTTCTTGAATTCTGTGTTTAACAACTTAATTTTAAATGGACGTGTATTTAATAAAAACTACTTCAATACTATACCTCTTCCTTAACTTGAGGATGCAGTCTCTTGCCATGTTGCAATTTTAGAAAATTTTCATTAGACAGTTCATGATTATGATGATCACACACAAACTCAACTGTAAGTACATCTGGATTGTATGGCAATCGCTTCAAAACTATTTTACATGGGCAACTCGTTTTGAGAGTTTCTGACCTATAACAGATAAATTAATTCTAAAAAACTACATATAGCAGCAAATTAATTTGCAGCAGTTCTATAGTTTATGGATGTACAGGAAGCCTATTTATTCAGAATAGACAAGAATAGAATATTAAGCACTTTTGAATAGTATCTTAAATAATTGGTGTGTAAATTTACATTTTAAAATTGAAATTTGTGAATACAAACTACCAACTAACAATAATTGATTAGAGTAAAAATATTAAATATACAAGCAAGTGGTTTAGTAACTAAATAAAATTAAATCAGTTGTAGTAATTAGAGCAGACCAGTCCTTACAAGCAGTACTCATTCTAAAGTATGACAGATGGATGAACAAGTGAATGCAAGACGACTTCTCTTACTGATTACTATATCTGAATCTGAAAGAGGTTTAACTAAATACTGCATCAGTCTAAGCAATCATAGACATCCTCTACTCACTCGACATAATAATATCACAATGTTTAAATAATGTACACAACAGATTTTCCGCACTATCCTCCATAGTAAAACATTCAATACATTTGCTTGAAGCTTTTTTGCGTTATTTTGTTATATTGGATTTCTAAACACATATTATCTATCTAAAATCATTTAGACTAGATTTAATAGTTCCACTTATTGTTAGGGATTCTGCCATTCATTCCTAAATATTATAAGGGTGTTGCTCTACATAACATCAATAAAATAATATTCTTATACCTTTTCCTCATTCCCTTAGGTCGGTAATCACACTTGGGCTTGCAAAAAACACATCTATACGTGTAATATTCTTTGCTGGGATCCTGAGTATGTGAATCAGCACAGGTGTAGTAGTACAACCATTGCTCTGCAAACCCATTAACATACAGACGGAAACTTTCGTGCGTGTCGAACATGTCGCCTGGTTTGATAAGTGTTTCATCCTTGTGGAGGTACATGTCACTGTGTTCAGTGCAGTTTTTGATATTGGGGTCAACTGAAAAAGCAATACAAATAGTGGCTCATCATATTTTGAGTTTCAACTTCAGATGGACAAAATCTACATTTAAGTCTACAAAAATGATTTTCGTTATTATTTTTGTATTGAAAGTGACAATCAATGAATTATAAGAGGAAATTCTGAAATTTGAAACCTTGAAATTTGTTGATAGACCTACTTTGTGGTCTACATGTGTCATCTACATGTGTGTGGATTTTGTAGGGCAAAAATAAAATCTAGACACATTAAAATTGACATGGTGTTACCTAATTGTGTTAACTCACCATTAATAAAAGAATATTGTTGGCTGTCCCCATCAGCATCTGCTACGACATCGCCATCCATACTGGAAAGTAGAAGGAAAATTATATGGAATTGTTATATAAATGTATATGAAATTAGCTAAATCGCGTAACCTTGTCTGTGGCACATTTTTCGCTTTTTTGTAACATTGCTGCTCCGCTCCTATTAGTTTTACATAGAGTGATGTTACAAAGCCAATGACTTCCTTGATAAATTACTATGCAAGTAATTGTCAAAATCTGCTCAATAGATTCAGAGATTTATAACATTAGTATACAAGGAAGATATTGTTAGTAGTATGGACAGTTGACTCCATAGCTACCAATGTTCCAGATTAGTTTGATTTCCTGGAAACCATCATGATAAATTCCTAGTGAATTTATCATGATGGGCTAATTGACTTGACCTCATGCTCATCTTATCATCATCCACTGGAGCCCTACCACCATATTACTAGCAACCTGCCCTGGCTTCGCACAGGTGGATTACTATTTTTTTTATTTCTCAGCTTGTACTATACTATAACATGTGTTATATATTTAAACCTTCCTCTTGAATCTCACAAACTATTTCTCAAAACTACATTAAAATCTGTTGCATATCCAAAAATCTAAGCAAACAGACAGCAGCAGCAACTTTATTTTATACTATGTAAAGATTTCTGTATGCAGTAATAATCTATTAACAGTGTTCACTACCTAATTCTCACAATGTTACCACATATAGACAATAAAAAAATAATTAAACATACATATTTTATAAAAACAAAGGTGTCTTTGTCTGAATTGAATTTAATAAACCAAAGTTGTGGCTTTTGTATGTTACATGTGTGTAACAGCCAGTTTTCAAGGTTTATGAATATTAGTGAAAAGGAGAGTCTTAGATAAGTATTGTTGGTAATAATATAATATTTTATAATACATTGGACTCCCGGTTATCTGACAAATGTTTTGCAGGGCAGTGTCGGACCACCGAATTTGTTAGATTATAGACTACTGTCTAAGAGGGTCCCCTATTGTCCAGTTTTTATTCTGTGTTATACATGTATGTATGTATATGCACTCTGAAGTATGTATTAGACTTTATTATGTATGTCAACTACTATAAGATTCGTTACGATTTAGGAAGTCTAAAATATCACATTTTTCTTTAATTGTCAGTGTATTGTGCTTTCGCATCTGAGCTGATAACAATGAATACACAATAATAAAGTAATACACAATGAATAAACAGTAAACAATGAATACATGCTATACTTCATCACATATAAGTAGTGAAATTCAAACTAAGGAATCATAATCAAAACAATACCCTATGCATAGAGTACAACAGTAGTGATGCATACAAGTTGAAAGTTGTTCAGTCATGCATTAAGGAAGATTGTAAAAAAAATATTCAATAAAAAATAATAGACCATGTCGGATTGCAAGGGGGGCAGGATAAGACAGGGGCTGGATTACCACTGCATATTGTGGTGAAGTCAACACTTGACATGTCCACATTTCGCTGGGCATATTTTCTACCTATGTTTATTGGATTACATTTTGGTTTAATCCATCACCTTGAATATAAATTGACACACAAGTTCTTTTGTGATTCTTTTCATATTAAAATTAACTATTTCTTAGAGCTAATTTGGAGTACTAAATCACAAGTCATGACACCCTCAAATCAGATACACTTCCCACTAAAACTTTTATATAAAAGTACATCTAATTAGAAAAAAATTAAATCAAGTATGAATTTTTTTTATTATTATATTTATATAAAATACCTTTTAATAACTTGGACATAACAGTCCTTAGACAGCTCTAGAGTGTTACTTTTATCCATGTCTGACAATAATGAAATAGTCCTTATATCATTTTGATCAACATTCTGATCATTTATTATCAATTCTATTGCATTTTCTGTTGTGTCAACATCTGAATTACTATTGGGACGAGTCCTGGCACTTTCAGACTGATTCATTTGAAGACCTGTAAATGTATATAAATTAAATATTAATTTGTTCTTTATTTAAATTTCACCTCAGGATTAAAGTTATTAACATTATGTTTTTAATTGTAAATTGTATTAGAGAATGAAAATAATTATACTCCTATTATTCTTATAATAAAAATACCACTTAAAACTGATAAATAATTGAAGGTTATAAATCTAACACAAATAGCTTCTTGTAAAAGGTAGCAGCACAATCATTAATCGATGTACACAGTTTTAACGTAAACAAGGATTTATCAAATTAACAATAATAGTAATGTAAAACTATTAAACACATGCATAATGTATAAAGTCCCTACATATATAGATAATAATAATAATTATGTACATCAGAAATGTAATCACTAATATTGTTTCACTACAGGACACTTTCGTGTTAGGAATTTGGTAACTTCTACAATCACATAAGACAAGCGATAAATAATAAAACCTCTGTTGTATAGGTAGGTTATTATTACAAATATGTAGCATTCTCACTTCCAAAATGTAGGTAGCGTGTGCGTCATATATAGCAACTTACACTTATTATTTTAGTATATTTTTTTAACCTACCTGTAAACAAGTAATGTTTTGGAAATATGATGTAAATAAATCAAAGTTAGCTTCGGTTTTTTTAATATGATTCGTTATTTTCCCGAAATTACGTACCAAACGCTCATTTCGCTCGCTTTTAGATTTTTTTTTTCAATTACTTTTTTTTAAGTTGCGTCGGTGATGGCAAAAGCGTATAGATAAAAATAAGCAAGGCGCTTAATTAAAAGCAACGTATTTCTCCGCGGTGGCATATCTTGTAGAGATAGTTTACTATATCCATTCTAATTTTTAATGAAAATATAACATAATAATGTAGAATATGAATAAGCTTTTTACACAGATGAAGTTATTAATCACTATTAAATTAACTACGACAGTTACCATAAGCATTTCAAATACATTACAATAATTTTTAACTGAATACCATTTAATTTAATATGTTAGGAGTCACATTTATCATTATGGTTGATGTGTCTTTTATTCCAATTTTAAGATGTAACAATTTTATGTTACACGTAATTATAGGAGAAAAATAAATGTCAAGACATGATGGAATAAAAATACCAAATCGTGAAGTTTATTATTTATTTATTGCGATAAATGCGAATTTAATTCCTCGCCCGTGAACATATTTTTATTCAAAAGTATGATTGTTAATATCGGTCAGGGTGCTTTCTATGTATTATGTCTGCACCCACAATACAAGCTCTGCTTAGTTTGGTCCTATATTGTGTTGTATAAATTATCTATGTTTGTTCTTATTTATTACTAGGTATTTACTGTTAGATAATAATGTTACAAGAAAAGTACCTACTGTATATGTAAACTGAATAACTATTTTAATAAAAGCATGCTTATACGCTTTATCTGTTGTTTTTTTAAAATATTTTGATTGACAGTGACAGTGTGACAAAATTTGAAAAACAAGTTTTATTAATTTTTTTCTATACGAATTTACAAAACAAAACAAACATGTGAACATCATGGCATTACCCGGTAAAGTTTGGAGATAAATCTTAGAGATATATTTTAAATCTCCAGTCGTGAAGAATGATTATCGCATTGCAAACTCTAATATTCTTTCGTGAATCTTTATTGACTGCCATAGATCGGTTGCTACGTCCATATTACAAATATTTTTTGCTATTTAACCATAATGGAAATGTGATCGAAGATGACGACTCCGAGGACCATGTATTCGCGGAGTTTGATGATGAAAAAGGAGTTGTTTTTTATCCACCAGTATATGCACAAAGGTATGCAGCAGTCAGCGATTGTCTCATGGATGACCGGTGGTGCGGGAAGTTAGAGAAGGTGGGTAACACTGTTAAAATTATTATCTCATCAGCATTCCATTCGAAATCTAACTTTACACTTTCTCTAGTATACCGTTGTACTTGATTATAAAACTAAGACACTAGTATGCATCGTCATCCTGTCATCTTCATCACTGCTGCACTGAGTACCATTAGAGCACCATTCTATAAAATATAAAATGGCTACTTATAAAATTACATTTAGTGTAATAACATACATCTATTTAGAGAACCACAAAAGTTTTATAGTTGCAAAGTGATCTGTATTTATAAATGTAATTTTAAAACTAGCCATTTTATAATATAAGGTTAGGGAAACTGTCTATACATATTAAAAATATCTAAAAAATGGAAACTTTATTTACTTTTTTATTTTAAAGAAATAATGGTAATAATAGAAGAAAATAATTTAATTTCTAAAGAAGAATAATATGTATAAATATCAATTATTAACAACTACTTTTAATGTTTATGTATTTTATTAAATTCAATTTGATTATTTTTATGACATCTTTTAGGTCGTAGATCTTGGATATCATGATATGAGCTTCATAAAATACCTGAAGGACATGCCTGGTATTAAGTGCATCCTCGGTGTTGATATTGAAAGCATACCTCTTCGTTGTTCATCTGACATGTTTGCTGCTGATGAATATTCTCCAAAGAGGGAACATCCATTACAAGTAACTGTAAGTAAAACTCAACTTTTAAAAATTTGCTATCTTACTGCAGGTCATTCATAAGATAAGGATATTTAGCTTATTGTTACTAAACTGGCAAAATGATTTGGTATACTGTTTTATCTCGAGTTTACCTTCTATTGTATCACTGTGGTGATAGCTTCTGTAGTCTAGTGGTTTAGCATACCTCATTACTTTCTATAGTTGTTGGTTTGATTCCTTGTACGGTACAAACAAATTGTATTCATAAGATTAATATAATTATATGAGATGAATATATATATTATTCTTTATTGTACACACACAGAAAAAACAACAGTAATAAGGTAAATGTAATGTACAATCTCTAAAAAGAGATTTATTCCAGCAAACCTAGAATGCAAATATTCATGTGTGTATAAAAAATGTATTTTTATCAGTTGTCTAGTAATCATAACATAAGCTCTGCTTAGGTTGCAACTGATGGTGCTTTGTTAATTCTCCTGAGATATTATTGTTATTTTTATTCTTTGTTTAAATTTATTTTCTATTTTAGCTCTTTCAAGGCAATGCTGCAGATCCAGACTATAGACTTATTGGCTGTGATGCAGTAGTAGCCATAGAAATGATTGAGCATATGCTACCACATGACCTGGAAAGACTTGTGCACACAGTGTTTGGTTTTATTAAACCTAGGATTGCTGTGTTTACAACACCTAACTCCGACTTCAATACACTCTTTAAGGCTTTAGAAAAAAATGGTCTTAGGAGACTAGACCACTTCTTTGAATGGTCAAGGGAACAGTTTCATGATTGGTAAGCATTATTTATAATTTGTTGGTTTGTTTGATTGTGTGTAAAAGAAGTATCTGCATTTCAAATGATGAGAAAATGTAAAAGGTGTTATAATACATAAATTATTGACTATCTAATAATACTTAAATATATAATACTAAAATTAAATAATATATAAATATATTGCACAAACTAGTATTTCATATAGTTAGTAGTAATACTGTGATCTTACAAAATAAAACCGCACTGTCGCATTGTTATTAACCTTATTGTTAGTATCCTCATATTGAGGCTTTGCTTTTTCTTTTACAACATACTGGAATTGTTATAATAATAGAAGCCTTTATTGAAACAGTAGCTTTTTTTACATTATAAAATGATTTTGTATTTCATCTCAGATATATTTATGCATCAACAAACTATCTATAAGCCACTTATTGGCAAATGCCTCCTCCAAGATTTTCTCTGTCTATCCCTATCTAGCTACCCTTCCCCATGCATAAAAGACATATTATGATATTAATCCATCTCTCAAATGGGAGGGGTAATCATTATAGGTAAGTTTATATCTTAGATATGCAATTCATTTTAGCCCTAATATTTTCAGGTGTAGTAACATAGTGTCCCGTTATCCACAATATACAGTTTCCTGCAAGGGTATTGGTCCAGGACCTACTGGTACATTGCATTATGGCTGTTGTAGCCAATTGGCACTATTCATCTCTAAGGACTATCATAAACAACAGGATTTGAACTTGAATAGCTTGGCTCTGGTTGCAAGTGAGTCATTATCTTATCGAAATTATTTTGTCTATAGTATTTGTATATAGTCCGTGAGTCCACGTGGTCATGTGTAAGTGGCAATCATTGTCTATATACATGATCACTGATCATCAACTGCACTATCAAGTTCACATTATTACCTGACTCTTATATTAACCCATCTTGAGTTGCCATTTTGGAGGATTAATATGTTATTGTTCAGTACCATGTAATTTCACTGCCATGTCTCTCCACTCAACCAAATGAAGCTCACAAAGCTGCTGCAGCTGGTTGACATGATTGAGATGGAGGTGCCCATGTAGATGACTTTGTACAGGTCTATATCTGGTAATATAAACTAATTAATATTAACAGGACAGGAACAGGAATAAACAGACCGACAGGCAGACAGACAAAAATTGTAAGAAATGTTATCTTTGTGAATGTACCGTATATATATTTGTATGCAAGTAGTAAAAAAGGTTATTTCAATATTACAAACATACACTCCAATTTTATTTATATGTATAGATGTATAGATTAGTATAAAGCTGATGATTGTAAAAGGAAAGTTTGTTTTTTAATCAGTATACTTGATTGCAGATGCTCCAGATTGTGACAATGTACGTGAGTTGATTGGCAGTTGGGAATTACCTGAAAGCCCCAAGTGTCATTCAGAGAACAAAATGCTTTGTTTGCCAAACAAGTAAGTCAACATTCCTTACCATAATATACAATCAATGAAAGTTCGTTATTGGACTGATGTCATCTCCTAATTAAAGGGGGACATTAGACACTTACTGCAACATTGTTTAGTAATATGGAGTAGGTTATTATTGTTTTGACAAGTGTTGACACATTATATCTATACTCTGGAATCTGGAAGATAATCCGTGAAAAACATGTAATTATTCAAGCTAAACCAATAGACCACTTGCTGCTGAAAAGCCCTACAGAGATCAGTACAATGACCAATAAATATACTATTATGTATAGCTCCATTATTATTACTGAGACTATATTCTAGGATCGTATTGATTCAATCACAAATACTCAATTCTCGAATTTTTTAGAGGTTTTTAACTATATAGTATATCCAATGTTATATATGCATATTGGTATTCTTTAGGATTACGATGTTCTATCTTTAGTTTAAGAGGTTATATCTTAGAACCACGATCTGCTGCTTGACATCAGAAATAATTAAGACACTATAGAATAGTTATAACACTAATTCTAGTAGACAAAGAAAGTAAAAGTCAACTTTCTGGAACTTTCCTGTGCCATTCCAGTGTGGATTCCTTTAACGAGTTTGTATTCTCGGATAAGCAATCATGCGTAACCGTCCTCATTTCACCCTCCTTCTCCCTGGAGACCCTCGAGTACCGCGATAAGATGTCACAGTGTAATTTGGATTTTGAAGTGGGCAAGAATTTTCTTATGTTTGACGATGAGTTGTGCTTTGACGTGTTGGTGCCGCGAAGGATATTGAACAATAGGGTTTATGAGATTGAGGATATAACTAGCAGGTCCAGTTTTTTGTTTATTATCATTGTTACTTAGGCTGCTAATATACAGTTGGTTAGTATAGTAAGCAGGTTGACCGAATAAGACTAACATTCTTATGAAATTTGATTTAATCGAAAATGGGCGGAGCGTAGCAACCATCGATGTTGGTCTTATTAGGGTAATCTGACAACTAACCGATGATTGTATATCGGCTGTCATAGTTGTTATTTGCACCATTTTATATATAGTTAGCTGTCAGTATAAAGTTTGCTTGGCAGTAATGAAGTTGGTTTACTACTTTTTGACCTGCGAAACTTATTATCGCATATCACCACGCAATCGTCACGTAGTCATATTGTTTTGGTTTCTGAGTTTAAACTATTTTTATCTCATATATCCAAGTAGTAGAATATACACATACTTCTCCCATTTATAGAATCGCGTCTAATAATTTAGTTAATTTATTTCTTTCTTTGATATATAGAGCTTGAAATTTCGGAACGTGTTGGAAAATTCAAAAGTTATGCTACAAAATGACTAAAGTAATAAAAAATATCATATCACACTGCGTCATCTAGTTTCAAGCTTGTATTATAAAACTCATAGGGATACTTGAATATATTTAATTATTCAATGTATTAATTTTAGATTGAATTGCACAACGTTGCAAGTGAAGAAATTCTCAAAAACCACCCAAAATATGATGGCGAGGAACAGAGTGGATACACTTGTGCACACCAGAGAGGTGGTAGATGAAATACGGCATTTGACTAAGATGTTGAACTTTAATAAGGAGTTCCTAAATAAGGAACAAGGAGATGGCACTTGGTATAATTTTAATTGGGGTGATAATGCGCCCTATTGGAACCAATATTATACAATTGTTCGAGAATACAACTATCCATTTGAGGTGATTAAAATTATTTTATGATACATTATTAAACATTTAATATTCAATAAGCTATGAATATAGTAACAATGTTACCGATCGCTGTCTGTACATTATATACCATATCACCATAATAGAGCCCAAAGCAACATTTGTTAGACCTATTGTCTGTGTGTTCGTGCGTGCTAATCCCAGAAACGATTTAACCGATTTCATTGCGGTTTTCTGATATATTGATATATATGATTTTCTGATATATGACTGATATATTGTGGTAATCTTCACTTTTTTGTAATCAGTTAACAACCAAAGTAGTTATATGGATAGGAAACAGTGGTGGGCCAAACTTAAGCAGGCCCTAGGCACCTAGGGAACATTGTAATTTTAGATCTATTTTTCAGTCGATGTTACCAGTATGAGCGATCTCTTATATAAATAATGTTTATTCAACTAAACTTTTTTATTTTACAATTCATTCGGAACGCAAAATCCCAGGAAGAACCAGGAAGAAACTTCCGTGTTGCTCTTTTAAATAAATGTTGTTAGATATGTACTCAACCTTGCTTTTATTGTTTCAGAATAAATCAGAAGAATGTCGTATCCTAGATTTGATATCTGATGAAGTAAATAGATTTATAGATATGCAGTATGATGAAGAGTTCTCAGTGGACGTTAATAAGCTGGACATACCAATAGATCAATTGATGAAGGTTGTCCAACACATTACACAAGATGTCGATAGAGTTAAGTATGTATCAAAAATCAACATATTGTGTTGTTTTTTTTAATTTACTGTCGCATGTCACGACGTCAGTTTCTTCATGATCAATCAATTTGTATATATTAAATTCTACATTCGTAATGTCTGCAATAATTATAGCTATGATGTTCGCGGTTTCTATTCCTCGTATGGTATAAACATTTGTATTCATTTCAGTTTTTGTGTGTCGGGCTGGGTATTTTCTATGTAATATGTATTTATAGAAAAAAAAATGTATACAAGTATATATTTGTATCAGTAGTACCCATAACATAAGCCATTTTACTTTGACACTAGATGGCGTTGAATTGTGTGAATTCTACTGGGTTATATAATAATATCATCTATTATTGACGTTTTACCATTTTTATTTTAGAGATCTGTTGGAGTGGAATGGCTATGAAGTGGTGGGTGATGTGGTGATCCACTCACGGCTCATGGTGGACAGTAGTTCTGTGATCACCCGCGATGCTGACTGGCAAGACAACGACACCATTTCTGATGTAAAAATGTTGTAATGTTACTATAGTTTGTTATTTTGTAAATATTAAGTAGTATTTATGTAATATGTACCTACTATGTTTCTATATTTTCATTGTATATTTCTACATCAAGTCAGTATATCGTACGGTTATACTGCGTTAATTTATAGTGATTGTAGTGATTAATATATTTTAATAACTAGTTAATAATTCGAATAACTAGTGTATTCGTATTATACATATAAACCTTCCTCTTGAATCACTAAAAACTACAATAAAATCCGTTGCATAATTTAAAAGATCTAAGCGAAGAGATAGCGAAAGCTACTTCTATTTATGTACTTTGTATAGATATATTAATCACTGTAATTACGACACCATAGCATAGAGTCATGATTAGTAATTTGGGAGACTGAAAAACATGCCATTAGTTTTTATATTAAGTTATGTATTTTTATAATATAAATACTATTAAAAGTAACATTTTATTTTTATTTTAGTCTTTTAGAAACCAATCCTTGTGTAAGTAATAAATATGTCTTGCAATTAATTCATTTCATCATTCATATATATATTTATATAACTTTTTCAGTGGGATACTACTGATATACATTCTACTTCATTGTCTGATGGAAGTACTACAGCCCCGGAGTATCATGGTTCGCAGTTTATTAATATTTTTGTTTCACATATTTGTGTGATATTTGGTAGTATAAATATTATGCCGTCTAATAAAAATTGATAGTGGCGTATCTACAGGCACCATTTCAAATATGTACCTATATATTTAGTTATACTTATTTAGAACTAGAGACGATATTTAGCGACAAACACGTATTATTGTGGTAACTAAAAGCATGAATAGATGTGGGTACTAGCTACGTGTTAGCGTGGACACGTTTGCGTCGTAAGTTATCAATCCATGCGTTGTATTTTGAGTGTGAAACAAAAGCACAGATGATTATCGCCAGTCTTCGTAGGTCGTAGTTGTATTATATGTATATAAATACATATATCGTTACTATTTTGTTGACCGTTACTACTTCTCTTTCTTCTCTTCTCACACTGTCTTATTATCACGAGTTTGATTCTTGCATTATTTTTGTATTCTTGAGTATGAACATATATACTTTAAGTATTTTTTTCATTTTGCTAGTACGTATAGCCCAGCTTAATTTGGAACTTAAATTAAAAGTTAAATAAATATAGAAACAAACTATAGGGCGTTGCTTGCGGCGTGCTCTCGACCACAAAGTGCGCAGGTTACGCTCAATGTTAACCGCTGATGAAGATATCGCCGGTGAATTGGATCGAGTCGTATGCAGGCTTATGAAACTGGCCCTGAGGACGAGCTACGGTCGCCAGGCGCCGCCGCCTTCACGATGGATGCAGTGTAAACTGTTCGACTTGCTCACACTCACTGAAAAGGCTATCGAGCGAAGGAAGAAACACTTCATTGACAGTTATCCCTTGAAGGCTATTGATTATGGTAGTTATTTCAATTTTTTTCGTATAAATATACTCTACATATTTAACATTTATATAACCATTTTCATAGTTTAATAACTTACTCTATTTTTTTACGCACTAGCGAGTAGTATATCTGAACTACATTTAAATTCCTATTGTTCCTCTGTGTCCTTTATTTCAGACTATCAAGAGAATAAAATTGAGAAGATTCTCAATCTAACTAAACACAAAGACGACAACTCAACGTAAGATTTTTATGATTCAATATTATATTAAGACACAAACAGTTTAATAATATTAATGTAGACTTATTATTTCAGGAGAGCTTTAATGGACAAGTATCGTCCCTTAGTTGATTCTAATGGTAGGCTTTAGTTTTATGGTTCTAGATATCTTTTCGGGTATTTCATTATACATGTTTATTGAATATATAATGAATATATTTCAGGAATCAAAGAAATTAGAGAAAAATCAATAGTTCACAATTATTTAAACTTAGGAATGATCGATGATGATTTCAGCATTACTAGTAAAGACGTAAAAGGTTCTTAAATTAAATACTTAATTTCACGCTTTGTTATATGTTAGGGTTACGTTTAGGTATTTTAGTATTCTTAACTGTAGCTTGTTTTTGAGGTCCCTAATTATGTTGAAAATTAAATGACTACCAATACATTTGATCAGTAGAATAACATCTGTGTTTCTTAGCTAATCAAGCTAAATTATATTTCTACAATAAGGATCACTTAAATCATTCGGGCCTATATTTTACAGAATTGGATTTTATTGATGACTCGATTCACTCACCTTCTCTGGTAGACACTTCACCTTTGGTAAACGATGTTATTTATTGTGATAAACTATTTACAAAACCAAATAAAGAAGAAAGTAGAAAACAGAGAATACAAGCTTGGGTTGACGACGATGTTGAAATATTTCCTTATCCAAACTACGATCCTGTAGCCGTTATAAGTTTTGTTGGAGACACAGATCCTAGTGTTTCCAATTTGGTTCGTTATACACTAAAGAGGTCAGACATTAAGTGTCAGCAATCTAAAACTAAACATATTAATGAGTTGAATAGGAAAGGAAACAAAGGAATAGCAAATAATAATCAGTATAAGTCAAAAAAATATATTAAAAACAAAAGCAGGGATAAAACTTATAAAACTAAACTAATAAAAAGGGTTGTTAAAGAAAAATCCAATTATAAAGGTTTGATCAAGACGTATAGCAATAAAGTTTCTTCTAGAGAATTAAACCATTTCAAAATAAAATCTATAAGAAAAATTAAAGAGCATTCCAATTTAAAATCTTCTGTCTCAAAACCTGTAAGTAGTTAACTTGAATTGTTTTGTTGAAGATTTTAAATATATTATTCAATTTAACACATTACTTATAGATTCCAGAAAGTTTTGTGAAATATTGCCACCCAGAAAATAAAGAAAATGACATCAGCGAGGTTCAGTATTTGACAGCAAGCGAGAGGAGCTTTAGTGATAGTATCTATGAAAATGTTAATGTTTCGGCTACAGAAGAAAGTTTACTAATAAATATAGTAACAGATGATATAGAGGAGACGATTGCCTTACGGCGAACTATTGGCACTAACGCAGAAGACGAATTGGATATTTTGAAACCTTGCACTGTTCTTTGTAGTATGGCAAGCATCCTTAAAAATGATAATGGTTTTTGTTACAAGTCTGAAGTTAATACTGAAAATATCCATTCACAAACTATATTTTTGTATGGTAATAGATACATTTATTTTTAAGTAAATCATAACGTGTTATTACGTATATACCCATATACCTTTATAACACTTGTTACATAATTTTAATTGTTGTAGATATAAATGAACCTAGTACCTCTAAGGGTGTCCGCCACATAAGTATGGACGTACAATGTGGGCCAGACATAATAACCCCGGTGTGCCCCATGTCTTCTACAACAACATCAGTCACAAGGGTACCTAAAATATTTACAACAGGAATAAAAATAGGCGATTCCTTTACAAATATAAGAACCCAAAATAGCATTGATTTTGGTACTTCTACAAATGATTATAATGAACATTACACAATTATTTACCCAACGACAAGGTCGAACGGTATTGAGAAGATAATAGATTCTGATTTAATAATTAATGAAAAAGTCGACTGTGCCACGATGATTACTGACAGCATTATGAATCAAAATGTTTTTTGTACTGAAACGAAGCTGATTAAGCCCATATCTAGTAGTTTATATGAAGAAGAATCAGTCTCAGAGTTTTATAATAGCAAAGTTGCTGAATGCTTTTCTAAAAATACCAGTGAAATACGACTAAAATCAACTGTAAGCAAAGAGGTTGTACATGATAAATATTGTACTAGATGCATTCGACCAAAGCTTCGTTGCGGCGGTGTTCATGTTCATAGTTATCGGGATAAGCAAGTATATGAAGATGTTATTTATCAAGGAGAATGGCAGCAACATCGGCCGAAGGTTTTAGCTAGCAAACGAACTATTTATGATACAGGTACTGGAAAAAAAGTTAGTGAAACGATGAAGAAAGCGAAGATTAATTCCAAAGAAAAAATACATGGACCTATTAAAATTAAATTTGAGCACAAGAAAAATATACTAATGCCTGTCTTTGAAATGAATAAAGTAACAAAAGAGCTTAGCGACACGAAAATGCCTACGTCTAATAACATAATTAAATATAATAAAAATATTTTTAAGGTATGTTTAGCGTCGTTCTTTACTAATTTAACTACTTCAAAGATATTATTTGAGAAATATAGTATATACGTTTTATGCAATTTTTCAGATAGGATCTAAGCTAATATCCAAGTGAGTTTTTTTATATAATAATACGTTTATAACTGCTTAACATTACACTATTATAAATAAGTAATAAATAAAATAACTAATTTATATATAATATTTTAGTGGCCCATCAAAAAACTTTAAACAAGTTCTTACTTATAAAAGAAATATGTCGACAACTGCTAAAAAAGAAAGTAAAAATTTGGCTAAATACAGAAAGAAGAATAATATACCAATGGACTTAAAGAACAATCCGATCACCCAAAACAAATATATGAATGGCTTAAAGAATTTAAATCAAAATATAGACTCTGTTAATACAGTACTGAAAGTTAACAAAGAAAAACCTGTTGGACAAGTGGCACCATTAGTTCGATTAAAAACTAAAGATATTAATAAAGAGTTGTTAAAATTTACTGATATACCACGAAATAATATGAATTACATTGTATTCCGTAATGAAATTGATAAAAATGCTGATTGTGAATCTTCATTTAGTACCAATAAAAATATTAAAACAAAAGAAACCGAGAATAAAAGACCCTATAGCCCACAATCGCAGAACAGTTCGACCTATTCTTCTCCTAATAGTGTGGCAACTGTTAGAGTTGCTTCAAACCGATCTAACATTTATTCCAGTAGAAGATATTCGTTATCTAATGAAATGACTTTAGAGAGTAGCCAACCAGATATTAATAACGTATCTATCATCAGAAATAAGAAATATACAAAGAAATGTAAAATCGCTAAAAAGACTGATGACAAAGGAAATGATAAGGAAAACATTCCGGAGTCGTCTACAAAGTATAAATTAATTAGTAAGAAAAATAAGAATACAACTAATTTTATTGTAAGAAATAAAAGCATTTATAGAGCGCAGTTTAAAACTGACAATAAGACTTTACAGAACAATATAATGTCAAAACAAGTTGATCAAACTGCTATAGTATCCAAAGTTATTATGCCGTTACATACGGACGATATTGAATATTCTTCCGTTTCAAAAAATATATCTTTGATGCAAACTGAATCAACTAAAGGAGAGCAAATAATAGCAGATACTATAGTAGCAACAATCTCCAATCAAATACATTGCCCAAATACACAAGTCGATATTCCTTCGGTAGATAGTGCTGAGACAAATTGCAATATTGTTGAAGATCCTCAAGCCTTAAATAGACATGATAATTGTGATGATATTTTTTATGATATGAGGCTCTTGGTTGAAGAATGTCTAAATTTAGAAAAGAGGTACTTTGTTGGTTGTGATGATTCTGTAGATTCTGAATCTCTATTTTTGAGTTCCGAAGATATTTATAATGCGAGTATTAACGAAGATTCCTCTCCTACCAGTTATAGAACCGTTATTACAAATGAAGATCTAAACAATTCTTTACAAAGTGATTTGGATAATACTATGAACCAGACTTTTGATTCCATTTTAGGTGAAGATTCTATATTGACCGTGCCTGGTAGTGGATTAACTATAACAGATTTAGATCTAAATTCGTTTAAATCTATTACATGTTCGAGAAAAATATCCGAAAATGTATTGGCTGCTGGTCAGAACAATAATACTCAAATTCCAACTGAAAGTTCTGTGCGAGACTTATTCGAGAGAAAAAATCTGCTTTTAATTCAAGTAAAATTTAATTACTTCAACCTGATAATTTTAGTTTAAGGTGTATCATATGGATATGATATAATAAAATGTATGTATTTCTATAGAATCCCGCTGGAGCTCTGGCTCTTCAAGCGTTTAGTGGTTATTCTGTAAACATCGAACCGATAGTTGGCGATCGACCCGATCGTGTCAATTTTATTGATTCAGAAACTGGAAGTGTTGCTTTGGATGTAGCTAGGCAAGTTGTGAGTATAGTTATGTAATGTCTAAATAAATTATCAACTGGCAAGCTTTGAAGTTATACCTTTAAGTGAAAATGTACCTACTTCTTAACTATTTTCATTATTTACTTTTCGATACCGATAGAATTAAACAATTAAGTTGTATATATTGAAAATAATTGTGGGAGAAACTAGGCCATTGTCACTTTGTTGATTTATTTATTGATTTTTTTTATATTTTATCCAACAACAAATTTCAATCAGCCTAGGTACTCATCCTGTATTAAGATGACGAGAATAAAGAAGAGTTGAGGATTCAAACATTGCATATTAATAAGTTACTTTCTTTATTTGTTTTACGATTATGACAGACATCAGAGGAAGTTTTCATATCTGGAAGATCATCCACCAGTTACGAATCCTGTTTAACTGACGATGACGCTGTACTTCCGTATTGGCTCTTTCATATCATCAGTCAACAATCTGTATGGTTACTTTAATTTGATTGTAGATTAAATATTGTAACTATTAAAATATATTTTATAGTTTGCGTCCAAAAGAATTTGTACTTAAGTATGTAAGAATTTGTACATCCGGTACTTCGACGCAACCCTTCATAAATTCACGAGTAGTTTGGTCTATATTTTTTTAAATTAATTGTTAAAGCATGCTTCTGAAATCATTTTTTTTATTTTTATAATGACACCTAACGAATACACGCAACTTCTAATGGTAATGGTACCGTCATAGTACATTTCTATAATTAAGATGTGTTATAAATAAATACTTGGTCTTACACAAAATTAGTAGAATAAATTAAAAATATATAGGTCCAAGAAGAACTAGAAGAACCACACTCTGAACTGCCATTGGCTATGCCCGAGCCGATGCTTGACCCAAATGGCAATACGCTGGGTGGTGTGGGAGTAGCGGTAGGTGCAGGGGACGGACATGGTATGCACAGCGACCGCTCGCAGGACAGCTCTGGGCGAGGCACTTCCCTCAGTTCCACTGGAACCTCGTCGGGAGTGCAGAGTGAGGTGAATTCAACACTTGCGTTTCCAATAAAGCAATGATTCTATGTGTTATTCAATTATACATCTTATTGATGTAGATTTGCATAGCATGATTTCTATCGATCTGATTTTTAGTTTTGCCTTCTTAATAAAATAGTATGACCAGAATCGAATTATTCTACTTTGAACACTTTGTTATTAAAGTGAACGGTGTTTGTTCATCCTTAATTTCAAACTTCAGTATTGTCGACATATTTGGACAATTCTATTACATATATCAATGCAACTGTATATTTTATAGTCTGATATAGTCAGCAGTGATGTGTTTCTGTAAAGATTTCATTATATATTATTATTATCATCCACAGGTGATACTTATTGATCCGTCGGCTTTTACTGCACAATTCGAATTGTTACGAGATTCCATGGACAATAATGCATCGGTACCTACCATTTCGATAACAAACGCAGATATGCCGGATGCATCATTCGTGATAATTGAAGGTGAGTCTTTATAACAGATTCGTCGTATATGTACCGACATCGAATATTTTATTAAAAATATTAGCTTCTGCCTGCAACTTAGTCTGTGGACTTAATAAAAATCCTATAACTTTTCCACCTCAAACACTATGGAATTGAATACCAAATTTTGTACTGGTTCTGCTGTGAAAGTGTAAGAAATCAACTGGTATTAAATTTTTGTGTCACTTGTAGTGACGTGTAGTGTTTATTTACTACTGGTCCGCTCCGGATTTGTTCAGGTACACTAAAAAGTCCAGCGACGCCTATTTATCGGACAAATATAATATCTCTGAGAGTTTTGTATATTGTAACAAAAATATAACTTATGTCGCTCGGTAATTATAAGTGAAAGTATTTCTCAAATCAGTGCAGCGGAACCACTGCATCTATTTGGAAAATTTACTTTCCTAATAACAAAATGGGTGCTCTATGTCTTTTTATAATATTATTAGGTGTGGTCGCGGTTTCACCCACGTGCAATTATTAGCCTATGTGTTATCACAATGACATAATTACATCAGAATATATAAGCCTATAAAATCCATTCGGTAGTATTTGCGTGAAAGAGTAACAAACATCCTTCCAACCATCTACACTCACAAATTTCCGCGTCTATAATATTAGTAAGATTTTACGGTCACTGATCTTTAATAAATAAAACAAAATATATATGCAACCTTAGGTGGCGTACACCACACTGGTCCCATTAGTCTGGATGGGCGTAGGAACCCTGTGGTATCTCAGCTTGCAGCCAGCGATGTGGACGCAGACATCAGTTCTCTTGACACCGATGCTCCAGATTCCTCGGACAACTGATTAATTCCATAATTGTGACGTTGCAAATTATAGTGATACGTTCGTGGCACATACTGTAAATACGTTACCTTTATTTCTCATGTCCTCAATAATAAATTATTGTATTTATCTACCTTGTTGTTCTGTTTCTATTCTTAAGCATTTTTTAATAATAATACTAACCCCTGGTCAATTTACAAAGCGCCATCTAGTCCCAAGCTAACCGAGCTTGTGTTATGGGTACCAGAAAACCATTAGAAATACATAAAATGTTTTTTTTACAAAATACAGGCATAGTATAAAAAACACCCGGATGAAAGTAGACAATAATATTCTTGAATATAAATTTCTAGTCATATTAGGAATCGAACCTGCGACCATCGGAAGTAATATTCTATACCCCTAGACTACTAAGGCCGATTGTGTAAACGAAAAGGTTGTTGTAAAAAGCCAGCTGTCTTGTTGCCAGTGTCAAACTAATCAAACGAATCTATTGCTATTGTAGGTACACAAATGTTTTTTACTATGATTAGGATTTATATAGGACAAAGTCGTTATTGATAACTTAATTTGACTTCCTTTAGTATAATTATTCATTTTCATGTATATTAATACTGAGGTTTACTTGATTACAACTCATGTGTCTATTTCTTTTAATAATAAAAATCTCAATAATACGTGTCCTAATCTCATTTTACTAATGGACAGTACCATCCCTGTCGACCAATATTTCTAGTGTTTTTATGTGCCTTGCATTACTTAATAAGCTAATAATCCACATTATGGAAAATAATAACTCTCTCTCTATAGACATGAACAACGTAATGGATATATAACAAAGTATACTGTGACATCCATTATATACTGCATGCAGCTAGTATTTTCACTGTCTCATCGTATATTTTAAACGGAAATAACATAAAAAAATACACATTAAATGAACACACGTTGTCGAGGAAATGTCTTTTTTGCATTTATTCATATTATACAATCTTATAATATGATTCATTCTGCAAAATTTTACAGGCGAGCAAGAATTCATATATAAAACAGTAGCTCTTTCGTATTGTACATAACCATTTTACCAGTAGGTATAGTGAAAACATGCGTATAGTTTTTAGTTTTAGGATAATAAATTACTTAAATTCTAATTTTATGTTTGGTTCTTTATATTAATAATATACCTATTAAGGTACAATATCAATAGGATTGCACTATCCTGTAAATTTATTGGAACGTACCAAAAAACATACTATGGTGCTCTCTCGACGCCGATGAACTTTCTATGCTAAATATACAATAATAATAATAATATAATAACGTTTAATATAAAACATGATCGTCGTGAAGCGATTACACAGATACAAGGCAGGCATGACAATATTGGGTACAGACATTGTTATCTCACTTCTCTATTCTAATTTGTTTCTTCATATGAAACTTCACTAATGTGGAAAGATTTAAAATCATGAACATCTACAAAATAAGGAAGTGAGATCAGACAATAAATGATTATATTAGGTAATATTAATTATTTAACAATTTTATTACATATTGCTGCTGTCGTTACTATATTTGATGTTGATAAATAATTTTTTTTATGAATTAAAAACAAATTTCCGTTTTGACTTGCATAGTCAGAATAAGTGATGTGACATGATAAAAATACTTATAAGAACAATTGTAACGCCACTTATCTGTATTAGTTAACTGTTACATCGAATATTCTCATTATTACTTTAAGGCAGTGAAACACCCAACTTAAATTCAAGGACAGTTGGGGACGAGATTACCTAGCTAACATTAAGATTAACTAATAACATATCACTAGACATTTTCGCAGGCGACCTCTACACAACGGTCGCGTAATATTTTACAATATTTACACGTCTTAAACACGTATGTTAGTGAAACATCGTAATATATACGAGGGAGTCACAAACACTAAAGCGGGACGCACTTTGAACTATACCACTCAGTCATGGAAAGTCCATCGGCTACATGTACCATGCTAACACCCCAATTACAAATGACAGAACGAAAATATCGACATACGTGTCTATACGATAACAATATAAATATTTTTCATGAGTCAATATCGATAAATAATAAACCTACAATAGAAGAAATCTAACACTCTGAGATCGAGGGCAACAAGATACATTTGTGGGACACTCCTTCGCGAACACTTTATTATTTTTTTTATTAAAAAAACAATGTTTTATTACGACTAGATTAGCATTGTATGTAATTATAACATTAATAATATCAAATTTTTTGAAAATTATCTCACGTTACAGTAAACAGAATGACGTTTAATGTAATAATATGCGTTTGCCTGTGGACGATCTGCACGTAGTCCACAAGGCCGCATTCAGCATATAGAATAATTTGTACTAATAACTATAACAGAGGTAAAATATAAAAGCTATACAACCAGCTCCCGCCCCTCGCAACGAACAACAACAATCAAAGTATTATGAGAGGAATAATATCCGACTAAAGGGATCTACTTCGACTGCCGCGTGTCTAGGAAAAACTTCAGACTAATGTACTAAACGACCCTGGTAGTGGTAGGTATTATATTCAAATCGTGAGAAACATTGCCATTTTCAGTACGACATATACGTAGCTTTTGTGCGAATTTATTAATACATTTCATTTTGAACTATCCACTCAAGCTACTTTCCATTAATTACGAGTATAAACAGTTTTTATATTATAACGGCGACACCGTCATCTATATACTACCAGTGTTGGCAGGTAGACTTTTCAAAGCCTCGAACAGGTTATTCCTAAATGCACGGCGTCTTACAGAAATGAACAGCTTCCCCATGCAATCACACAGTTCTAATAATAATATACTCATTATGTCTCATGTTATCACAGAAAATTATGTATTTACAATTTTGTCGTACTAAAGTGTCGTACGTAACCTACATCATGCCTTGCAACGAATCATATCAGATGGTGTGGAACGATATTACACAGAACAGCGAATGTTGTATCAAAATTGTTTTTAGATTTTCTTATTATAATACAAAATGCAATTGCTTCAATAAATGCTTTTATTTGAATGCATAATCTAATTATTGTATTAGGTGTTTTCCATCAATAGTTCGTATAATATATCCCCTAACCTAAAAAGCAACACTATCATTTGACTACTTAACGTGTAAAGAGTATGATTTGTACTAATTCCAGAGGAAATGTCAAATCAGTCATTGAACACATTTCATACCATCATTATTATATCATCCAACATGAAATCATCCCATGCTGTACACTATGTAATGAACTTGATGTTTGGAAGTAGAGAGATATCTTGTGCAAGTGCTTGAGGATTCTCACAAATAGTACCTATTTCAATTGAATATTCATTTTTATTATTTATATTATGTATCTAACAATGTCATCTGTAGCATTGTAGTGATTAGCTATTGTTTTGGCAAAATACATTTTATAAACTTAGTAGGTATGTCTGTTCAGCTACAGTTTTTTATAATAGTTAGCGTTTACTCGAGTATTAATCTTATATTAATAAATATAGGATTCGATTTAATTCTTAATCGGATGTGCAATCTTTGTTGATATAAAATCATATATCACACGCTACAAATACTAGCAAACTATACTGCATTAGCAAAAAAATTTAATTTCGGAATATCCACTATAAAGAATAGTTCCAAAATAGAAATGTTTTTTAAATTAATGCAGTATTGTTTTAAGCTTGTGATATTTCAACAATTTTCATTCATTCGTTTTGTTTGTTTGCTTTTTGAATTGTTGTTAATACAACGTTCGCGTTCAGGTACAACTAACATGTCTCTATTAATGATAGTGGCGTGATATTATAAGTATAACGGTAGTGAATTTTTTTTTCAATGTACAGTCCTCAGCAGAATTGCTTCACTACTATTCTAAATAACAGTAATACACTTTAAATATTTTAATATAGATTTCATACAATTTAAATATTTACTTTGGAAGTAATGAAGGACATATTAATATTGCTTTTGTGAGGTCGTTACGTTGCCTACAAACACACATTACGCAATCCTGTTGCCGAGTGTACAATATAACAAACAAATTTTGTGCCTGGTAAATAACGAACATGAATTGCTAATATCTGTTCTCTTTACTGGCATATTAATAGTAGAATTAATACAGTGAATAATATTTATATTTAAATATAAAAATTAAGTAATTCACGATTTTTTTCGTCACGACATAAATTGAACGACTTAACCGATTTCATTACTCTGCTCTCTTTTTGTAATACTTGGTTTTTCTTACTGAATGAAAAGTTAATTACTCAAAATATTGCAAAAATTCAGAAAACTTAACGACTATTTTTCTTCATTCGTTTAACAGTTCACACATTTGGCAACAGTTTGCTCATTCACTAAGACAATGTCCAATTACCTGGACCAATTAGTTAATAATATTGAATTTTAGATTAAACACATACTAAACACTTTAAAAGTGTATAATCTCTATATTTCAGCGCTGCCTATTGACTGGTAAAGCCATTAAGGTTGTATTAAGGTTATTTATACATTTTTTGTATGCAGAGAATACTATCGGAAGGAATACCAAAGCGTCAGATCAGCAAAAGTGTTATTTAAATTTACGCACGTTTATTGACCACACTTATGGTAAATACCCAAATTCCTTGTTTCCGTAGCACTTGCTACGAGTTAGGTATATTTTGTCCATTGGTATTTGATCTATTTGTATTTGTACATTAATATGAATTTCTGGTTTTTGAAAAGTGTGTATCTTCGAACACTTCAGCAATATTTTGTATATACCTATGACAGAATAACAGACAAAACAAATCTCAGTTTATTATCACCGTCTCAATCTACAACATCCTATTATTATCACGCAACACACAACAAAATCTTTTAAAACATTTACTCTATTTTATTTGGGCAGTGGTATAAAACTGTTAATTGGAATTAATTTAAAACTTATATTAATATGCCAGTCAGAGTACCTTACAATTACAGAGTTTTGACTAGAGAGTATCTATTTTGTTTCGTTAATTAATTAATATTAGTGTTTTATTAAATATCCGAAATTTTGGCTTCAATGTTTTTTTTTTCTTTTACTACGTTCTAAAAGTTACAACTTGAGGTATATATTTAAAAAATCCTCGCACGCAAACAATGTAGATACTCTCAACTGGAATGGAATTTTTATATCTACAATATTTGTGATATTATTATGCATAGTACATACTAATGAAAACCAGGCGACAAAATATTTATAAATAATATCGGTACACGATTTAACAATTTCAAGGTAATCTTTTAATTCTGAAATATATTTTCGAAGTTTACATACAATTCATAGTTATTAGTTTAATCGTATTTAAATAACGTAGGTATAAAGCACTTGGGGGAAGGACAGCAAATTCAATAAAAAAATGTTTAATTATTTATTTAGTATTATTAACTAAGTAAAAATTATTTGCTATGTAAATATTTTATACAATACTAGTATTAATTTGTTTGACGATGAATCGCTAGTGTTCTCCCAACGTCTAACTCGAATATGAAACGGTATCGAGCGGGCCCGGGTGAACCCCGCCGGGCCCGCGCCCACCCCGTTTCGGCAGGCGATATAACGTAGACTTTATTTAGTGCAAATTTAATATAGAAATTTTACCTTTACGATACAGACTAATAATTTCATTTTATGTAAAAATCCTAGCGGAAACGAGTCGTCTGGCACCGTTTCATACTTCGATTACCTTAACCGTAATATAAATCAAGGAGTAAAATTTTAGCGAATTAAAAATTAAATTTTCCAAAAGTTTGTAAATACTAGAATTTGGATATAGCTCGCGGAGGCCCCGCGGCCGGCGTCGGCGGCCGGAGCGCTCCCGAGGGTCCAAACCGGTGAGCAACGAGAGTCGTCTATGTATGTACACACGCGCCAGCACGAGCACCGCACGAGGTCGCCGGGGCCGCCGGGGCCGGGGCGCGCGTCAGAAGGTGCGCGGGAGCGCGGGCGCCGGCGCGCGCACGTCCCGTTGCGAGCGCGCGCGCCGGCGCCGCTAGCACCAGTCGTCCTCGTCCGAGTCCGAGTGTCGCGCGCGCGGCTTGTACCCGTTGGGCAGCCGCGGCGCCGGCGCCGGCGACGGCAGCGCGCGCGACCCCCCGCCGCCACCACCCCCGCCCCCGCCCCCGCCGCGGCCCATCGCCAGCGCCGCCTCGTAACTGAGAGGCGCCGCACTCGCCACGCCCGCGCCGCCACCCGCCGCGCCGCCGCGCTCCGACTCGTAGCCTCGCCCGCGTCTGCGGCATTCACGTTTGCAATCACATATGCCGAAATGTACCATACTAATATTATGAATTCGAGGGGAACGCGATTATCAGTAATGAGACTAATTACACAATTGCTAGTAATGTATCATGTCAGGTAACCATCGTGCCTATGTCTTAAATAACCAAGAGGTTATTTAATCACAATGGGCTAATTGACTTGACCTCATGTTTATCTTACCATCGTCCACTGATACCGATATCGCAGACGGGTGACTCATGATTCTATTGTTATTAGTGTATTGTATTGTTTCTGTTTTTGGCACTAGCTTCGCTAACGGGTTTGGGAAGGATGATAACATAAAAAGTCAGGTTAGTTATCAGTTGCCCATCGTAGCAACTTTAACAAGTAGTAGAAAGATTAACCACGATGTGCCCTAGGACGGATCGTGTGGAGATCTAACTGACATTAATATTGCTAGCAAAGAAGTTATTAGTCTCCATTATACTAACATTACTAACAACCTCTTCTCCAAATAAAAGATGAAGAGGCTATCATTTATTAATAAAAAGTACAAACTCATTATCTGCTTTTACATAAAATTTTATTAATATCCATTTCGCTCATGGAAAAGGTAACAAACAACAGACAAACTGGCACATATATAATATTAGGTTGATAATTAACTAGTATAAAACAATAAATCAGGCGGATAACTGTTTATGCATATTATACTTGTTCGATTGCCGCTACGGTTTGCTACGACGTAGCTCCGACCTATAACGGCCAGTACGTAGACCCAATCAAATTAACTATAAATTAACCAAAATTTCTTATAATTTATACCTTTCTCTAGATCTATAATCTCGGTGTATCAGTCTTTCAACTTCTCGGCCATACTCGTACTCGTCGTGTAGAGGCTCTACGGGTTCTCGTACCGTATGCCTCAACGATAACTGTAATAATTTTTTATTTGTTTATTTAAACTTAACAACAATAATTAAAAATGAATTACATTGAATTTATCAAAGTTTGGAATTTAGAAATTCAGCTATAAAATACGTAGGACAGGTACATATCTAATTAATATTATAATGATAACCCAGGACAATTCACACTGCGGTTATGTTTATGGGTAGAAATGAAAACAACTTATAGAAATAATTACTTAAATGCATTTTTGTGAATAGATGCGTAGTATTCTTAAATAGCACTATATATTAGCACATCCCCGATCTTCGGAGGTACAGCGATGTGCTAATATGTGCCGATACTCTATGTCATCACCTCTGTGTCTTGTTCTTCTGCCGTCAAACTGACAGTATTTCAAATTAAAGCCGTGTTCTGATTTGAAGGGTGCGATATGACATCGCAAGATACCTCAGTCCTTACTAGTGGCAACCGGAGCCGTTATAAATTCATATATTACATTATAGTACTCGTATATATAAAATAAATCTTGTACATGAATATATTATTTGTAATTTCAATTTGAAGTCAAGTACAAAATTATTTATTAATAATATGCTCACGTGCGAAGGGCTGTGGCTGATTCTGGTGAACGGCGGCTGCTGTTTAACCTGTAGCGTGGACGGCTTGGTAGGCGTGGGAGGCAGCTGTCGGCCGCGGCCGCGCCTGCCGCCCTCCCGCTCCCACGACCGGTCCCGCCACTCCCGCCACTCCCGGTCCCGCTCTCGATCCCGGTCTCGTTCCCGGTCTCCACCTATCGGTGCCCAAACTGCTTTTTGAATAATCTAGAAGTTCTATTCGACGGCTCACTTCTTTTGCAAACATGCCACAACAATGATCACATTTATCAGGAATATCGAATGACCAAAATCAAAGAAAATAACAGGGGTCAATGAAAATATATAAGGTTAACAATAAACAGATGTGCAAACAATTTTCTTATAAGATATTCCTTCACGTCCGTCTTCTACGCGCTTCGCTTACAATCATCCACATACGTGCAAAGCGTTCACCGGAATTGCGTCATAGTTAATATTTTGAACATGACTTGGTGATATCAGCAAAAGGTCTTATTATTGCACACTTGTTATTTATAAAACAATAACGTTTTCAATTTGCATATGTGATTAGACCCTTTGCTTTACAATAAGTATTATATTCGATTTAGGTAATTCGTATAATAAATAAATAGTTTTCCTTTAATCACTCGTTTAGTTACATTAGAATACCTGCTTACTCCTAACGTTTGTGTTAAGAATGTATAGAAAGTGAATGCTTGATTATATAATGTTTGTGTTAAGAAGAGTAAGAACTGAACAATAGTGAATAGTGAGGATTCAGTGCACGCTCTTTCTTATACTTAGTTTCTGATAATTGGCTACATATGGCACTGGGCAATATGTAAGGGTGTGTGCGAGCGCGGTGTGTGGCGAGTGGATCTCACCGTAGGTGTGGTGTGGCGGGCTGGGCGACCGCGAGGGCTGGCTCAGGCTGGTCGTAGGGTGCGGCGACCTCCACTCCTTCCCTGCTGTCAGGAATACCTTCATGTACCTTCCACCACGCTTTACCCTAGCCCGTCGGATTACCGACCCTTTTTTCCCTTACTCACAAAGGTGACTCTAAAAGTTTTGGGTGTCTGTTCAAATGTAAAGGTTATTGTGGACACGGATTGGATTATTAAGGAATGGATATTTGATTCTCGGGAATGATTGTGTCCAGTGACTACATATAATATGATACTCAAGATAGAACGTGAATACATTATTATAATTTTAGTACTTTCATTACAATATAAGAATATAATAAAACACAGTGTTCATCATGTTATTATTGCCGTCTACTGCAGAAATACTTAAGGTAAAATATAAAGTCATTAAGCTTTTTGCATGCTGCATGATTCGAATGATTTTGCTGAAGTGCATGCGTTTGTCAGACACCTCTGTTTCTTGAGGAGCCCATGAATGAAGCATTTGGTATGTGCAAATAAGAGCAGAATTGTATTTTAACTGGGCACCAAACCTTTTAGCATGCAGCAGGCAAATTAATATCAGTTTCATTAAAAATTTAAATAGATTATTCACAGTGAGGCCAATTTCGTAAAGATTCACAGTTGAATTTGGCTTATACTTTATTGGAATTTCAATGCCAGTTTATAATGCACTTACATCTAAAATGTAAAACAATGTGGCCTGACGCTATAAAATATTAATGATCTTACTAACAATTTATATGAATGTATGAATGAGCAAGTTAAATCGTAGCTATTGATTACAAAACTAACTTTGTGAAAATATTCCATATAGCTAGGATTTACAATCTATTTCTAATTTCATGGTCTTAGTTATTTATAGCATAATTGCATTGCTCTCGAGTATCTTATAACTACAACTACTAAAACATGAATATCTACAACTACTTGTAAGCTAGACTTCCCATCTTCTCACAAAACTTTCAGAGTACCTTCATGAGAAGAAAAATGTTTGCAAAACTGTTTTGATTGATTGAAGCTAAATAAAATAGTAGGTATGTTCACGTTATAAATTTCAATATGAATAAATACTACTATAGGATTGAAATAATATAATATATAGATAATAATAAATTAGAGGCATTTAGCTTATTATGAAGACTAAACGAATTTTATAAATTATGAAATTGTTGGAAATAATTAGGCCTACAGGATTTATAAGTTAGCAACAGCATGAAGCTAGCGATTAGTAAATCTGCTAATACGTGGACATATATTAAATATAATGAATTAACATATGTATGAATATAAATAGCTACATGACCTGGTATGGATAAACTTAGGTACCAGCAGATTCACATGTTCACTTTGAACTCGTTCTCTTAAGAGTAAAATGTATTTTAGCGATTTCAGCTAAATAGGAGGTTGCACCTACCATGTGGGTGATAGTGATGGGGCGCACGATGCGTTCGCCCGTGTCTGTGGTGTTCGTGCTTGACTATTTCAACGACGTTACTGACAGTGTCCGAAAAGCCGATGTCGTGGTGGAAGTCTCCGTAATGTCGTCTTCTTGGACTCGGCGTTCGTCTGGAAATTAATATATTTTTTATCATAACGTTTGGTAGACAACCCGTAACCATGCGTGTCACGATTCATGCAACAGAGGTTAAATAATGGAATTAAGTAAAGGGAAGGTTAGTCCTAAGTCGAACACAGTTAGTGGGCAGTCATTATAACAATGGCGTGCTTGGTGAACATACCATTTCTCACTACGATTACTTTCAGATCAATCGCTTCGTCGACGGCACTACAAAATAAAATAAAACCGAAAATAACACAAACTAAAATGTAACAAAAATGTGCGAGAATATATATAATGGAGTTGTCATTACCTTAAACTAGATGATCTTCCATGGTGACCATTTTGGTACGCGTGAGGCTGTAACCGTCCCTCGTCCAAAGACTCCATTGAGGCATGCTGGGAGCCTTGTAGTTCCGTTACCTACAAGGCCAACTGATTAGTTATCTGTATTTATCGTAAAATTTCAATATTTATATATGATGTAATTAAATCATTCTGCTGTCCCATATTTACAAAATTTTATTTTATTAATATGAAATAACATGCACGTAGATTGGTGCGACGTACAATTTGAAATTGCATGCAACAAACCGTGCTTGTGCTATGCTTATAATTATATGGTACTTACCGATTATCTCATGGTTATCTATATGTTTACTATTAATATGTATATATATTGGCATGCTATTTGTTTGTATATTAGTAAGTAGTCACATGCAGTAGTTACTTTCTATATATAAAAGTAATCGGTAGGGTAAGAAAATGTATAGGTGTCATGTTAGATATATAGGTACGTTGTATTTATGACTGTTTTGTTAGTATGTTTATGTATGAATTGTGATAGTGCTCGGTCTAATTTTGTTAAAATTAATAATTAGTTATCGAACCTAATAAATAATTTAACCTAATGTAATATCATTCACTAACCTAAGTCTAGTACATAATAATAGCTGAGGATATTTCTACACTATCAAATAGAAATTACATGTTCCTAGAATACATAAGTGTTTACCTAAACATCAATAACCATCTGCAAACTTTAAAATATTAACCATTAATATATTATTTAGGTACAACACATACAACTCAGTTGAACAACACTAACTGGGCCTAATGCCTTAAATTATTTTTTTTATAAAAGGTTATGTTAACAACAATCACCTATTAATCAATTACTATTGACAACGAACAAAACCTATGAGCATCTTTATTTTGTTACAATCAAACAAAGCGCCCAATATTTATATACAACATCGACTATGTATCTATGACAAATGGAGAAATGCATCGATGTGATCGCTATATGAGGGTACACCCAATTAGCAAATACAATGACAACATTTCAACCCGCATTATGATATCCAATGGTCGCCTGATAGGTACATTTCAACTTTTCCAAATAGCATAACAATGGGATCCCAAAATGCTATTTGTAAAAGGCCGAATAGGTAATTTTGGTGGGTAATTTTGTATGCGAGTGAGATATTAGTGTAAACATCGACTGCACTTGACAATGGCTACCATGATAGACTGATTGGGTTTTAAAATGATGGTTGGACATCCTATCACACGCACAGTATTCACCTTTTTGTTGTTCCTGAAACAATAAACATAAACATTGTTAATTTTGATGACATTTTTACCTATAATTTTGGATCAAGTCGGATGCCGATTACCTAATGTATGACTTATTTCTGTCATATAGCAACTACAAGTCGTGTTAAGATATAAAAAATGATTATAGCTATTTATTAAGTGACTGGTACTTTATCTGAGTCCTCAGGACTGAGATCGCATAAAAGATGCTACTGTTTTCGGTATTCACTACTCCACTGTATGAGATGGTATAGGTGTCATACCGTGCCTTTTTTTCCGATCCATATATTTGAGCAAAATATTAATTTGCCATCACTTCAATCAATTCAATAGGCTATAATATAGAATACTCTTAAAGCGGAAATCAAGAAATTCTTTAGTAATTAATTTATTAATAAAATAAAAGATGGCGTTGTAGAAATAGTTTATTATTACTGTAATTTCACTATTATGTACATTCACTATATACCATTAAATGGCGTCTACAAATATAAACACGGACGATGTTGCGATCGCCACTAGTAATAGGTGTCTTTACACTACATATTTTTTCATGCGCGATTTAGCACAGGAAAGTCAGCGCGCGCAACTGTGCGCGATTGCATTTACACTGGACAATTTTTTTGTAATTACTCCTTTGCACAAAGGAGTCAAGTCGTTTGACTTTCTTTTAAAATTTCATTTTTTATTCCAGAGATTTTATTTTTTTATGACCATACATTTTGCATTGATAATTAATTATTAAAAAGCTACGCGTGTACGTGTAAAGACAGCTAATGAATAAAATAATAAATGAATACTAACTTGAGTGACCTTCTGGTATTCCGGCGTGCGAAGTTGGTTAGCATGTGCGGGTCATCGGCATGGCCCTCGGTGGCGGCGGCGGCGCCGGCGGGCGGCTCGTGGCTGAGCGAACCGGTGCGCGAGCCGGGGCCCAGCCCCGCCGCCACGTCCAGGAAGCAGTTAAAGAAGGACGCCTTCTGCACCACGCACCCCACGTCACGCACCCACCCACACACACGCACACTTGCGCATGCTCATGTCACACATTGTCCAAGTGGACGCAATCGCTAATGGCTAAAGCCTACATGAGTTTGCGCAAACATCCCATACATCATGTCCATGCTGGAGTTCTTTATTCAATTGTGTTTTTAGGTTTGTGTGTGTCTGTAATGTGTGAGTAGAAATCCAACAAATGGACATAATCCTAAGGGTTAAGGTAGTATAGAATGAAGTGAAGTTGAATTCGGCTAGATATATCTGAGAAAATAATTCGGATTAGTCGTAGAATGGCATGTCAGTGATATATGTTCTGTATTGAAGGATACATGTAGACACAATGGTATCTGTTTTATGTAGGTATACGAGCTGTAAATTACAAAGCATTTTGATAATAAATTAAACCTGTGCGTATATATAAAATTGTGTGCAAGATTGAAGCCAGAGGCAGATATAGGAATTTATTAACAAGATTATAAAAGTTTTTAAATTTTATTACAAATAACCAAAACAATATACGAGTAGGAACTTTATGTATATCTTGTTCTCCAGCATGCGCAGATTTGAGTATCATGACAGATTAATTTTCAAACCTTAATATATAATAGATACTATGATATAAATATGATATGCAAATAAGAGCGTAGCAAGTAAGCATTCAATTGTATTTTTATGACAGGCTTCTAAATGGTATAGGTATTTATTGAGCCAAAATGTAATCAAATCAAACATGTTTTTCACAACCAGAAAGCCATAATTTAATTTTAAATAAAATATAAGTTTCACATAATAATGTTAATAAAAATCATGCACCAATTCTCAAGAATAGAATGAATATGATACATAGACCTCTGGAAAGGAACTACTGAATGCTAAGTGGAGGTACTGTCTAGAACAGAGCGAGACAAGGGAAAGTAGAGACGACACATTTCGGACAGACAAACAAAACTACAGTAGGACTTACTAATGCTACTAGACAAACCAATCAAACTGTTCAACATGGACAAACTGGTCTACTAACAATTTTGCAACTATAGGACAGGTCACTATATCGTGGTTTACAAAGCCCTGACGGACACTTGACTCCGGCAAAAGTGTGCTCGACACGCACAATTTTGCCCAAACTAATTACATCAAGTGCGTCATGATATGCTAAATCTAATAAATTTTTATAATTTTCTAATCTACGTCGGTTTAATTGATTGTTTTATGAAAGCTTTATTATAGACCACAGCATTTATATTGGTTATCGCGTTTGCTTTATTTTGTTATGTTTGGAGTTAAATATGAGTCATTTAAACACGATGCGAGAAGAAGTTCATGATAAAACAAAAAATATCTAGAACAGTGCAAGAAAAAAGTATCAAAGTCGATCCGTAAAATATTTAATACTACCGGCTGAATGGCCGTAGGGCTATTCTCGTTGAATGCCTGAAAAGTAAACCACCAATGTAGTCGACTCGTAAGAGTCGATTTCAACTAGAGTGACGCTGTATTGTTGTACTGTTTATGACTTGTACGTTCACAAGGGAGCCAATATTAGGTCATCGAGGACACAATAGACATGGCAATTCAGTAATGCAATGGATTGTCATTATACACAACAATACATCCACAAGTAGACAACACAACCAAATCTATTTCACTAACTATAATGTCTCAAAGTTATAATCTAATGTGAGGATTTATAGGGGCCATCAACAAACACTACTTGTAAAGGTGTAGTATACCTACCCAAGTAAAAGTTACATTTGGCTCAAAATTGCAAAAATTTACGTATATTATATACAATAGGCAAAAGCCACACGTATTTACTCTGGCTTCATTTATGTCTACATTAATAATAAAAATATGTATTATATTAAATTCAAATGTATAAAATATTAGATTAAGCAGTTTACTTACCGAAACGTTTTGTGGTTTATCTCGGCCAAACCTTGACGTTTTCCAGTTCTCCATAATTAGATAGCTCGCATATATCTTCCCAACGGTCAATTTTCCAGTATTTAGTACATCGTTTCGAGGCACCAACAAATCTAACATCTTCTTCGCTTGCAGAGGCCATATGTGGGTGATTGTTTCTCTCAATTCTTCATCTGCTTGGTCCATTTCCTCGGCTGTAGAATTCATATATTTTTTTGAGCAATTATGACCACTATTTAATATTTATACATATAAACCGTATGTCATATTTATTCTAAAACTCCTATTTATGCATAACTAAAAATTTAATAATACAAATACATATTTTATAATTATATCTAAAAGAAATGATATCTTACCAGATCTCATCTTGATGTTCAGGTCTTCCCGAATTAAGGCAAATAGTGTTGTTGTAAAATTAACTCTTCCGTTGTCGTCTAGCGGCATATTCATTCTAATTAATTTCTTAAAGGCTAGTCTATTTGGACATTTATGGCCAAACCCCAGCGGTGGCTCCATATTTTTCAACATATCGTACATTTCTGCATAATGAATCTTTCCCCTAAAATAAAAATTCAGTAATTTCATTGTGAATATAATGTGCACGTAAAATTATTCATTATTAATCGTACCAAATGTATACCAATATAGTACAACTTACGTTGCATTTGGATCATATTCAGCCCATATTCTAACAAATTCATCAAGATGATGAGCTCCGAGGATGGATGAGTCCCTCGTCAGGTAGTCAAAATTATCCATAATGACGGCGACGAATAAATTCAACATCTGGAAATTATTAGTATCAAATGATTTCTTATTATCTATTATATGTTCTAATGATTCGTATTAGTAGTAGCAATAAAAAATCGTCTAGTATTAATGGCAAAATAAATAAAAAATAATAATTATTATTAACGGTAAAAAAATACAGACAAATATATAATCTTGACAGATTACAGGTTTTATAAAAAATAATATAATTTTTAAAGTAGTTTAAATGGAAGTTTTGAAGAAAATTTGTTTACTTACAAGAAATGAACAGAAGAATATAAATGACACGAAGTAGGCATAGGCGAGAGTGCTGCCGCACATCTCGTTTGCTGGCTTGCCAGCGGCTTTATCACACTTGGCCGGCTTCAGACATGCCAACATGATATTGGGCCAGGACTCACCCGTCGCGCATCTAAAGACAATGTGACTCACAGGAATACGTTTCTCATCAGATGTTTCAGAAATGTATGAAAAATCCAAGAACTAATATTTGATTATGAGTGAATCGTTAAAAATATTGACTAAATATATGAAAGAATACTATAAAAATACAAAGGGTTAATTGGGTTAAATATGGTTGTATAATAACCATTATACCTGAATACTTTATTCTACTGGAACTTTAATTATTATATGAAGATATTAAGTGAATATAGATACGCATGCGGTCATGCTGGTTGGCACAGAAACATAAGTTATCTAAGAAATTATGGGTAAGTACTAGTAACATATTAGACACCACAAACATCTATTAAAAGCATTATTTGCGAAACTAAGAACACCACTTTTTCTATACATTGTATACCTGTTATATTTCAGAAATAAAAATCGAATAACTTATAATGTAACATAGATTTTTTTATATTGTGTCGAATATAAATATCTACGGTGAACTTTGTTATGTAAACCAGAGCTATTGTAAGTATCTAACGTTCCTTACCTGAATAGTAGCATGAGTGCTTGAATGAAGTTTCGAAAATTGTTGTGTCTGTTCATATCTGATTCTGGTGTTATATCTATATTGCCAAACACCTGTGTGCAAGCAAATACAACACGGAAAGTCAGCATAGTGCAGTACATACGTGTTACCCGAACATCCTATGCTCCACACCCCGATGCATATTCTAAAAGGCTACCTGAATGACGTGTCTATTACTAGCACTAGGGATACGATATGAAAAGCAAAGGTATACAAATTTATCTAGACAAGGAACAAACATAAGATGCATATTAAAATTCAAGGACAATCAATCAGAGGGCAATTTGACATCACTAAGGATCGACTAAATCTACATTTGTACGTATAAGATGCTATTATTACGCTGACTGATGATAATATCCACATATCCGATGATAATGGTTGATGTACAGGAATACAAGTAACACTGATAGTAAAGACAGATTTTCGACTGTGACCGCAAGAATGAATCGAGTAACAAGATGCAACATCCGACGAGGTTCCATGTGCCATGCTCTCTAAGAGATCCTGTTGTTGGATGTTATTTCACAGAAACATCTGGTGACTACGCCGATACGATAGACATGTGAACAGTTAGGGTCGATACAACTACGCGTTACTGTACTCTCACCGAAATAGTAGTAAAAGAGCCCCCACGAAAGATCGGAAGTTGTTATGCCTGTTGACGGCACTGTCTGGATCGTATTGGATGTTTCCGAAAACCTGCCATTAGAAACGTGTCAATTCCTACTGTACTTAAATGTTATGCGTTCCCAAATCCTATAATGGTTTTTAGGTTAGGTCATGTTTCATATTATAATGAGCAGGAACTGGATTTATATGGCATGAATTCTAATAAAGGTCATAAGTTATACATATTAAATCTATTACGGCTAATGCTTTTGATTAAATTTAGGAGCATACTCTAGTAATGAGCAGATAACTATTGGAACTAAATAAATCTAATTGACATTGTACTGAATATTGACCTAAATATACACACCCCCAATGCTACAATAAATACTAAATACTTCAAAATAAGATATATTTTTATATTATTAATCTAATAAACTCAAAAATATATGAATTATTCTTAGTTACCAGTACTGCCTATTCATTACGTAGGGCAAAAACTAATAAAGTATTGAAATGAAACGAAAAGCACATGTTTCTACATTACAAATTATGCATTTTGTATCAGATTCCCCATAATTAGAGTATCTATTAAAAATAATCAATGTAAAATTTTTATTAGTAATCAAGTATCAGAAGTTATAGCTGTAATATTTTATTATTTGTACATAACGGTGAGAATATAGAAATATGATTTGAAGTGAACACTAGAAATTAAAGGACAGACCTGCATCCCGATGATGGCATAGATGAAGAATAACATCGCGATGAGAAGGCACACGTAGGGTAAGGCTTTGAAACTCTGCACGAACGTCCAGAGAAGTATTCGAATGGTGTAGCCCTGCCTGAGCAGCTTGATCAGTCGCGCGGCTCGAAACAGGCGTAGGAATCCAACGTTGAACGTATTCTCCTGTAATTTTTTATATAATCTAGTAAGATAGAGGTAAAAATATAAATAAGTGATTAAATCGACAACACGACTATAAATTTGTATATCTTAATTTTCTACTAAAATTTCTTGCACAAACATTTCCAATAACAGTTATAAAAATTTATTTAAAGCTTTTAGCAAGACGCGCTTAATGAAATCTAATTAATTGTAATGCTAACAACATTTTTCCATAAACAGTAAACTAGCATAAATAGACTAACGATGTAATGATAGATATAAATAAATAATGATTAAGAAAAAAATTAAATAACAAAAAAATAAATTAAACTAGACTCTAGTGTATTTTGAGTCTATAAAATTTATTCTGTAGCGGTTTTATGTAAATAGCTGTAATTAATAAAAACATAAAAAAATTCTTTCAGTATCTAAACAACCCCAAAAATGGTTCCCTAGCACACCACTGCCTACATAAATCACTACAAATAAACTAAACATCATTTGCTAAATTTTTCTAGCACTAAGTACTATTATTGAAACGTTTTTCGGTAATTTACACATACTCTTCTAAACCAATAATAAATCTTTTACAGAAAATCTAAAATTCCTAGCAATTAAATGATTAATTTGTTACCTGCTGACAGGATATGTCAGCACAGTTTTCGGCAAGGTCGGTCTGTAATCAGGATATATCCTTATGTTTACTTTCATACAAAATCCAAATATCACCAGAAAAGAAGACGCAAACAGTTGTAGAAGCAAGGGTAATGAAAAAATCGAAAGCTGTTCAAGATGATGAATAAATAGTAATACTTACGCCAAACTCCATAATGAGGGCATCAATAATACTTCCAATGACCGTTATGAAATCAAAGGTATTCCACGGGTCTTTGAAAAAATTCTGCAAGGAAAAATTGTATTAGTCTCTAATCAAATTATTATATAGTTATTATAGAAGTAATTAAAACAACACGACTTGTACGTATATATATATATATATATATATATATATATAATTATAATATTATTTTAATAATTTATAGTATACAAATGTACACTTTCTATTTTAAAGAATGCCTAATTACATTATACATTTTTAAAAAGGACTATTGACAAAGGAAAGGAAACAGGACTTTTCTCTCGATTATTGAATATCTATGTAAATAAGTACTTAAAAATATTTTGCACATGATTAAAAATGTAATAACTATAAAAATCTATTAAATCCTAGATTTATTTAAACAAGCGTAATCTTCAAAACTTTCTATGTAATGATCTCTAGCTTTAATTATATTCAAGTCAATATTGAATATTGATGCTAATCTAAAAAATGAGTCAATAAAAATAACAGTGTAGTATGGGCAAAGTTGAAACATTAAAACCATTATAAAAATTTGGTCAATAATAAAACAATAATATATATAATAATATTTCCATTTTTTAATGAATCGAAAATTGAGGCATTTTTTTACAGATCGATTTCAATGTTTACTTTGTACATACAGTCAGCATTATGAATGATTTACACATTATTTTTATATGAAACTGTCGTAAATGACAAATTGTGTCATTATATTATGAACTGAAACTTTAATACTAAAAAAGTGTATAATTCCTTACCGTACATCCGAAGGCAATCAGCTTCATTACGGTCTCGAGAAGGAAGAAGAACGTAAAGACGAAGTTCATGAATGCTAACATGTCCATGAGTAGTAGTGGAGCCTCGTGAAACTACCACAAAATGAATACCAGCATCTTTTAACCGTAACCCAAAATATTATCAGACATAAAAATAAAAGCTAAATGCCAGAAAAGAGCACTAAAAATTTAATAAAAACGAATTCTTCAGACCATGATTTGTTTCTAGCATTTAACTTGTGTAATATATCTAAGAAATTAAAATCCTAACTAACTGCTATTTATATAAGAAAATAAACGGAATCATATTCATTATGTAGTGAGTGTAACGGTTGGTGTTTGTGTTTTGTTTTTTTGTATGAGCCCATTTTAGATTTGTGTCATGTTTTCCAATAGTTCATTGGTATTTTAGTGCACGTGCTCGCATGCATATTAGAATATACAAACATGCATATGGGCGGTTACTGCAAATAACCCATTCCACTTATAACATAATTAGGGTTTACAAATATAAAAATTAGTACCAACCTTGAAAGCTGCTGATATCCGCCGACTTACCTCGTGATACAGCACACTGACAAAACCTGAAGTCATCTATTTTAGTGCCAATAAAAGGTCATTAGTCGGCGTATGTGTTGAAATATACAGGGTGCTACATGCGGCAGGAAGATAAAGCCATGCTTAACAACTCGCAAATAAACTCATATCATTACTCTCAACGTTTTAGAGAGAGAAAATAGTAACGGACACAGGAAGGGGTGATATTTACTCGGCTTGAAATAATCCCATACAGTCATGTAAATAGACAAAACAATTAGGTTAATAACAGAAAGAGTACATTTGCACCTATGTCGTTTCTTTTTATTTATTAGTACTGTTTGTGTCCATTCAAACTTGTGTGGTTGTGTACTTACTTTGACACCATAAGCGATGATTTTCAACACCGTTTCCACAGAAAACATTCCAGTAAACCCCATATTCGAATACTTGAGGATATCCGCGTAGAGGTCGTTTTGATTATAGTACTGCCATTTTGTGATGATGTGCCGGGCGTTTTGGATAAACCCATGGCAATGAAAATACATATTTGTTATTTCTTACGTACATTATATGAAGTATTGTTGTGATGTACAGAATTAAATTTGTATTGAGATATGATGTGGATTGCAGAACTGTTTTCTGGTTAATCTCTTTTATTTTAGTGCCCTAATACTTTCTTTTTAATTATAAAACATAAGAAGAGGAGGATAGTGGTTACGGATTTGGTAAGGAAAAGTGCAATAATCGTTAGTATATTATGTAGAACTATAAAAAGAAAATCTGACAGGGTCACAATGAATTTCTGTTATGAATAGTTTAGACATAATATAATTATAGTAAACATAAAATAAAAATGAGAATAATTGTTAAATAAACTATATTTAAATAATGATGATTATTCTATTTTAGTGTAATCGATATTTCATTTTTTTGACATGGTCTGAATATAAAAATATAAAGCAGCGATTAGCCACCGACAGTTACACCTGGCAGTAGGCCATTCCACAATTCATGCAGAAATTCCACATAAAAACAATTAGGAATAGTTCTTAAATAAGATCATGCAACACGAACAACATAAATGGCCCATGCCACATCCTAACTGACTCCGGAGATGTTGTGCATTCACAGGCACGAATAACCGAACAAAATGTTTGTGTATGTTGTGCTTGAGATGTGCAGGAAGGATAGGTTATACCGTGCAGTAAAACACTTATACATAATAATGTATGAATAAGCAAGCAAGGAACATGTAAGGATTACTCAACAAAATATAGGATGTATTAAATAAACGTTTGTTGGTACATTTGATAGGAGAGGCTCAATCATATTTCAAATACTGACATCGAACACAGAAAAAAAGTATTGTATTTTTGTAGTCATGTGTGTAATTTTGATGTTGACGTGTGTGTGTTTATCAAGTTCCAGGCAGTACGTGTTGCCAATTATAATGTTAAGATCGCAGATAGTTGTGATTTTTCTTAATTTAAAGACAGTGTTCAAGAAGATTTGTAAATATTTTTCTTACTTATCTAGAAATAAGTGCCAACAGTTAAACACAGAAACATAAATAATTCTTAAGTATACAGTGAAAAAGTACATATTTATTACAAACTATAGACAACATCGTTAGTTTTAATATTATGAACACATAGAATACTTATGGAACTCTCTAGTCAGGTCCTGTGCAAGCGTTTGTGAACGTCAGGGGTTGAACACTAGATCTAGACCTTCGTTGTCCGTGGCTTGTGAAACAGGCTCTACCTCAATAATAAGTGGTCATTTTCTACATTTCACATTTAAAGTGCTCAAATTGCTTTTGTAGATATGTAATTTGTTGAGGTAATTTTTGATAAAAATGTTTAAATCATGTTCATTATATAAGTTCCTGCTAATACCTTATATTCTATGATAATTATGTTTAAACACCCAGTAAACATGTAACTACATACCTTCATCATGAGCAACAATGTATTGAGGACGATAAGGGTCATGATGAAGTACTCGAAGGGTGTGGAGACGACTATTTTCCACACTTTGTACTTAAAACTCCCCCTTTTGCTTGGCATATACCTCTCTAGAGGTCGTGCTTCTATCGTGAAGTCTATACATGATTTCTGTAAAGACAATAAATGGTTACTAGTACAGTTTAATGGAAATCAGGTCAGAAACACGAATGTCTACAGGACGTACCTGATTTTTATCAATTTCACCGTCTTGCAGTTCAGCTTCGCCTTGCTCTTGAAATGTGATAATTATCAGAGCTACGAATATGTTAACAAAGAAGAATGGAAACACCACAAAGTAAACGATATAAAATATGGACATTTCTATTCGAAAATTTTGTATAGGTCCCCTATCTTCGTACGTCGCAGCCATTGAATTTTGTAATACTCTGTGAAAAAGTAATTGACATTTAATATTGTTACAATTTTTTATTTAATTATAACACTAGTATAAATATTAAAACACTGATTTATTTAGGCAAGAGTCTGGTTAAAAAATTTACACAAAGGATGTTTTTATACTAAGTGGTATAAACTTGATTATCAAAAGATGTTAATAAATTAGAACTTCATTGCAATGAGAATTTTACCGTGAAATTTTCCAACTCAACTAAGGAACGCACTAATCAATCTATGGATTTTTTACTACGTTACATATCTGTACTTTTAAATTTGTGGTAAAATATTGGTAATTAAGTGTTATAATAATTCATTATATTTGTTCATAATTTTTCATACCTGAAATACGGATGGCATGAAATAATATGTAAAGTAGTCATTTTCTGTGTTGAGTATATGTATATTTAATGTGAAGACTTACTGTGGCCACCCTTCTCCCGTTTGTACCGCGAACAGCGTCAGCATTGCCACTGCCACGTTGTCGTAATGGAAATTTTGTGTCTTCCATTGGCGTGGCATTACGTGTGGCAACAGGCTGTTGGACTCGTACACGAAATACGACCCTCTGTAAATTACGTATGTATTGTACAAAAAATATTTTAAACAGAGTTTTATTAATTTTGACGTTCTATCCCATTAAAACGGGGTTCGAATTTACGATTGCCTGAAACGAAGTTCACCCTCAGATTGAGTCGTATCCGCCATATCGTAGGCAGGTAATGGTCTTCAGCGAGTTTGGATTAGTCAAGAGAGCATTAGAATAGTTCGAAGAAAGGTAATTTTTATTGGGACCATGTCGCTCGTATACAATATGATTAAACTTATATTTTTTTATATATTAACTTAAATCTAAATATTTTTTATTCTTTTTTATGTAATTGGAATGAGCCGAATGTCCATCTAAAAATTCGTGGTAACCATAGTTTATATACATTAAGGCATTATGTTATTATGTGTCGCCATGACATCACAATGCTTTATTCCATAGAACAAAGATATAATTCCTCTTATACTATAATTTGACTACCTCATCTCACCCTTGAATCAAAACACATCTTACTTGGGCTGAAATAATGAAGTACCCACGCAGTCGACTTTTAACAAGGTCTGTTATGTAATATTATATTATCTGTGGTAGAGTCTTATACAGAAATTATTATGGATAGCGGAAATAAATGTTAGCGATATAAATATAAAGCGTAAAGAAAACACGCAATAAATATTCTAAAAGAGAAAAAAATATTATTAGATAATACTTACTGGCAGTCTTCATATGTATTCTTACTGATATCGTTGCAGTGAAAAAATTTACCGTTAAAAAGTTGAACTGCAATTACAGCGAATATGAATTGAAACAATATGTACACAATGAGAATGTTGATGACATTTTTCAACGAGTTCACAACACAGTCAAACACTGCTTTTAGCTTTGGAACACGTTTTATAGTTTTTAATGGTCTGAGCACTCTTAACACTCTTAACGACTTTATTGTGGACAGATTCTGCCCTGCACCCTTCTTGACACCTCTGCAATAAAAAAAAAATACTTTAAAGTAGCTAAAAATCGAAACTAATAGAGATATTATAAATATGGTAGTATATCTGTGTTTACTTTTAGTTAGCTTTTCAAGGTATTTAGTAAAATGTATTATATATAGATTGCAAGACAAGTCAGGAAGGCTTTCTTTTATTTAAAAAAACCAGACCTAGTCAATGTAGTAAAATATATTTCGTTATCATACGACGAGCAATCCAATTACTATATGTAAGTTAATTGCAGGTACTATGCATATTTTCACGAAATTACAACTAGTGATAGGTAGACAAAGTTTTAACAAAACTAACAGACCTGACTTCGTGAATTGATTCATTGAATATATTAGGTTAGGATATACTTTTGAAGAAAATTGTAACATACCCGATCTCGAAACCGAAGCTGACGAGGGCGCAGATTACAACAGCGGCATCCATGATGTTCCAAAGGTCACGTAGATACGCGCCCGGGTGGAACAGGATGCCCAAGTCCACAATCTTCAGCAGCATCTCCACCGTGAATACCCCCGTAAACGCGTAGTCGAAGTAGTTCAGGATTTTGTTCCTACACAAGTTTTTAAATGATAACAACTAAATTTGGATTACTTCTTTAGATTTTTTTGTTGATATTGATTTGTTAAATTATGACACATTATTTTTATGTTACCAATCCTTAAACATACTTCTTTCAAATATTTAACATTAGTATAACAACTACTTAATAAATTTTGATAAAAGTAAATTGTTATGAATCTCTTACCTACTACTTTCTTCGACTACAGGGTCTTCAGCTGCTAAAGCCGCAGAACTCATACATATAACTATCATAATAAAAAAATCAAAATATCTTAAATTTACAACCCAGTGTGCACCTCGCCTAATTCTGTAACAAAAAAATGCATTTCAAGTGTTTTATTAAAAAACAATATTTGTATGCGGAGAATTTTACAAGATATTGTTGATTTAATAATTATAAAGCTGAAGAATTTGTTTGGTTGGTAGGTTGTCGTGCTAATCTCAAGAATTAGGTACCCGTTCGTGTTGAAAAATAGTTTAGTGTTATCGTTTATTGAAGACAAGCTTTTAAGGAATGCTACGTGCTATCTAACGTTACACTATGAGCAATAAGAGCGGAGCATCAATGAATAATGATGCAAATACGGGTCTCTTAAAAGAAATAATTAATTATACTATTACTGACTTATTTTGTGAAATTTTGATCAATACAAAGATCTGTTTATTAATACCTATTTATAAATATAACATATTTTCAATATACTGTGTATATTTTAATTTTTATTTGACTTACGGATTAGTGGGCGATAAAATAAACATGGACGAATATGGCAGCATTGGTTTTGGTCCATCTGGTATCTCCTCATCGTCTTCTTTTTTGGCCTCTTCTTTCTTTTTATTCTGGAATAGCGATCCGTACAATTTATTAATATAGAAAATACAATACTAAATTTAAAAAATAACACAATATCAAAATGTACAGCACGCTTAATAAAAAAAACTGCATTATGTAAAAATAATATTTTTAGAAATCTCCTTTAAAGTTTTACATTTAAAGTCAATTTCTGGAATATTATTATTTTTCAGTCAATGCATTTTACGTCGTGCGATGTATGTAATGATGATGAATGAATGAGTTCATCTAATTATAACAAAATATATGAGCATTAATTGGCATTGATTTCACTCTGAGATGACTTAGTACATTACTGTAACGCTCTTGTGCATACTCACCCCAAGATATTTTGTGGGAGACGATGATAAACTTACTAATTTAATTGGTAAATCAATATATTAATTTATATATGTGGATACAGTTATATTTGTATTATAAGAGTTACATTTACATCGTTTTAATATTGTAAATTAATTGAAAATTTTGAGTATTCAATATAATAATAATAAAGATGTTATAAAAAAATTAGATAAAGCATCATCTGATAAACACGCTTTCTAATGTAAAGTTGGTATCCCTTGTATGGTAAATATTTATATCGGAGACTCAATTTACTTTATTTGCCTATATTTTTATCACATTGAACTACAATATTAATTGTTCATGTCATATGAATACTGCAGTACAAATGCTTGATAGTTTAAATCAAATTACTAAAAAACATTAAATTGGTTCCGATAGATATAACAAAATATACTGTATCAGCTGTATGAAGTCGACATATTATTACTGGACTACATGCAACCAGTAATAATATAATAATAAATAATGATAGACATATATCACAATCTCAATAATATACTGCATAACTCAAAATTAGCGTGTTTCGGAAAATAAACTTTAAATTTTCAAGATTAGAATTACATTTCCTACATTTGTAATTAATGAGACGATGCAGTATCCTATTAGGCGTGCGATATATGCAGCTAAGGAAAATAAAATAGTATCTATTCTAAATCTACGTATATCCAAAAACTACGTATTCTGAGCAACATTATCAGCAATTGCCGTGCTAGTGACATCTACATTAGTTACAGATTTACATTGAAATATGCGCAATAATTCAAAATAGACAAAATAAAGCCATAATAATAATTAATAATGAGTTTGTATGATGACAATTGTTACTACTCCTACACTACACTTAGGTATAATATGTGCCCTATACGAAATTAATGTAAAATTATCCAGTTCCTCTATAGCCATCTAGACATATTTATGAACGTTGAGAGAATTTTAAAATTACACCTATTGTAACATTCTGCCCACAAAAGCGACACCGATATCTCACCACGACCACACTTAAAATATTGTTGACTTAGAAACATGTCTAAGTAGAAGGTAAAGTGTATCTACAACATACAATGAAACAAGACTATATAATATAATACCATCAATGTACATACAACATGCGATGCAGCAGTGTAAAAATGGATTACAACACGGATGATGGTAAAACAACAGTTAGTATATAAACATCAACAATATTTTAAGTGGCCGACATCAATGCACACGAGTAAGCGTAGCTTAGTACCACCGCCCAACTGGTTTTACCTTCCTACTCGCAGGCGATGAAGGGTTTAAGTCTACCCGCGGTGGGGTTCCGTCTACCGCGTGTAACGCACCCATCTCTTTCTCCAATTCCTAATTCACCGGAACAGAGGTTGTCGTATGAAACAAATTGAACTTCACATATCTAAATAAAAGGTCCAATCTTCCATACAACAACTATTTTAAAAGTAAATGCTGGTGGAAGAGTGGCAGACATGCTATGGCATTGAAATTGTGATTCTATTCTAAAGTTAAAGCATCAGAGGATGAAAGGTAACATTCTAGTGTAACAGCGTGACAGATAAACGGAAGCACACTTACTTGGAGCTGCTTTTCCTTATCTTCCTCCTCTTGTTCCTCTTCAGCCGCCGTCAACTCCTGAAATAACAGAAATGCAACATTTACACGAGAAGCAGCGTCAGTTAACAATCGAGCTTTAACGTTTACACAACATCACGTATCTACCGTTTATTAGTTTTTACATTCAGACTGTTAAGATTTTGCTCTGGCTGATTATAAGTATACATATATGAAACATAAAATAATTTGACGACATTATGCAATATGTTAGTATCAAGCAAATTTTACAGCCATTATCATCAACTAAAGCAAAACCGGTGGTATAGTATAGTAAGTAACCCACCTGAGCGTTAGCCAAGTTGTCGACAGCGATGGCAAGGAACACGTTCAGTAGAGTGTAGTTTCCGAACAAAACGAGAATGACAAAGTACATGGAGTAGATCATGCCCTTCTGTATGCCGCCCTGAGATTGGATGCCATCATACATCACTTCATTCCAATCTTCTCCTGTTAGGATCTGTAAATCAAGGCGATGGTATACAATACAAACATTGTCAATTTCATAACACAACGGTGTAAGAAAAATTAGCAACAAAGGACAAATAAAAAAGGGCATTAATTATTTATTAGAGACTTAAAGTTTAGATAATGCACGATTTCATTATTTTATTTAGTACATATTTGTAATTGATTTACGAATATAGAAATAGATGCCGTGTGTTGATTTGCTAAAACTCAGTTAATTAGAAATATTTGGAACATTCAAATTAAATGAAAAAAATAGTTTTATAAAATTCTTTAAATGTATGTCATATTGTGGCCAATAAATAATATTTCTGTGGTAAAATAAATGTCATAATTTTACAAATGAGTATAATCACCTGGAAGACAGTAAGTAACGCAATAGGAAAGGTGTTGAAGTTAGTTGGCGGTGTGCCATCCTCGAAGTTGAACTGTCCACCAAACAGCTGCATACCAAGTAAGGCGAATATAAGAATGAACAAGAACAGAAGGAACAGCAGTGAAATGATAGATCTCATTGAATTTAGTAGAGATATCACCAGATTTCTTAATGAAGACCAGTATTTTGTGACCTGAAAAACAACCAACGAAAATCGTTTAGTTAATATTATTTTTTCTATAATCTCAACTGAAAAGGTGTCCGTTTAAATATATTATAAATATACCTAAGTTTACTGTATCTTAAAAGAAATGATAAATGTGTAAATAAACATCTAATAACAGTAAGGCAAGACTATTTATAGGCCGTAGTATAAAATGATAGTGAAGAAATTACTTACCTTAAATATCCTTAACAGTCGTAAGGCTCTAAGAACAGAGAGACCAAAGGAGCCGCCTTTAACCTCTGACCAGACGACTTCAAATATGGAGCCAGATATGACCACACAGTCAAAGCGGTTGAACGAGGATTCAAAATATATACGCGGCCCCAATGCGTACATTTTCACCCACATCTCCATCATGAACAAACACAAGAACACAAATTCTGCATAATCTGAAACCAAATAAAAGATATGTTTGCATTTAATACTATATTCAGGAAACTTAAGTCAAAACTCTCGGACATTTGAAATTAATTCCTATGGTTTAGTTAGTTTTCTAAAGATAGGTACGTGAAAGAGCGTCAATAATAGATTAGAAGCACAGTTTATATTAGACTTAGGTATTTAAAGTATTTTCAGACCATGTTACCAATCACTTAGAAAAGAGAATAATTAATATAATATAGATATTATTTTGAATAAAGCGACTTTCAAAAATAAACTACTTACCTATTTATATCTTGAGAATATACACTTTAATTTGTTATATAACTAATGAACATAATTTAAAGAAAAAATTACGTATATGTTTACTCACATAAAAATGATGTTAGCCACTTAGGTTGTCTGTAATGCTCAACAGCTACGCATATCGTATTGAAGAGCACCAAGACAATGACGAACCAATAGAACCACTGAGTCTTCACAGTGTGCCTAATCCAGAAGCGAAATCTCTTCTCCGCTCGCCAGAAGTCCGCACATTTCCCAGCCGACCGTGACTTGCTTTTCAAAAAACCTGCAGTAATCATATAACATTTAGATATTATCTCGATAATATGATACTGGAATACCATCGGTCAAGCAATAGCAGGTACTGCTGATGTTTACTGCATGATCGACGGTAACTTTACTCGCAGCTAAGTCAACTTTGACAATCAGCTAATGTTACACTAGCTCTTACTCACATCACATTTAAGCTTACAATTTCCATATGCTACTCGATTAGCGATATAATCCAAATGCGATTCGTTAAATTTATACATATTATATACTATTACTTATATATATGATACTAAAATATATATTATAGCAACTTGCAAAATACAATGTAATGGAACAGATTATCCACTTAGCATATAAATTTAATCGTAATAGCAATTCAATACGATGTGTCATCACATTTTTAGACACCAATAACGATTTTCTGGGACTACAGTCATGTAATTGCCAGATTTTTTTGTCTAAGTCACGTTTATGGTAACTTTTAGAATTAGGTTAAAGCTTGGAAGTTTAAGGTATAAAGGTGAGGTTAGCCTACGGAAGAAAGAAGATAGTAAAAGACGAAGAAGATAACGCCCTAACGTTTAAATTCAATAATAATTCTTAGGGTCCCTAATTTATTTACTGAGCAATACTTTTACATTTAAATGAGTTATATATTTAAGTAGATATAAACGAAGGGGCGTTTCCATAATTTTTGGATATGAAGGAGGGATCACTAATCCTAAATCTATAACTATACTATTACGACTACATAGAAGATGAAAAGGAATATTCTACCAGAATCACGCTTGATCCCATACCTTGCTTTTTCTTTGGAACTGTAAACAACCAATACACAAATAGAGTACGAATAGATAATGGAAATGAGAACGAGTGTCAAGAATTAGTACAACACTTATCATGCAACATCCACATAATAAAGTTACCCTGAGACTCAAATGGTACAAAATTTATGTCCATATGTTAACTCAATTAGTATAATTTCTACATATGTACGTTTTCAATAATGACACTAAATTATATTATAAGAATAATCAGAGTGTAAACAATATACTTAAATAAAGAATTAAATTAATGTATACAAAAGGAATAGAACAATATGATACGAAAATATCCTCATGCTACTAATCGAGGACATGCAAAAAGTAAGTCAAAACAAAATATAAGTAATAAAATATCTTATAAACAACTTCTTTAAAAAAGAGAGATTTCGCTTCTTCTAGCTAATAATTTAAAAAAATTACTATACATACAATTATCTAAATAAATGACATTACAATGAATTTTAGTCCCACATATAAGAGTAATTTAATAAATTTTAGGCACCACTATTTGATGTAATGTAGCCTACCTACTTGACTTGTTTCTTATCTAAAAGATAAAATGAATGATTTGCAAGACTACATAAACCCTTTTAAATTCATAAATACCTCATTATATAGTTCGCAATTGCAACTAATACATATTTAATTTGTAATTGTAAAACTTTCAATCACAATCTGTTTTAATAAATAACGATTTACATAATTCAGTCTCTGATGTAAAGCTATTATCCTATCTATAACTATAAAACATATTTCTTCCTAAATAATCACCGATAAACGTTACAGAACATCACTTCGATGTGATTTTGTTATTTTTTCAATCTGAGACTCAGAATACATTTTTAGACACGGATTCAATTTTATTTACCTTATAAATTTGGTTTCAATTTTACAATATTGAAAAACAACTGCATAAGAACAATCTATCTCACAGATTTAAAGTCCAAGCCATCTCTATTACGAAATCTCCCTAAGAAAGAATAACGGCAGTATATATATTAATAAAATTAGAAACATTGAATTTTTGATAATAGACAGACACGAAAACTTAGTAATATAATTATAAAGAGTACTGACCGTCGTCCCCGCAGTCTTCATCTTGTTCCTCTTCCTCTGTATCGGTGCTTTTACTCTTGCCTAGGTTTTTTAATTTCTTTTTTGCTGCGGCTTTTCTTCGTGCTGAGAGAACATATTGTATTTTTATTATTGATTTTAAGCTTTATACAAAGTATACTTTCTTACAGTTATAGTTATCATACCTTCTATTATGTGCATCTTTTCCTCTTCTGTAGTTCTTTCTTCAGCTAATATTACTTCCTCTGTGGAAGACATAAACATATTAGCATTTTTGTAATTGAGACCCTATATTCTATTTTGATTATACTCACCGGCCTTACATATCCACTCAACATAACCATTAAGTTCTTTCTCAAGTAGTTGTTGTCTTCTTAACTTTAGATATTCTTGTCTATTTTCTACTTTCTCTCTTTCTTTAGCGAATTCACTGTGAAATATAGTACATACATAAAACACTAGCAGCCTAATACATTTGTAATGAGCTTCACTACTTCTACTTATATGCGTTTATATCAACTTGAAAATATTTATGTATTATTAAAATTATACCACACCGAGCAAACGCTTTGATTTAGCTGTTAGGGATGATTATTGTATATTATATGTATAAATAACATCTATAATTAATATAGTAACAGTAACTACAAAAAATATAAACAAAACAGAAGAACAAAGAGTTATAAAGGAAGAGAAAGTATAGCCTACAAATGCATATCCTTAATTAAGTAAATACTGAGAGTGTTTTCTTTTAGAAACTTAGGTAATTATTATTCAGAAAAAGAAGATAGCAGTTACAGGTACAAAACAGAATTTTGTTATCTAGCACCCTCTAAAATTAGTAAAAGCATCCACGCGGTTCCAAAATAGACCTGCTTCTGTGATCCAATTGATGTACGCTGTGAAATCTTGGTTGAACAACAGCTGAGCTCTCTCTTTCTGGAATTGAGCACGTCGTTCAACTCGTCCTCTCTCATTTGAAAACTCACTGAATTTTATTAAACATATATTTAATACTGGCTGGTGCCCGCGAATATTATGCGTAGAATTATAATACGTTTTATATCGATACTATTTCCTCGCATGAACTATCTTAGTTTATTTCACCCCCATAAAGTTTTGTTTTCGCGATAAAAGTAGCTTATAACAAATCTATTCGTCTTTCTATACCAATATGCATCGAAATTTAAGTTCAGTAGTATAGGTGTGAAAGAATAAACAGAATAATTTCATATTTATAACTGAAGTACAAATAATAGACGAACTGAAGAATATAAAAGCAAAAATTAATAGAAGTAAGATTAAATTTATTGAAAAGAGGATTATAATAATTGTATTTAACTCACCCGCTAAGGACACCGAGAACTAAGTTGAGCATAAAGAATGAACCCAATACTATGAGAGGCACAAAGTAAACCCAGTTGAACGCACTACCTAACGCGTCATTCGTCTGAAACAAGGACAATTTATTAGAGCCGTAGAACAACTATATTTTTTGTTAAATATTAAATTGAATTAGTAAAAGTTAAGAGTGTATTTTATATTACAGAAATTGATTTGATAGCTTTTGTTTAGTTATATGGAATACTGCTTAAATATGAGATATTTTCTACATCTGGTTATTATACTAAACAAATAAATATATTGTATGTGATATTATTTAAAAGACTGTTATTGTTATTAAAATAAAGAAGTCTAAAATCAGTAAATCAATCAATTGATATTTTAAGCATAGAAGTATGAGTTTATAGCTTACCCAATAGAGGATGGCGGTCCAGCCCTCCATGGTGATGCACTGGAAGACGGTGAGCATAGCGAAGCCGATGTTATCGAACGACGTGATCCCTCGGTTTGGCCCTTCCCACTTTTCGAGGCACGTGCTCTTGTTGTATTTACATACGTTGGCCCCATACGGCGCAAGATTTTCGTCGTCCGCGTTACATGGCGTTGGATTGTCACCATCATTCATTATTTCACCTGTCAGAGGGAATTCTCGGTTTAACATAGTTTTAAATTGGTTTCTAACTTAATCTAGAATCGCTTATACTACTGAAATTCTATCAAAAAATATAATTTAGTAATAATTTGAAAATAGTACTCACTAATATCTTCTAATGTATAACAAGTCTTATGCAGCGCCCCTGAGTAGAACTCGAGGCCAATAATGGCGAAGATGACAATCGCGAAAAGCACCAAAAGGCCAATCTGAAGCAGCGGGGCCATCGCCTTGATGATTGACTTCAATACCACTTGCAGACCTACATAAAGATATTGTTTATACAATTTGCTTAATTATAGTAATGTATTGATGTATAATTTCTTAAACTAAGCATAATATAATATTATGTTTTAATATATTAAACCATTTTCAAAATTTATCACAGTGATAATATTTATGAATGATTACTTAAATTAACTGCATCTGACCAAGAGGTTATATCGAAATCCGTTCAGTTTTAGTGAAGAAACTGTGTAATACAAAAAAGGCAATATGAGAATATCCTCCCTTTTGGCAGTTGGTTGAAAATGCAAATATTGCCAAGACTAATGGTTGCATTAATATCAAATCCAATATTTATAAAACCAAAACTTTATAAGAAAATACAACAATAATATAACTACTGGGTTTGAAAGAATTGTTCATTAATTATTTTCATATTTCCTGTGCGAAATTGGGTTAGTTTTATATATATTTATTTATACTACAACGCTAACTTCTGTCATTTTGCATTGATTGCCTGCTTCTTGAGTTGGAGTCATGGCAGTCAATATTCAAATAACACTGGCATTTAATTTGTTGTTTTGTGTTTTCAATAAAACAGAATTTGACAAACACGAAAACTAATTGCTAACCAGTTTTTTTTAATTTACTAATTTACCAGTTTTCAGAAGAACGTTCATGGTACTTGTAATATTGAAGTCACTATCTCTTCAAGCTTTTAATATGTCACGAAAATAAACAAATAAAAACATTGAGGGAAAAATTATGACAGGATTCAGCATTATAATAAACTAACATGGATTTGGTCTTAATGAATCGTTATAGATATACTGTGATGTAAAAATGTCCTGTACATACAAAGTACCTAAATTATGTCATAGAATATATCAAAGACGTACATATTTATATTACATGAATGCACAAACAATCATTAACTAAATATAAACAATTCAAAAGGTTTATACGTGTACATTATTTTAATAAAATATTAAGGTAGATCATTAAAAAATAAACATTATAATATTAGGTAAATAAAATTTGGCGTTGCTATGATAGTTTTAACACTAGATAATATGAAATATAGTCTAATATCACAACTAGATAGGGTAAACGAAACATTAAATACTATAATTTAATAATATGGTACAGTGAAAATAGAATATGTAACGGTATCGTGCAAAAGTTAATTAGCTGTAGCACAATTTTACTGTACATACATTGAAATATGCGGCTTCAGTAATTATATAGTAGATTATAATAAAACCGAAGTACAATGATTTAGGTAACAGTCCTATTATATATTATACATAAATAATAAATCTTTCGAAATGATCAGAAAAATGGCAGCAATTATTATTAAAATATTTTTTAAAATTAAAAAATAGAACAGTTTAAATTGTGCAACAGCCAGTGCGGGTATTGCTACGGGTAACTAATAATGTTCTAGAACTCACTAGGAACGCCCGATACTAATTTAAGGGGCCTCAGCACCCTAATGGCACGCAAGGTCCTGAAGTCGACTTCGGGCACGATCGGCAGCTGCGTGATGATACTGCCAAACACATATCACTCGATACTATAGCTTGAACTAGCAACTAGCTTAGTAATAAAACATCTACTTAGGACTGTGCATGTATATGTTTTGTTTCATGTATGTATCGTGTCACTGAATAAATGATAATATTTTTTTGATTAATTTTATACTAATTACATATTAAATGATTTTAGACAGCACAGTCCTATTATCTGTAATAAAAAAATGTAAAATGAATTTTCTAGCTTAATTTCTACTGTCTAAATATCGTGTATCTAATTAGTTCTGTTATTTTATTCTAATCACACGTTATTGTTACGTCTTTAATTCTAAATACACCATATTTATTCACACCTAATTTATTTTTATCTAAGTAGTCTTACGTTAGTTTTTTTTATATAAGTATAATATATTTGAAATACCTACGCAATACACAATTATTAGCAAATTGTTACTATTATGCAACACGTAGCCGAAATTCAAATAACATTTAAACATTTTCCAAAAATCACACATTTTCTAAGCTGTATACAGAAACGTTTCATAAAGTAATCATGTCGACAAATCGACGCTACGTTTCTTTACTAAAATCGAAAAATTCTATTTTGAAAAAAATCACTAGCGATATTTTACTACGTTCCAAAAAGTTCGAAATTCGAAAACATCTAGCGAGAACGTTCTATACAAATAATGTAGGTTATTATGTGAACTTTTCGCCAATTACTGTGAATTACTTGGTATCCGCGAGACGAGCTTCAGCGGTCGGAGCACTCTGAACGAGCGCAGCATCCGCAGGTCAACGTCCACGTTGTATTCGGCGAAAATCGTCATCGACCTAGTTTTCGTTATCCAATATTCAATAAGATAATTAACTTTAACCCTCTAAACCCTATCAGATCCTGCACACAAAGCCTACAGATGTCTAAATTTTGGTTGTATACAATACATAAATGAACCAATTAGCAGAACCTGTTAATATAATGTTTATTAACACTTTTGAATAAAATAAGAGTATTTTGTATTTTTCAATATGATTAAAGAGAAATCGTTGCACACTTTTTGTCATCTTTAATAAAACTAATGGTATACTTACGAGTTACGACATATATCATGGTTTTTGCTATAAGTATCATCTTTACATTATTATATATAATAAAATGATAAAATCGTGACGTGTTAAAACTTTAACATTGACAGATAAACTGTCTATGTAGTTGTTTGGTAAAGTTTTAGCTGGAGGAATTATGATGAAATTTTCACAGAATATGTATGTTGTTCAACATATAGGCTAAAGAATAATAGGATAATATTGTATTAAAGAAGTACGTATACTATTACGGATCCGTAATCCGTAACAGAATATACTATTACTATATTCTGTTACGGATTACGGTTTACGGGTAATAAATACCGTATTTATATAATTTATAGACTTATAACAATTAATAATATTATATAGAAATATAATAAATAATATATTATAGTACATTGAAGTAGATTATTTTTTATTTGTATGCAACGATCTCCACTGAAAGTAGGTAATGCATGACAATTTGTATGGTAATAGGGTAAATGGTACATGTAGTAATTCTCAACTACTTGACTGTAAAGAACAATAAAGGTTATGTCAAAAATATTGCTGTCATTAAAAAATATTTCATATTTAACCGATGCATATAACAATATACTGGTTAGCATAAACACAACATATTTATTGTTATTTACGTAGTGTATTTTGAAGTAGGTAACAGAACTATTATCTACGAGTAAGGAAAATTTTACTAACCCAGTTATTACTACAAAAAAATCCATGATGTTCCAAACGTTCCTAAGATACGATCCTCTGTGGAAAACAAAACCTAACGCTAATATTTTTAATGAGGCTTCTACACAAAATATCCCTAAAAAGTACGCCTCGGTCTTTTCCTGAAACAAACATAAATAATTAACTTAACAAATATCTAAATTCATAAATGAAACCTATAATATTCAAATTACATTGATATTTAATTATAAACTAATCCTCTTTCTCATCCATTTCGACTATTGGATTGTGTTTTTAATTTACTTTCAGATTATGACACTAATTTGAAGGAAAAGGACACGAGCTAATAGTTAAGAACAAGTGTACTAGACCTATGATGTTGCAAGGATGGTCGCACGAAAAAGAGAATACGTACTTCGTTATAGAGAAACACTTCGACAACAAACACTTCGGTATTAAAATGAAAATAGTCATTTATACATCTATATAAATTAATAATAGCGATAAAGATATCATAACTATAATAAGTACAAATCATTAAATGTCGTTCTATAAATTTAAAATTGTAAGGATAATATAAGATTGTTGTCCTAAAAAATAAAAAAGGGATAAAATCGTACAATCTAGATTTAATTTTAAAAATAAATTATATAATATAATGAACATACCAGATTCTGTGCTAAGATGGTCTTGTCGCCGTTGGGCAAATGCTCCTCCAGCGCCAGCACCACGCAGTTGGCGATGATGGTAAGTAGCACCGCGTACTCAAAGGGTGGCCACTCGATGATAAATTTTGTATACCTGAAAATAGTGATGATTTTCATTTAACATTTATATATTTATTTAATATTATTTTGTATTTTTGAATAATTTGTGAAAGAAATTTATTAAGCTTAACAAATAAAATTTAATATCGTATATAATTTTAGAAAGTTCCAATATTAATTACCTATTCATTTATGAAAAAAATAAAAAAAATCGAAATAATTTTCGAAGTTTGAATTTTTTTTTTTGTGATTAATTTTAATATTATAATGTACATAGTAAGTACAAAATTGATGATGTAATAAGATGAATACAATTATACGTACACTGCAGTTAGTATAATAATATTCTCCTGACCCGTCCTACATACATAATTTAAAGCATCCATTACAAACTTGTTCCGTGACGACATGAAAATATTACGTTTGTTGTTACCACAGACAACTGTATAAGTGTTCATCGAATAAATTAATCCATCATAAAATTTGGGTCAATTTAATTGTTAATTCTTTTTTGTTGAACGCACCCAGCTGCTTTCTCTTATTTTTATTTTCAGTAAAACAGATTGTCATTAATAATATCAGATTTTGATTAATACAATTATTTAGGACTTTATTGAATATATACATGAAGGGGTTTTTATGTCTGACGCGAAGATATTGAAAATTAGCTGAATAATTTTCTTTAAACTATATAATATAAAAAGAGTGATATATATTCCAATCTGATAATTAAATATTTATTTTATTTATGTTTACCTACTGTTAAAAATCAAATATCATACATAATGTTTATGTATGTTGTTATTATAGCAGATAGCATTATTCTCTATTTTATCTAGAAATCATATGCGTTAATTTCTTTATAGTAGATCCCAACACCTGACAAGAAATTAGGTAATCTATCGATAATATTGACACACACACATGGTTCACATTCGATATACTCGTATGTACATACATAGGTATATTCGTATTGTAAACGTAGATACCTACATTAGTATTCCCGTTATTATGCACAATAAATCGAATAAAGAATATTAGAATGTATAAAGAATATTTGATATATTGTCCATATAATCAGATAATAGAAGCGATACTTCTTTAAACAATTTTTTTATACGTAGGTACGTATAATTGAAATTGATAAATATATGTATTCATTTGTTCATCAAGCATGCCCACTTCTAATAAACTTGATCTTATAGGTTTAATATTATTCCTCATATATTTGTTCCAGTATAAGTGCACTACAATAATGAAGATAGTTCCATGTTATTTTTGTTGATAGCTTGTTATATTCTATATAACCACTGGCAATGAATTAAACTGGTTTCCTGCCGGTACCATCGGGGAACAAATTTAATAATGTATATTTGTAATAAATCAACTGTCTGATTTGGATAATATTAGAATGTTCGGAGTGTTATATAAAGACACGCGTCAAACAGAAATATAACTATTGCGACAAACGTTATATTTTTGCTGTCTAATTTTTCTGTCTGTCTATCCTTCCACTTCTAAAATAGTATAGATTTATAGTACTAACCTCCGAATAGGATTTTCCTCGGCAAATATAAGTAGCGACCTTGGCGCCGGACTTTCGGGCTGGTGCGCGCCGCCCATGGTATCAGCTGGCGCCGCGCGAGCCTGCGCGCCCGCCGCCTCCTGCGCTGCCGCCAACCTGAAAAACGTCATTGCAACAATGTTAACATGGAAGAAATCCATCTTTATGCTGTTGATGTAAGATACGAATAGACGGAAAACAGTAAGTACGGTTTATGTACATCGTAGGAAAAGATGACTGATTATCAGAGAGAGTTTGACGTTGTAGGGATCAAATAGTGGTAGTATATAATTTTTAAAATCACTTATACGAGGAAATCAAATTGTTTTCTTATAACTTTTATTGGGTTGTTAGAGATATTGTCAAGTAAATATAGTTAGACCTGTAACATTGCGACCTCAGTAAAACTATGTGTGCTAGCCTGATATCTGATTACTCATGTGAAATAATTTATAATCTTTTTAGGAGTTATATTAAAGTTATAATCTACCAGGCAATCGTGGAGCTACTCGCATAGTCATTTTGTATTTTTTCTGTTCGAATTTCTAATAGAAACTTTTTATTATTTTCCATTTAGCGTGATATTGTTTGTTTACAACTTGAAACCGCTTACGATATGTAAAGCGGTATTTGTCGTCTAAGAAAATTAGTAAATAATCATTATGTTTTATTTAGGAATAAATTGATGGACAGATATTCTCATTTAAGGGTGTTATTCGTTTTTTTTCACACATACACAACTATGCATGCAATTATTAAGTAAGTATGGACTGAATAAAGTGTATTAATATAGGTGTGAATATTATTAAGATGTTTTGTGGATGTTTTCTCTATATAAGTTAAAATTATTATAATATTTGTATACAATGAAAATGATCAGATAAACCATATCATATACGATCTTATGCGATACATTGCGTTATAACCTGTGCCCATTCGTAGCGTGTCATAAGAACATAAATGAGTTTTGTGCATGTTCCTTGGCAAGCTTTCGCTTAATAACATCATCATCAATTAACATTTAATTTTCCTGTTAAATGCCTAGAAATTATTGAATATCAGTAAACAAAGCATAGAAAAGTATGCACTAATACATTAAATAAATAAAATTGACGATTTAATATTAATTTATAAATATGTCTGAACATATACATATACTATTGGATAAATGTGACGTTTTTAAATTTTTAAAATTACATTTTATTTAAAGCAATATTCTTTATATTCTTAGTATTCAAAATTTTTTATTTGAACAAACAAAATAATATTTAAATATATTTTTATTATACATGGGTATAATAAATAATATTTAAATAATATTTTGTTTGTTCAAATAAAAAAATTATATACTTTGAGATTGATATTAGCGCAAAACAAAGCAGATTGCTCTTTATAATAAAAGTATTGGTTAAGACAAATCTTTTAAAATAAATGTATTGGTTCCCATGGGACAAATAACATGTTTCTTAAGTTGAATAACCAAGTTATTCAAGTTAAAAAACCATGTTATAAGAAATATTGACTATTTTAATTGTATATTGGTATAATAGATTGGTATACACAATTAAAAGTTAATACCCACCACCCAGATTTGCCCAGTGGGTGAGATAAGCATTGCAATGTATTTGTCACTATGTTATGTTATAAAAGAATTGTCGTGTAGGTGTATATATTATAAATATGCATTGCAGGACACCCGCAATACATATTTACATAATGCGGAATGTAAGTGTATACGACTGTAATGTATTTTAAGTACAACATTGTAAAGTATTTATACGCAAATTAAATACGTATATGTATAAGTATAATTTTAATCATAATACGCTATATTTACATGTAATAATATTAAAGCATAAATAGACATTCAATATGTAGGTCAGTAACTCCGGCTCTGCGATGCTATATAGGAAACGAAGCGAAAGGGGAAGTGACGTCACAGACGGGTGCATTAGGTTAATTATCACACACATATATAGGTATGTGTATATGTAGAGAACTTCGTGGCTTAGTGTTTAGAATCACGACTTGGAGCGCAACGATCGTGAGTTAGAACCTCGACGACGCGGCAACAATTTGTGCTATGTCTATTTAAATTTTTGACTAAATCTCATACGGATTTTAATGAGACAAATCTTAGAAAGATTATTTCTCATTAAGTGGTATTTATCTTTACTTCAATACTTGAAGATATATAATATAGATACAATATATTACATCATCTTTTATCTCAAAAAAGAAGACAAAGTCGCTGATTTTTGCTAGTCCATAAACAAAAATAACAAATATCTATTCGATACTATAGAAAGTGGAGTTATGCTAGTATTTCCTATTTATTATCATTTTCATTCCCCTAAATGGTTCGAGTACTCATGGGAAATAATGTAGTAATCACCATATGTTATTTTGATGTACTGTGTACAACATACTTGTATAACTTTTTAAAGTACTATATAAAAATGTTAGGCAACATTAGATTCTTATATTAGGTAGCAACCTGTTACCAAGCAGTTTGTAGTATGATTTATTTATTAAAATATTCTATTGCATTTTTGTTTTCTTTCCAAATTGTTTTAAACGTCTGTCATTAGTAACTACTATTCATGCACTGTTTACATTGACACTAGATGGCGTTGTGTGTAAAAGTTGCTCGAAAGTGGCAGTTACTGCATTGTTTTAATTTACTTATTTATTAGCAGTATAATTAGGATACGAATCATGATATTGTTACAATAATTATCAGACTTTTTAACAAATTCAAGGCCTCAGTTATTTCGCGATGCCGACGAATCAAACTGTAATAATTCCTAACCAGTTGTAACTAGGTCAATGGAGCGGCTAAAGCGGGAATAGCCTGAGAGTTCGATATCCGGATGTTATTTAATTAACTTATGGAACCACTACGCTTTACCCGCGACTTCATCCACATGACCGAGCTATTTTGATTGAACGGAATAAAAATAACTTATGTACTTCTACTACCACATATTAACTTTATATGAAATCTTTAAGACAAAAACAGAGGCTTAAAATCCACACCGGGGCTCAATAGCTAGTGGGTCGAGGGGTGGCATGAAGTGGGAAGGGAGGTCGAGTGATCGGCCGTTGCGAAGGACGTGGCACATCTTGCCCTTCGCCCGCCTCATTAGCCGATGCTACTCGAATTTGAATTCGGATTTCATAATCTTACAGGCTATTGGTTCAGAATATCATTTGTCTACATGCAGCTAGTTTTATTTCTTACATGGGGTAATTTTGACAATCTCTGGTCATAGTAACAGCACTTGGCAAGCGTAAAAACAAGTCGTTAAAGTGTGTGCCTTAAGACTCGCACACAATAGGTGACTCATATGTGAAATAATTGTTAGTCATATGTTTATAGTACAAGGGTGATATCTTAGTATTTGTATGTGATAAGTGATATTTCTAGGATATTTCCAACATCTGAGTCATCACTAGCGAAATATAATATTTAAGCTAATAAATATAAAAAGTAAAAAAATATAAAAAATCTTTTTGTATAGAAATAAAATATTAATCTTGCAGCAACATTTTGAATAAACTCTCTCCCACATTTAAGATTTCGATTAAATACTTGGAAAGAATAATAGCAAAACATGAAGGAATATGTCAAATTTTTAGTGCAACTTATTCGAAGAATAATATTCGCATACAATGTAAAATAGTATTAATTATTGAGAAAAATGAGATATTGTTACTTATTTTTTAAACAAACAAGTAATGTTCTACATAATTTGAAAGAATAAAATCTTTTTGAGCACTCAACAATCTCACTGATATCTATTGTCATAAACTAATTTTGAAATCGAAACAGGGTATGTTCTAACTAAAAAATAAATACCAAGACTTCTTAGTTGAGAAATTAGAAATAAATTAAGTTAATAATACATACTTTGACATTTGGAGTTTTAATTAATTTAATATTAGAGTTGTTACATATTCAGCACATATTCACTAAACCAGCTTCAGTATTTATCTCGTTATTCTTTTCAAAGTGAGGTGTCTCTGTCTTAGTCGCTTACCCACATATTTTGCTGAGACTTGGTTTATAGTTTTTTTTTATTAAGTTTATTGGCTTTGGCTTCCAGTTAACATTTCATTAGTATTTATGTTCTCTGTGTATGTTTTTACTTTTTACTAGTCATAATACAATCGAAATAAATGATAATGGAAATATTATAATTATTAGCTATTAAGAAAATCTATTTACGGAATAAATATTATTAAAAAATTGTAAACAAGAATCTTGTTCGATCAAGGACCCTTGCATGATACTAGTTACGTATGAATAATTTAGATGTGTGTTATTGTTGTGTTATGTCTGAACTCTTAACTAAATACTCGACAGAAAATAAATAGAATCTGTCTGTCTGTTTGTCTGTCTCGCTTTACCTGAACCAATATAAATAAAATTTGGAACATAGTCTAGACCCTGAGAACATGGGCTAGTTTTTAATGCGTAAATAAAAAAGTAATAAAAAGGTACAACCCTTTTCATTACTTTTTTATTTACGCATAGCTAGATGTTAAAAAGGGAGATAAAATTTTTGTATGAAAGAGTCGTCATTTTTAATGCTAAACTAGATGCTCAAAACTTATTTTTTAAGCTGTTGATTAAATATATATATTATAAATATGACGCCCCAAGATTATAAAATGTTACCCTTAAGGGGATAATTAAAATAGGGGCTGAAAGTTTGTCAGGATCACTATAACACGCGGATAAAATCGCGGGCACGGCTAGTAATTAATATAAACCATACCCGTTACAAAGCCAAATCATAATATAACTACCCATTCTCCAATCATATAGACAGTAGATTAAAAACTAATAAAAAACATAAAAACTCAATAAAATACTTACATTAGTTAAGGTGCCAAATCATAATATAACTACCCATTCTCCAATCATATAGACAGTAGATTAAAAACTAATAAAAAACATAAAAACTCAATAAAATACTTACATTAGTTAAGGTGTAATATGCACACTAAAATGCACTACAGTAAGGCACAATGATAAAATTTTAATTTAAAAATTAAGCGGACAGTATGCATCGTTATCATTATAGGTGTCACTATGATATGGACAGCATGTTAAAGTTGATCA